GAGTCCCATACCAGGACGAAATGACTGTCCAGTACTTCAAGGTTTTCAATGTTGATCTAGCATTTATCCATTTATGATGTCTATCAGAATGGTAAATAACTTTAATTCATCCTTTTTTTGCATAATGGCCTCATTATCAATCGATCTCTAAATCTATTCATATAGTGATTGCTATAAATAGTAAATTCATACTTATAATTTGATCATCGTAAGAAATATCTTAAACCAGAACATTTTGATCATTTTAATTCGTTTACATTGGATACGATTCTTTTTGAATAACTCAAAAAAACTTAAACTTAACTTATTAATAACAACAGGAAATGCTTATTGTTTGGACTGTAAATTTAGGAAAACTTTGTTACGGATATCAATATATCAACTTGTTCTCTTTATATGAAGTTTAAAAGATACTCTTCTGGAACATTTTCCTTTAGTTGAAATCATGAGTCAGTTGAAGCTAGACCACCATGGAAAACCTGGAAGCACTGGACGGCCGTTTTGTTTTATTGTGGGACTCCTCAGCAGTGCGCATCCACGATCCCACCTGTCGAGATTCGAACCCATGACCTACCAGTCTTGCGCGCGAGAGCTTAACCACTAGACCACTGAGCCAGCATCCAACGATGTTAATGTCTGACTTCAAATAATCCACAAAATTACGCCACCGTACACCATGGTGGTCTAGCTCCAATTGACTCATGATTTCAACTATTAAAATGACAAAAATCTCCACAAAACCCCTTCTTATAATAATCATCTACTCACTGGTGACTGACTTCAAGAGGCATTTCCTGGAGTTCTAGCGAGAAACTGTGACCATTGGAGTTCAACCAGGTCTGTTGTGAGATATCAACTCACTGAAGCCAATTGTGTAAGATGGAGCAATTTCGTGGATTAGTTGAAGTCAGACATTAACATTTTTATTTGTTTGATTTATCTTGTTTACTTGTGAAAGTTTTAGTTCCTCTCTACACAACATTATCAGTACAAAGTTCATTTAGAAGTCATTTGTTCAAATCTAACTGGGGAGAATCTAGTTTAACTGAAAAGTATTACTCAGCTCTCATTTAAACACCATAGCTAAGTAGAGAGTACATAAATCTATACATAGTAGCTAAAATATTCAACCTAAATAGAGGTATTTTAAAGTTACAAAAACAGGGGAGAAACAAAAATAATAACTTAGTAACAATACATGTAATTGAGATAACAAATGAATAAGTCTGTAAATAAATTCTTGCTGAAATAATAAACCCAAAAATTAAGATAACATTTTCTGAGGTCTTTAAAATCGATATATCGATGGGATCTGGTTTGTTCTCTCACACAATAGGTTGTTCCTGATAGTGTCTGACCAACGAATCTGAATTTCTTTTGCATAGATAACTCTTAATAAACGCTTGTATTCTCTGGATGATGGCTTTCGTAGTTGTTCAAGTTTTCACCTCATACAGTAGAACTGACTTGAAATTTGTTTTGAAAACTCTGACTTTGGTATTCGTTGTCAGTTGTTTTGAGTTTCAGATGTTCTTCAATTGTAGATATGCTGCTCTTGCTTTACCGATTCTTGCCTTCACATTTACATCATCAGTGATGATTTCCAGATACGTAAAGGTTTTTACACCTTCCAAAGCTTATCGGTCAAGTTTGATTGGAATGTTGCATGCTGTGTTGTATCGGAGAATCTTGCTTTTCATTTTGTGTATGTTGAGACCTACTGCTGGTAAGGCTGTTACTTCACTGGTTGTCTTCTCCTACATTTGTTTCTGAATGTGCGGTTGAAGAGCCAGATCATCTGCGAAGTCTAGATCGTCCAATTTCATCCTATCTGTCCATTGTATCGCATGCTTCCCTCTTAGATGTTAACGTTTTCATAATCCATTCGATCACCAGGAGAAAGTCTCATCAAACTTTTCTTTTTCATTTCATGTATTAATATTTTAAATTTACAATTCCCTCCCCCCAATTTTTTTATTTACTAGCGGATATGCTCTACTTTGTTTTTTCCGCTTTTTCGTTTTACAAAAAATATTTTGTTAACACTTAACTGATTTTAATTTTTGTTAATCATTAAATTATTCAGCCATTAAGTTAAGATTTTGTTTTTCTTTGGACAAAACAGATTGAATATCCTGTCAATCGTTTCTCATCATTGTGATAAACATTAGATGAACAAAAGAAAATTCATGATGACACTTAAGTTGATGATGATGATGTCGGTTACGCTTTATTTTTGTCAATTATTAAATGATTATAATCAGAAAGGGGGTTTTGTGAAGATTTTTGTAATTTCAGTAGTTGAATTCATGAGTCAGTTGAAACTAGACCACTATGAATTGATTGAAATTAGAGATTAACGCCGTTGAATGTCGACCGACTCAGTGGTTTAGCGTTTAAGCGCATGCGAGCGAGACTGATAGATCCTGGGTTCGAATCTTGAGAGGCGAGATCATGGGTGCTCACTGTTGTGGAGTCCTAGAATAGGACGAAACGGCCATGTAGTGCTTCCAGGTTTTCAATGGTGGTCTAACATCAATCGGTTTAATTTAAAGACTCAATAATCTCTACAACCCTATAATGAGAATTTCCAATTACATTACACAATTTAAAGATCCTGATCAAGTATTACGTTAGATAATGTTATATTGTAGTGTCGATTATTATGTTAAGCGCATATGCCTTATTCTAGCTTTCGGACAGACTATTTCATTAATTCTGCTTGAATCACATTCTCACCTTGTTATTTATTCGCTTATCAATCTTGACTGTTTTTATATGAGCGCGTAGTTGTGTGTACATTTCTTATCCCATTACTCATCACATGTTTGTAAACTACTTTTGTGTAACTATAAATATTGGTTAATACTTAGTTAAGGGGGAGTTGGCTTACCCGCCTTCTCCACTCCACGTAGTTCCTCTTCTCTCTATTCCATTCGCTTCATACACAAAATATATGTATTGACAAGTCCATTCTCGTTATTCGACTTATTTAATTCCGTTAAAGGCTAATGTGATTTAAGTCGATGATTATATACGAGGATAGGCGACATATACATTTCGACAACGATCACTCATAGGATCAAATTGGAATAAGATCACGGGCCACTAAAGTGGGGAGCCCTTTTGACAACATCGTCCGATCTAAATGACAATAAAATAACGGACCTCTACAAAAATATTAATGAATTTTTTTAAAGTCAACTCATGATCTTAGTGTTATTTGATTCGTATGAATTTTAAATAATAGATCCATTAAGTTTATGTGAATTTCTACTTGTTATCGACAAAAAACAACCATAATGAAGGTTCTAATTGGATTTTGATTGAATATAAAACTTCCAGTTTACTGTATGTAGCACTTCTTATTATTCTTATATGATTCTCATATGAGCTATTTTAGAGCTGTTCCTTTAGTTAAACTTTGTTTAAATCATAGTCTGTTTTGCATTCATTTTTTGCCATTTAAGTAATGATCATCTTATAATCTTTACAATATTTGTTATAAACACATACTATTTAAACTTGTGTTGATTTCAGTTATTTATTTACTCTGAAGAAGTAGCTTACTTGAAGTCACAAAATGTCAGAAATACAATTTTTTCTACTCATTTAGATATAATGAATATAAATTATGTTTATTTGAACCTTCATCAGATAATCTCTGTACATAATTACTTTCAGAATTGATAATGCTCTTCACCTTTTATTATGAAGTTCTGCGAATTTTATGTCACTGTACTTTGGTAACTTGTAACCATGCATCTATGAATGAACTTTGAAATGACTATCATTCATTTTTGATAACTTAACTTAATAGTCAAATAGGTTTCCATTGAATTATTCAAATATCAATGGTTAAGATCATGAGTTAGGACCTACTGTTTTCGAACCTCGCAGTGGACGAGGTCGTAGATGCGCACTGCTGAGGAGTCCCACAGCAGGACGAAACGGCCATCCAGTGCTTTCAGGTTTTACATGGTGGTCTAGCTTCAACTAACTCATGATCTTAACCATTGAAATTACTATGATATCCACAAAACCCATCTGATATATTTAAATATACTATTACAAAGGGTACATATAAGTGTTGTATGTCCTGTCTCTCAACTGGATGCATATCTTCAACAATAATCTTTTCTGTGGTTACACATCTCTACTGTGCACAGTTGTATCAATGTCGAACTGAACTGTCAACTAATCACATTGTTAATCAATGACACTATTCTGTTTTTGTGTAGAAAATCTTATATTCAAGAAGGTTTAAATTTTGCACGCAAATTATGAATTGGATGCCATTAGGTTTTCATATAGTCGTAGTACTCACATTTTATACAACAAAACTCTAAAGTATGTTAAAATTAGGCTTCATAACTGGGAGACTTTTTGTGGAAATTCGTTTTTGAGATATTTGGATGAAATACATTTTTGTTATTAGATGGTTAACATCATATTTCCAGGTCTATTTGAAAGTACTTAGATAGAATACACTACGGTTGGTCGTCAGAATTTATCTGAGGTCAAATACTTGTCCATTTTCTACTTCATGTCGTCTTTTTTGTTATTGACCACGAATAATTAAGTGTGGTAAAAGTATGTTTACGGTTGAATTCACGAATCAATCTAAGCTTGACTACCACTGAAAACTTAGAAGCTCTGGATAGCCGTTTGTTCATTGAATGGGACTCCTCAGCAGTGCACATCCATGATCCTGTACATGGGATTCGGACCCAGGACATACGGCCTCACGCGCGAACGCTTAAACTATAGATCACTGGATTGGCAATCAACGGTGTTAATGCCTTGTTCAAACGATCCATGATCTTGATCAACACTTCTTGTATTGTCTGAGGTGGATAACCAACTCACACTCGACACATTGGCATCATTCAAATAAAAATTGTTGAGATTTTTTTGAGTGTTTTTCTTTTACAAATATTCATTATGTAGATATTATGTCCAATTAATTAAATTTATCTTTTATTATTTTATATTGACAGAAATCTATTTCCGGAAAATGTAGTACAAGCATGTTTACAGCAACAACAAAGTAGTTACGTCACAGTTGTTAAGCGTCCGAAGTATATTCGATTAACTGATGGAAACAATGGTACATTGAATATGGAAAACAAAACAAAACTAATCACCTATGAAGCCATAAAAGCGAAATATGTGGATAGTACTAATGTTTTAGGTAAGAGCAATTTTATAACATTATACATACCCTGTTACTTTTTATAGTTAGTATCCTGAGTATATTTCATTTTGATACAAATATGTGTAACTTGTATAGGATATTAACGATCTTGGTTATAGTTAAAGTATTGATTAAAACTGTAACAGTACTTGACTGTGCTTAGTAAGGAAATCAATAAGTAAAACACACTTACTTACTTACGCCTGTTACTCCTCGTCGAGGAGCATAGGCCACTCACCAGCACTTTCTATCCAACCCTGTCCTGGGCAATCCTTTTCAGTTCTTTCCGGTTGTTATTCATCTTTTTCATATCTGCTTCTATTTCCCGACATAACGTGTTCTTTGGCCTTCCTCTTTTCCGCTTCCCTTCAGGATTCCAAGTTAGGGTTTGCCTCATGATGCAGTTTGGTAATTTGCGTAATGTATGTCCTATCCAATTCCGTCGCCTTTCCTAATTTCCTTCTGAGATGGAAGCTGAATTTGATAAAGTATAGTTGATTACTGGAATTTTTTAATTGAGTGTTTTACTGACGAATTTCGGCACAAACTGAATTCAACTAAAATCTTATCGTCTTGACTTATTCAGGAATTACTTATTGTATCTTCTAACTAAACAGATGAAGATAAATAATATTAGAGGAGAATGAGAAAAACAAACGAACATATCAAGAAGTGGTATACATATATTTTCGATTGAGATCATGAACCGATTGACGTTAGACCACCATTGAAAACCTGGAAGCACGACGACCGTTTCGTTCTAATGTGGGACTCTTCAGCAGTGCAAATCCACGATCCTGCTCGCGAGATTTGAACCCAGTCTCGCGCGCGAACGCTTAACGTCTAGACCACTGAGCTGGCATCTAAAGGTGTTAATGTCTAGCCCCAACCAATCCACGGGATTGCGCTACCATCTTCCATTGTAATGAGGTAGATATCTGTCTCTATCCTACACGGAATAGCTCCACTGATCACGGCTTCCCACTAGAACTCCGAGAACTTCCTCATAAAGCTAGTCACTGTTGAGCACATGGTAATTATCAGTATAGGTTTATGAAGATTGTTAACTTTTTGATTGAGATCACGAGCCAATCGATGTTAGACCATCACATCAAGATGTAGCACACGTTTATTTTTATTTGAGTACATAAAGTGTTTTATTGAAACTTTTCTTTCTTCCCACTAACTTTAACTGATGAACAAAATAACCTAATGTTATAAATATTGTAGAATTTAAACATTATTAGATCGTTTAGGTGGTTGGAAGTAGTCAACAGGAAACCCTTGATCTAGGTTTAAAGCTAGTTACTGCTCATCGGTAAAGTGTACCTGAATTCTTGAGGGAACTTATGTTCTCCATGGAATTTAAACCTATATTGTCCGGCTTCACTATTTGAGCCTTAAACAGTGAACTATTCGAGCCACGATTAACCTGTTTTTAGACTACATATAAGCCTATTTGACATGGGTCAATCAGGGAAAAAACGCAAGTACTGTCGACCGCTTTCAACCAACATACATATCAACATCGCGCAGACGATGTAGAGTTCTTCAGATTGATAGTCACGTTGTAATTTTCGAGATAAAATTCAATCAGTATTGAGAAATAAATAAACACGATATTTATTATTACGCAGTAATCGGTTAGTTGCAAGCGCTAGACAGCCGTTTCTTCTTAGTATGGGACTGTTCAGCAGTACATATCCACGAACTCGCACATGAGATTCAAATCTAGGACCATAGGTCTAACATGAGAACGCTTAACCACTGAGTTGGCATCCAGGTATTCCAAGGTGATCTAGGTTAAATTAACTCATGAATTCAACCATTAAACCAGTAATTATCCAAGTGACGGTTAGATAACAGAATAAGAATGATAACAGGTTAAGATTTCAGTCACAATTATAAGTTTATTATTATAGTAATGAATCAACATTTGAACATATAGAGATTGAATTTTCCGGATAATAACATAAACAAGTTAGGTATTTTTGTCTGTTAACAATGTCGGTAACATGATGATGATTGATTAGATTACACCTTTTAACCTTAAATATATTTTTTGTGTGTGTGTGACATGACCAGAAATAAAATGAATGTATATTATTCTACTTTAATTGTTATTTCAGGTTAATTAGAATTCATAAAGACAGGGGTTAATGATATAAAATGATTAAGAATGATGTATAAACGGAATAATAATAAAAATGAATGATTAAGGTAACAATTGAAAAGAGATCAAAGAATAATAGAACTATTATATAAAAATAATTTACTGAATAAATGAATTAAGAATATCAACACAATACCTAATTATTATTGTTGTTATTATTAGTACTTATTAAGGAATGAAAAATATTTTATTAATTATAAGAAAAGATGAATAGTGGCTAGTAATGGAATCCAGGATGAGCGTTTCTTCCTATTTGGGACTCTTGAGCTGGGTTTATCTGCATCTCAGAGTTGATGTTCACTCCGGGATTCGAACTCAGTACCATTGGCTTCAAACGCTATCGCGTTATCCACTCATTTACTGAGTCCAAATAGCCACTTGCTTGTGAAATAGAATGAAGTTTAAATTTAATTATAATGCTTGTCAATTAAGGCAATATCGAGGCAATACACACAGGATGCATATATGCTAATAAGAGACTGATCAATCGCAGTCCTAAATAACAATGAGGAGATATAAGCAAACATTATCAAATGAATTATATTCAGTAAGGTACTATCTCACAACAGACTTGGTTGAACTCCACTGGTCACATCTCATTAGAACTTCAAGAAATACGTCTTGAAGTCAGTCACTAGCGAGTACATGAGTAGCTGTGTTCAAATCCTGTGGGTGGGAGCATGAATATGCACTGCTGAAGAGTCCTACAATAGGACGAAACGTCCATCTACTGTTTCCAGATTTTTTCATGTTATTCTAACTTCTAATAGCTCATGATCTCAACTATTGAAATCACTCAGTTATTATTTGTAATGATTAAGTTGTATAGATAAAATCTATCAATTCCATTATTTATTATCCGTCACTTTGTTTAATATAAAACTGAATCAAATTTTTAAAAAAAAACATATTAAACATTGGAAAAAAAAATCAAAATTCAATCCCATGTTAACAATCACCATGTGTTTTTTTGTTGTTTATTATTCAAATTTCGTTACAAAAAAATCCAACTAGGATTATTTCAGTTGGGGGGGAATTAAGAATAAAGAAACAAAAAAACAAAAATCGATTACATCTATTGAGGTTATTTCATATCTATGATCTACACGCGCACACACACGAACACACAAACGCACACAAAAAGATCAAATAACTAGATTGGTATCCATTTCATTATAACCAATAAATTAACCATGTTTTAATCTAATTCTTATCTGGGTTTTTTTAATTTCTCATTATCCATTTACATGTTTTATTACATACTAACCATATTATTATTTAATAGTTGAATTCATGGGTCAATTGAAGCTAGACTACCATAGAAAAACTAGAAACACTGGACAGCTGTTTCGTCATAGTATGGGACTCTTCAGCTATATGTAATCACGATCTCGCCCTCAGGATTCGAACACAGATACTCATGTACTCACTAGTGATGGGCTTCAAGATGTATTTCTTGAAATTCTAGTTCAAAGCTGTGACCAGTGGAGTGGAACTAGGTCTGTTGTAAGATACTAGCTCACTGAAGACAATGGTGGACGGTGGCGCAATTTCACGAGTTGGTTGAAGTTGGACACTAACACTTTGGGATGCTGGCTCAGTGGTCTAGTAGTTAAACACTCGTGCACGAGACTGATAGATCCTGATTTCGGATCTCGTGAGGTGGAATCGTGGATGCGCACGACTGAGGAGTCCTACAAGAGAACGATACGGCAGTGCTTTCAGGCTTTCCATGGTCGTCTAGCTTCAATTGACTCATGAATTCAACTATTAAAATTGCTATAATATCCACAAACTTCTCGTCTGATTATATTGTCTGTTTCTTCTTATTGTTTTTTAAATCATTCTGGTGTTAGTTGTATTTTCACAATGATAATGATGTTTAAGGTTAGGATATAAGAATGTGTTAAATATTTGACAGGATTATTATTTACTTAACATTGATTTCATAATATGCCATATAGATCACCAAAATGAATTTTCTAAAGTCATCCTGAAAGGTGGTTTTGTTGTAGAATCTAGTTAGTTTGAAATGAGTTGGTTCACCATAGACGACACATGATTATTGTTCACAAATGATGAACAACAGACCGTCAGATTTCTATTTTAGAGCATATAATAATATTTTGACTATTTTGAAACTAAAAAGTCTCAGATGAGAGTATTTAAAGGATTCTTAAATGAAGATGGAAAACTTATTTAAATTTTCAATGATAATGAAGTTGATATCATTTTGTAAATAAGATTGTATTCAATGAAAAATCATAATTGTAGATCTCGTCAATAACATTTTTGAACGTTGTACTGATAGTATAATAACTAATTGATTGAAAATTGCTATTGATTAGATACTAGTTAGTATACTTTGGTTTTTGGAATGCATCTGTCAGCTGTTCTCTACACACGACTATGCATTGTGGTCTACCGTATGAATTCCGGATAATGTTGACGATCTTCACATGTACATCGTAGTGTCGAAGAAGTTTCCATAATGTACTCCTATCCACACTGTCAAACGCCCTCTCATAGTTAATGAAGTTGATGTATAGTGACGAGCTCTACTCAACTTTTGACAGATGAATTCCAAGTAAAGACCGGAGTTAGGCAAGACTGTTTACTCTCTCCTTCTTCTTTCTTCTGACGGTCGAGTCGATTATAAAGACCTCGAAATCTGAGGGAAAGCACGGAATACAATGGACAGCTCGTAACCAATTAGAACATTTGGAATTCGCACGTGACCTGCCTCTTCTATCCTATACACACGGACCAATTTACATGAAGACAACTAATGTAGCAGTAGCCTCTGCATCACTAGACATCAACATACACATAGGAAAAAGCGAAATCCTCAAATACAACACGGAGAACACTAACCGTTTACATCGAACAATCGGATCAGCAATGCTAATCTACAGGGATTGAACAAAAGTTAAATGATATAGATGTGAAAAAGAAGTACTATTTGATTAACTAATTACTAAAAATGAAATTATGTCCTACCGCCTTATTACGAAATATGGCTAGATACTGTGGATTATTGTTGTTATTATTGACTTCATTCATTATTATATTTTGGTACAATATAGAATTCTCAGCACGAGGCATTTCTGCGAATTTCTTTTACAAAAAAAGAAGAAAAGGGTGAAAAAGGATTTGCATCTGTATAACATTTCAATTAGAAATATGTTTAATACTGTAGGTTATTGATAAGGTCAACTCTCACAACTTGCTCATCACAGGGTAAATTTACTAGATAAAATATTATGGAACTTTTATACCTTTGCTTGCATGCATGGATTTTAATGTATTGACGTCTCGTTCTACCAGAAGATATACAAGGAGAAAGATATCAATGAAGGAGGATGGTTAGTATCTGATAAGATAACACCTCCCTGGAGTATGGAAGGCTTAAGATGTCTAGCCACAATCATACTAATAATGACCTTAAAAGATTCACTACATACCCTGATAACTGCCTTCAGAACTCTCCACAATACAGTGGTATTTTCTCTAAGGCACGGGAGGGAGTAATGGAGGACAGTAGAGACTAACAGTTAATATGCAAGAATTGACCAACTGTAAGAGTAAATGTCGAGTAATCCCAAAAGCACATAGAAATTCTCTCCGATAACAGTAAAGAGAAGACCGAAATAGATCAGAGGAAAATATAGCACCAAGATAATTGATATTCGTATTTGAAATTTCCCTAACGGGGTAATTGACAATATCTCAATATACCGTATTTCAGTTTAAATGAATAATGACATTTGTTAGAAATTTATTTCAAAACAGCTAGATATAGTCTTTCACCATACAAAAAGGAAAGAGCAAGGTCCTCAAGTGCAACACATAGAACACCAATCCAATCACACTTGATGGGGAAGCTCTGAAAAGTGTGTAAACTGTCAATGATCTGGACAGCATCATCGGTGAACGTGAGAGACTTTATGCAGGCGTAAAGGCGAAGGTTGGCAAAGAAAGGGTCCCATTCTTACAATCAAATAACATATGGAACTCAAAACAAATGTCAACCAATATCAAAGACAGAAACTTTAATATGAACGTCAAGACAGTTCTCCTATACGGAGCTGAAACGTGGAGAACTACCACAACCATTATCAATAATGTACAAGTATCTCTTAACAATTGGCTATGCAAGATACTGACCGTTCGTTGGCCGGATATCATCAGCAACAACCTAATGTGGAAGAGAACAAACTAACTTTCAGCTGTATTGGAAATTAGGAAAAGACTTTGGAAGTGGATAGCACATACATTACAGAAATCATCAAACTGCATCACTAGGCAAGCACTAACTTGGAATCTTCGTGGGAAACGGAAAAGAGGAAAGCCTAAGAACACACTACGTTGAAAATTCAAAGCATACATGAACAGAATGAATAGCAACTGGGATGGTTTCTTTAGGACAGAGTTAAATTGAGAGTGCTGTTGAGCGACCTATGCTTATCTATAAGGGGTACAGGCTTAAGTAAGTAAGTAAGATATAATCTTATAAAAAGCTTATTATTGTGTCAACTATAATCCTGCTAATCTATTCTATTCAGGTAGGGATTTTTATTTATTTCAACACATAGATATTTGTACGAAGAGGCACCAAATACATATGCGCCACACAAATCTCATTCGATATGTGTGAGGGCTTTGATACTGCCCGGGTGCCCAAACCGAAACAGATGGTTTTCTTAGGGGGCCACACCCGGAGCCTTCGACCTAAGGGTCTGATCCACAAGGCAGTGGAGCATTGTAAGGAGATGCAGTCCCATTGAAGCCGGTGACCAACAATTGGTTCATACGCCATTTGTTCCCGCAAGATACTGGAGCCCATGTACACCATTGATTTGGGATTCATAACATTGATTAAAGCTTGTTTTTTAATAAAATCAGTTCAAACTATAAACGATGTATGTTATACTTAAACGATATCATAAATTAATGCTTCTTATAAATGTTTTATTTTAACAATTCTAGGATTGGTGTCATTCTCAATTATATTTGGTATAATACTTGGTCAAATGGGTGATCGTGCTGTAATTATGGTACAATTTTTCACTGTTCTTAATGAAGTTGTCATGAGAATGGTACAAGTTATTATGTTGTAAGTAAACTTTACTTATGATAATATAAAACTGTATGTATATAATTATCAAATCAATAATTATTGAAAGAGAAATTGATACATCCCTGAATAATAATCATTATCATGTTTTTAATCATTGGTGATAATCATAGAGTTCTGTTGATCGTGTTGTGACTGGTCTAAGTGATTCACAGTTATTTGCATTGTATTTAGACTTTAGATCGTTAGATCAAATTATTACCAGCTTGATAGGTCTTGGTTTGGCCGAAACCTAAATTAAGGTATTCCTTTCCCTTACCTCTAACCACATGACAACATGGGAAATTATTTTCATAATTAAATATCTACTCAATACAAAGTTGAATAAAGTTCAATTAGAACTATGATAGTTTTTATTAATGAGAGATAAGAAATGGATGTTAGACTGAATATGATATAAATTCAGAGCATACAGTATCGCTTAAAATGCTTATTTTTCTACTGATTTGATGCAAATATCAATACTAGATGTGACATATGTTTTATAAGACAGTAGTTATGCATTTACAGTTGAGTGATTGCTGGATGGTGATCAATGTCATGTATATCAGGTCCTTTTTAGTGCAGATTGAATCCTATCGACCAAGTCGCAATGTGGCCACTAGTCTAGGTGAATTGGCATTGCGTACACTATGTTGAGATAAGATAGTGGTTGGAGATAGTTGACAGGAAACCCTAGACCTAGGTTTCGTGCTATTTGGCACACATCAGCAAGGTGTACCTGTAATCTTGAGGGAGACGTTACTACTGAGCTATCCGGGTCGCGACTGACCTCCTGTATTTACAATTGATTCATTACTTAGTAGTGATCAATATCATGTATGTTAGGTCGTTCTTATTGTAAATCGAATCCAATTGACCAAGTATTTATGCACATGACTGATTAGATAAAGACAAGCAGAACAATTAATTAGTAATTGGTAAATAAAATGGTCTTCATCGTCAATTATATTTTAATTGATTTCAACATACCAGTTACATTGTCGTTGTAATGAGTATCAAATACCACTTTATTTCGTAATAACAATAAACAATCTTATCATTTTATAATATCAACGTTTTGTCAATACAGAAATTTGTATTCAAAGTGTATACTTTGTGGAAAACATTCACTTTTGTACAAATGTTAGACTTTTTCTTCATACAAATATCTAATCATATATGAATATTGTGAACCTGGTAATCATAACATCACATTACATTTGATGATAAAGTTCAAGAGATGACATTTTAAAGTTTACCCTTTCAATTTATCAAAAATATTCATTGAACAGTCAATCATATTTTAAGAAAATATGAAAGATACATTAATATTAAAATGTTTGAAGATGTCGAATTTATTCATCTTTGGTAAAAATGTATCTGTACTAGGACTTAGCTTTGTTCATTATTCAGTTGGATTACAGTTATTATAGAAATCTCAATGTTATTTGAATTTAGAAAGTAATAAGAAGAGGTGACTACAATTTATTAGTGGATGATAGCACAGGTAATAAAGTTACAATCTCATCGAGTGATTACAAAGATGAATTTATAGTCAAATCGAATCAAGGTGCAGTTAAGCAAGGTAAGGCTATTAATAGGATTCGAGGAAGAGAATGATTGATCGAGAGATATTTAAGCGATCAACACTTAAACTAAAAAGAGATATGTGAGTAGGCTGTCACATGTGATCAAGTGTACACGTTTATACAAAGAAATAGACGAATTGTGACTATCTAAATAACATTATCTGTTAAATAAGTTAATGAAAAGGCTTGACAAAGATCGACCATAATTGAAATACATCGTAGGAGTCAATCAGTTATAACGTAGGTCCAGGCATATACATGCATCGGTCCAAGTTGTCATAGCTCATTAGCACAGCAAGACGAAAAGCAGATTCACAGAAGCAGTTAACTCAATGGTCTAATATATAAAGGAAAGATTGCATATAAGGATATAGTATAGGAAGAAAGAATTAGTTGATAGGAAAAAAAGATATGAAATAATTTTAGTCTCCTAGTTTAAGGTAAAACAAAGAGTGTATACACCTACGCCATTGTGGTCGATTCTGAACCATGTCACCCACAGTCTCCAACCCTTGGTTACGATAGTCACATGGACCCCAACCAAGTAGTCTGCATCTACCAACATAGCTCAGACTAGAAGTGAGTGACTTCAAGCACTGATGCCATGTACATTATAGGAGAGTTACTATAGTTACAACCAAATGGCTCGCATAACTTTACCATTAAAATGTAAATTAATTTCCATAATTTCATTCTGTTTATTGTTTTTTCTAATTCCTTTGTTATTCTTTTTTAATAATTTATATTTTAATTATTTATTATATTTCAGATATTCACCATTTGGTATATTCTTTCTAATATTAAGTAAAATGTTAGAAATTGAAAATTTAAGTGATACAGCAAAAGCATTAGGTTTATATATGGTAACTGTAGTTACTGGTTTAGCTATACATTTACTTGGTACATTAGCATTACTCTATTATTCGGTAACAAGAAAAAATCCATTCACATTCTATAAAGGTTTATTTCAAGTAAGTAACTATAACATTGTTCAAATATTGAATAATAATCACATATTTTTTTTAAAAAAAATAATAATAATAATTGATTCACAATAATAAACAATGATGGATAATGGGTAACAGTGGAATATAGGATGTGTGTTTCGTCCTATTTGGGACACATCAGTTGAATTGAGATGTCAATATGTTTTGTGAATAGTGATAATTTTGAATAAGATTATAGTTTTGTTCATTTATATATTGAAAGTAATAACAAACATTAACTAATTATTCATAGTTTATTTCTGTTCGAGTTCACTTCATAAGATAAGTCTTGGTTAATAAAAAAAATTGAACATGTACATATATTTTCTGTTCAGATGAATATCTTGTCTGAAATTGAGCACTTATAACTAAACTGAGATGCATTTAACAGTACGCTGTAGGTAACTGTAGATGAATCAAATAAATATCTAAGTTCAATTCAAACTTAAGTCATCATTAATATGATTTATTAAAGATGATTATAAATCGTCCTTTCATATAGGTAGCTCAACATTTCGTCATGCTATACCTCATATTGATTTAATGCCCTGTTACGGTGGAGGGTGAGGAAAGTCAGCTTACTCTGACAAACAAACGGTATAAGAACCTGTTGTTGGTCAGTGGCTACCATGTGACCACATCTCCTGACATTGCTCCACTGTCTTGTGGACTAGACCTTTAGATCGAAGGCTCCGAGTGTTGCCCTCTAAGAAAACCACCTGCTTCGGTTTCGGCAGCCGTGCATTGTCACAGCCCACACACAAATCAAGTGACTTGTGTGACGCATATGTATTTGATGCTCCTTTGTATCAATATTTATGAGTTCAAATAAATAAACAATAATGAGATCAATTATATCAGTCAGTCAGCTACAACTTAGGTCCAGGCACATATATGCATCGGTCCATGTTGTCACACCTTATTAGCACAACAAGATGAACACCAAATTCATAGTAGTTACTACAATGGTAGTAATATGTAAAAGAAAGATTCAATATAGAGATCATTTATGAGATATTGGTAATTTACTAACATTTGATAGATACCTGCGAAGCTTCAGTTGCATTTGTTTAGTTTGTTTAATCACTAATGCTGAGGTAAGATACAGTGATGGGTAAGTATATTGAATTGATGGATGTGGCCTAACCAAGACCGGATCTGTTCATAAAGTCACTGACGATTGAATTAAGTTACGTCGGTAGGTGGAAACTATCTGGCGTATAATCGCGAACAGTGGTTAAAGACGTTGCGTAATACGGATCAGAATTCATCTCATTTATATAGATGCACTCAATATTTATCTCTCCTTAGATCCAGAGTTTTAAAGTCATTTTGTGTTTTTTTCAGTTTATTTATTTATTTTCTCGAACCATATCTTTTCCACGGGTACTGGTACTGTTGCCACTTCCATTAATCAAGAATTTTCCTTGATAATCCTATCATACTGTACTAACGTCATGTGGCAACTTGAACTGATGAACATATGTGCCACGTTCAACATTACATCTGAGTGATTGAGTATTTATGGAAACCAGTTTCATTCTGATTGACCTTTATCAACCATCTTCGAACTTGGAGTGAATATGAAAAACTGAATTTTCAAAAGAATCAGAATTATAATTTATTTAGACCTATGTGTTTAATTTTAATAACCATTTAATTACGTTGAAAAAACGTTAACATTACTGATTACTTCCTCATTTCAAAATGTATATATCTATATGCTCAACTATGTTATCATTTTTATCAGAATTGGAGTTTGCGGTGATTAAAGTAATATTAATACCTGAGTTCATGAGTAGATTTAAGCTCAGTTTTCTAAAAGTTCAGCGCTCATGTGCAATACCGAATGTTCTGGGTTCAAGTTCCGTATTCGGAATCGTGGATGTGCATTGTTGTAGAGTCCTATATTAGAACGAAACGCGCATCCAATGCTTCCAGGTTTTCATTAGTGATCTAGGTTAAATGGACTCATGAGTTCAACTATTAAAATCATTATAAATTAAAAACACGAAGTTCAGCGAAGGGATCTCTTTTCAACGAACTTATTACCAAGCTGTACACTCGTATATATATATATATATATATATATATATATATATATATATATATATATATGAAAATGTTTTGTTAAAGTACTAATCCCCCTGATAAATATGAACACAAATAACCAAGATGATGTAATAGGTAACGTAACAAGTCAAGAGCAGGGAAGCAGCAGGACCAGAAAATATACCAGCTAAAGAACTGATGTTGAACAATGAAGCATGGAATATAATGGAAAGTTCAGAATCGACCAGAAATTGTGGACTTCTCAGATAACCTGGCTCTCCTGTCCCATACACACGAACAAATACAGATGAAGACAACTAGTGTAGCATCAGCCTCTGCAAAAGTAGGCCTCTACATACGCAAGGGATAAACTAAGGTCCACTAATACAACATGGAGAACTCTAACCCAACCACACTTGATGACGAAACTGGGAGATGTGAAATCGTTCATATACCTGGGAAGCATCATCAATGAACAAGGTGGATAACATGCAGATGTAAAGGTGAGGATTGGCAAAGCAAGGGTCGCATTCCTACTGTTGAAGAACAAGTGCAACTCAAAACAATTGTCAACCAATATCAAAGTCACAATCTTCAATACTAGCGTCAAGATAGTCTTACTGTACGGAGCTGAAACTTGGAGAACTACTACAACCATAGTCAAGAAGATACAAGTATTTACAAATGGTTGTCTACGCAAGATACTCGACATCCATTGGCCGGATGCTTCCAGTATTTATGAATAAATAATGAGAATATAAGACACAAGTAAAGGGGAATGCAGCAATAATAATAATTAAAACCAAGGTAACGATAACGATAGGACGTATTCCTTTTGTACACATAGTTCTACTTTGAGCTCATGGATGGCTATTTTTAGGAGTAGATTTGAACGAATCATATATACAACCTTAAAATCAAATGACGGATCCGTAAAATGATTACAATCGATTAAGTGTTCAAGCATAGAACTCCTAAATGCTTTCTTCTCACCTTTGAAGAACCAAACTGGGACGTGTCCCCGTATTCGAATCTAAAACTATTGTTAGTATTCGTATTACGTAATCTAGTGTTATAATCTTTCTATTACATCATCTTGGTTATTCATGTTCACATTTCCTCAAGGAACTAGTACTTTAACTTTATATATATATGATTGTACAGCTTCTTTGAAATGAGATCCCTTCGTTGAACTTCATATTTCTTAAAATCATGTTATTATTCGTTCATTCTTCCTACAACACTCACATTTCATCGACAAATAAATTGTCTAAATTCTTCATTACATTTACAAGAAAATAATAATTATTTTTGTTTTGTTTTGGATAAGATTAGAATAGATTATGAAAAATGGTTATTCGCTTTACCATGGTAGAAAAAAGATTAACCTCACACACATATATATATATATATATATATATATATATATATATATATATATATATATATATATATATATATATATATATATATATATATATATATATATATATATATACGTACACATGCACACACAAGGAAGGAGCAAAACATAATTTATATATTCCTAGTGGATACGTTTTAATCTAATCCAATTGTATGTAAATAAGTCAAGTAAGATAAAGACCTCCCCCCTCTCCATCATACCAACAACAACAAAATACAATTTATACCCTCTCAAAAGAGATTTTAATGTGAACAGTAAAATGAAGTGGTTGATTTACTTGAACTAAAATAGAAGAAGAATTAAAACAACTAACTAAACTTTATCGTAGAATTGAAAAAGAAAATAAAAGAAGAAATGATGTAAGTTCGTTCATTTTAGGAGGGAGTGGAGTAGAGTGGGGGTGGGGTAAATGAATCGGTTATTAATTATAAATATATCTTAGATATTGTTATCTAATTTCTTTTTTGTATTAGATACTAATCTTATCTCTTCTTTTACACTTTAGTGAAAATATAGATTTCTTTTTTTTCGATTGTACAGTTTCTTATTTTTCCCCTTCTCTCTTTTTAAATGAAGGTAGTTTTAATAAGATTTAATGTAAATTATTATCAAGTTAATAGATTGAAACAAATAAGTGAAATGTATATAGATTTTCCTTTGATAGTATAAATGAGTGATCAAATACTTGTTGTTAGGGTATTAAGTGTTTTTTTTCTTCGTACACATTCTTTTATTTAAAAAAAAACCCAACAACTAATGAACTCGTATACGAAGGAGTATTTCAGGCTTCTTTATAACAAGTGAAAACATTAAATTCAGTCAATAATGAATGTCAAGTTATGATTAATATATTAGAATATGATTTACTTATCTACGCTTGTTACTCCTAATGGAGCATAAGCCACCGACCAGTATTCTCTAACCCACTCTGTCCTGAGCTTTCCATTACTTAACTACAACTATGGTGTATGCTACTTAAATCGACAGGCATAAGTAATGTATGACACTGATCAGAGATTGAAGGCCTGAAAGAAGAAGATTGAGAAGATAGCACTGAATACAACAGGAAGATATTGTGAATTGAAATATTTATGAAGGACATACAGGACAATTAATTTAAGATTTTCAAATAAAGTTTTTAATGCATGATTTTCATATTTTAAGAAAGGACTTTTCAGTTTTGTATTAGACAATAAATTGGTTAACTCCACAACGTCTTTGCTCACTACACTACCAAACAGGACAACAATGAGAGAGACAAAGGACAAGTGATTCTAACTTATATTACTATTCACAGAATGTTAACTGCAATGCAGTAGAAATAAATTAACACTTGCAATTATGCCCTTGTGGAAAGTTTTGAGTTCCACTGAATTCATGAATAGATAGATGTTAGATAGCCATCGAAAACTTGGAAGCACTGGAAGACCATTTTGTTCTCCTATGGGACTCCTCAGAAATTTTTATTCACGATTTCGCACATAGGAATCTAACCTAGGATCTTCATTTTCGAGTAAACACACACCCACTATCCATCTTTGCTTAAAAAGCTATATGTATATATATACTATGACTATTATCAGTAATACTGAATTTTATTATTTCTCTCTATCTTTTTTCACTCTTTATACAAACTACAAAAGGCTTGGATTACAGCACTTGGAACTGCATCCAGTGCAGCTACTCTACCAATTACATTTCGTTGTTTAGAACAAAATCTAGGCATTGATAAACGTGTGACACGTTTTGTTCTACCTATTGGTGCAACAATCAATATGGATGGAACTGCACTATATGAAGCTGTTGCATCAATTTTTATTGCACAAATTAATGGAAAATATTTGACAATTATTGAAGTATTTATTGTAAGGTAAGTCCCAAAAAAACAAAAGAAACAATAGAGAATGATTATAATTAGACCAGGTATTGTTAAAATTTGAACTTTTATTCGATTATGCCATAACAGAATACTTGATTTGAGTCCAAATTATATGAGGATAATAAACGTAGAGTGTGGGACCCTTATCTGAATCTATTTGGATCGTACGAATGATTGATATTGAGATATTTGTATCGTCAATCCTCGTATTTAATCATTGACTTAATTAGCGTTATTGAATAATGGTGTTAAAATAAGTCAAATATGAGAAAGGATCATTGATCCAGGCAGACGATCAAAGGAACGAAATGAAATGATGCGCCATGAAGAAGGCATGTGAACGAACTACATTTAATCAAGCTGTAATTCATATTTATAGGCAGATAAAAATAAGTTACAGATATGTGATGAATAGAATAAGAAGTGTACACACACATACGCTCACATAAAAACAGTCAGGAGTTGACAAGATTATAGTAACAGGGTCAGAACGTGAATCAAGAAGAATGGATAAATTGTCCTATCCAGAAACTAAAATAACTTATGTGGGCTTAACATGGTAACTGACACTACAAGAGCATTGGAATCAGTCGAATATAGCATTTTACAAGGACGATATTTTGAAGCATGAAGTAAACAATGAATTATCTCAAGATGGAGGTGACACTACCCAACTATACGAATTACTGTAAAAATTTGGATGTATATATTTACAACACAACAATTGACAGTCAATTGAGCTATGCATTAGGCTGTTGTTATATGACATCAAACGTAATTATTTCGTTTCACATTATAGATTACTGTAGACCATTTTTCAGTAAACAATATGCGAATCCCATTCTTTTTAAGTGTGAACTTTAACGATACAGACATTTTCGAAAGTCATTTATTTCATCCTGGAACTATTTCTTCTCAGATCCGCGCACCATTACTATTGTGTTGGGGGGGCAGTCGAATGTGATTGAATATAAAATCACAGAACACCTTAGTAAAATCTGAGAACTACGTCATTTTTCTCAGACTTCACTGTTCTTTCAATCCTACAACAGTCATCATTTGTTCTCGTTCTCCTTTCTTTGATCTTCTTAACCTTATACCTTCAGGCATTTTACTGTCGATTGATGATATGTACTACTTATATCTGTCTAGATCAGTAGAACACACAACACTATTACTAGTGAATATAACATAGAAATGAACTTTCCAAGTCAAAATATTTAACATTTTAACTAATATAAGTACTGTCGGCTAGATTATAAGATATGTAAAGTAAAATTTAGAATTAATCATAAATTTATACTGGAATTCACAAGATTTCTAACAAAAATATTAAAATTCAGTCACTTTTCGGCTCTCACAAGATCATTGCTGTGAAATGAGAAACCTATGCGCTCAAAAGCGTTTAGCCTCGACTGTAATCGGTTGCGAAAAAAAGATCTGGCTAGATCCTAATGAAACTGCAACCATTCAAAATGTTCACGTGAGTAAAATGATACGAAAGTTGTTTAAAGACAGCTTGCTTATTCGCAAACCTGTAACCGTCCATTCTCGTTCTCGATGTAGATAAAACTTGATTGCATGTAGAAAAGGTCGTTACTCGGGAACGGGTAAAGTGATTAAGAATAGGTGAATGGTGCGTTACCTCATTTACAGGTTTTACTAAATGTAGTCACACTAAGTATTATCGGGAAGTGGGAGTTCTCAAATCACTGAAAAGTTGACATCAATGCTAATCTAATTCATGCACAAAAGAATGATTAAAAATGAAAACGACTACACTTTTTTCATGGCTAGGTCCTATGTACATTGTACTCAATAGTCATATATGAGGACGAAAGAAATGTATAATCCTTCCGGGTTACCAATGGTTTTCAATTCATGATGTAAACATCTTAGAAATATTCATCAACTCTTGATCTGACCTTCCGTTCAAATATCTATGTACAACTAACAACAGATTTTGCGTACTAAAAAACAAAATAAAGTATAAGTAAAAATTAGTAATTATTTAATAAATGATAAGCTCGTTTTATATTCATCATTGTTTCAGAATAGATGTGACCAGTGGAGTCCAATCTGTTTGGGGTGTAGACAGTTATCCACCTCATATAGTGAATGAAGGGTTGCGTAAGATCGTAGATCGATTGAAATTAGACATTGACATCGTTGGATACCGACTCAGCGGTCTACAAGTTATGTGTACGCGCGTGATACCAAAGGCTCTGGGTTCGAATCCAATATGTGGTATCTTAAATGCTCACTAATGAGGTGTCAAGTGCTTTCAGGTTTTCGACGGTATACTAGCTTAGATCAACTCATGAATTCAACTATTAAAACGTGTGTATTCGTTCGTTTTGTTTTTTCTGTCCACCATTCCAATCTTACTTATTTTAACAACATTTACAAACAGTAATTATCTTTTAAAAGTTATACATTTCTGTTGTATACCTAACTTGTCCATCATTCTCATATTGTTTTGAACAAAAAGTACTTCCAGGTTCCCCATGGTAGTCTAGTTCCAACTTTTTCATGAATTCAATTATTAAATCACTACAATCTCCACAAAACTCCTGTCCGATTAAAATCATCATAAGCTCACTCGTGACTAGCTTCAAGATGTATTTCTTGGAGTCCTAGTGAAAAGCTGTAGCCATTGCAGCTCAACCAAGTCTGTTGTGAGATAGTACCTCACTGAAGACAATGGTGAACGGTGGGGTAATTTCATGAATTGGTTAAAGTTAAACACTAATACCGTTGAATGTTGGCCGGCTTAGTGGTCTAGTGGTTAAGCGTGCGCGCGCGAGACTTATAGGTTTTAGGTTGGAATCTCACAAGGCGAGGTCGTGGATGTGCATTGCTGAAGAATCCCACACTAGGACGAAACAGTCATCTAGTACTTCTAGGTTTTCCATAGTGTTCTAGTTTCAATTGACTCATCAATTCAATTAATGAAATAAGCAAAATAGTTAATAGAATTAAAGAAAAATAAATGATGAACAAAATGAATCTTAACTCATTGTTTTATTTATTGAATTCTAATTCCCTTGATAGTTTGTTTCTTATCATCTAGTCAAATTAATTATTTTTTTTAATTTGTTGATCTACTTGTTTTAGGATCATCTATTATTAGTTTGTTTATAATTAGAATCCTAATTTTATTCTTGTTTTAATTACTAACAAGTAATAAAAGTGTTATTTCAAAATATTCAAACTAATGAACTAAATATGAAATAAAATGATCATAGATAGATATTTTCTAGCATATGGGGTTTTTATAGGATTCCTGATTTTTTGGTATAGGGTTGTGAAGATTGTTGTATTGTAATTGAGATTATGAACCGATCAATGTTAGATCACCAGTGAACATTTGAAAGCACTAAACGACCATTTCGTCCTAATATGGGATTCGTCAGCGGTAAGCATCCATGAGAACAAAGGTTCTGTGTTTGGTTCTCAGTTGATGAGTAGTAGATACTCACTGCTAAAAAGTCTTATGATACGGCGAATTGGTTGTTCGTTACGTTTAGGTTTTCGATGGTTTTCAAACTCAGATCGGTTGATATTCTCAATCAATGCTAATTATTTAAATGTTTACGAAGTCAAACACCTACACATTTCTTAAATAATGAGTGCCGTTTATTTGTTTTTTTCCCCAGTAATGGTAATGTATTTGTCTATTATTTAAATTTATTTAGACACATAAACATTGGTACAAGGAGGCACCAAAAACATATGCACCACACAAGTCACTTGATTTGTGTTTGGGCTGTAATACTGCCTGCACGCCCAAATTGGAACAGGTGGTTTTCTGAGATAGCCACATTCGGAGCATTTGACCTAAAGAAATAATCCACAAGACACTGTAGCAACGTCAGAAAATGAAGTCACGTGGTACTCGGTGACCAATAATTGGTGTAACCCTCTAAGAAAACCACCTGCTTCGGTTTGGGCAGCCGTTCTGCATCACAGCCCACACACAAATCAAGTGATTTGTGTGGGGCATATGTATTCGATGCCCCTTAGTACCAATATTTATGTGTTCAAATGAATGAATAAATAAGTGATACGTTTTATTTTTATAATCCTCGAAAATAAGTTGTAAAGAGTCAATACGCGTTTTGAATTAATCTCAAATAATTGTATTCTACAGTGACAATCACTGTAATTCTTCACTCATTTATCAAATTAAATCTTAGTGACAATTTTTATACTATTAACAAAAGTTTTAAGTAGTATACAGTCGTTCAAGCAAAACCACCTATAACTTTGGCCAAGATCTTATTGGTTATGACTATTTCAACAAAACTATACCATTCTTTATCACTAAAAAAGTCAAATAGTTAATAACATGTAGTGCGTATTATAACCAAGGATACTATTACATCACTTGTTGTATTTATAAAAGAGACAATCCGCTTCTATGAATAGAAATAAAGTTCTAAATAAAGTCCTAAATATTAATTGGAGATCCAAACAAGCAATATCAAATGAATTTAAACGTCACCACATTGCACGAGCAAGTGGCTATCAGGACTCAGTATCTAAGTGGATAACGTGATGGCGTTTGGAGCAAACAGTACTGAGTTCTAGTCCCAGAGTGAAGATCAACTCTCAGATGTAGGTACATCCAGTTGACGAGTCCCAGTTAGGACGGAACGCGCGTCCAGTATTCCACTGCTTTGCATAAAAATAAAGTTTGACTAATTTTGGATGAATTTCGTTAGAAAATAAGCTTTTTCCTAACCATAGACATTGTTATCTTAATTAGTTAAACCTAATTTAAATGTTTGATAAATGTCCAACTATTCAGATAAGAAAAGTGGTATGTATAAAATTGGATGTTCTAGAATCCTATCAATAGAATATGAATTATGTTCGCCATAATTTCGTATGTTCAATTCCCTTGATAAAGTTCAAATAGAAAAAGGATAGAATATGTCTAGTATTGGAAGTCACAATATTTATTTTCTCCTGGTTCAGACTCAGTGGCTGAGTGTACATTAATCTCAATAAGGATTTTCATACGTAAATCCAACCACACTGTTTATAGCTTCAAACACTCAAATAGTTATCCACTTAGCTATTAAGTACACATAACCACTAGATTATGCAACGTGAATGAATTTAAGTTCAATCTTACGATGGTTTTAAAATTGAAACTCAGTGCAAAGTATTAGAAACAATATGATCCAATACCAGATTACAAGTTGAATTAAATATTGAATATGTTATCTACTAAGAGATATTATTATTTTAACCAATATATGAATATCTAATAGATCAATTCATGAGTCTAGTGAAGCTAAAGCACCATGAAAAACCCGGATGCAGAATACTAGAGAGTCTCATACTGGGACGAAACAACGCTTCAAGGCTTTCCGTTGTGGTTTAGCTCCAATTGACTCATGAATTCATCTATTTAATTATTTAATTACTAAATTGGGGGAAATTTTCATTTTATGACTTAATCTCAAATAATTCTAACTAGGTGGAATAATAATATTTCGAGAACTCAATGTTATATATTTAACAATAAACTAATTTACCAATGTCTAATGACATCTTCAAGGTAAAGTTTTGTAGTTTTCATAGACAACCTACTTAGTAATTATAAGTAGACGCACTTGTAAACAAAAATAGTTCGAAGCCCGCGGGTGAGGTTGTGTATGCTCACTGTTGAGGAGTCCCCTACCAGAACGAAACGACCGTCCAGTGCTTCCACGTTTTCAGTGGTGGTCTAACATTGGTTGTTTGATGATCTTAATTACATCTGGTTTTTCTAATGTATAACTTCTATGAATCACTGCATTATATTGTGATCTATTTAAAATTTGATAACTGTAATCTATTTATATATATATTAATTACTACCGTTACCTATCCCACATAAAAGAGCATAAATCGCTCACTAGTATTCTCCACTCAACTCTGCTCTAGGTAATCCTTTCCAATTGCTATTGATCCTTTTCATATCTGTTTTCATTTCCCGACGCAGTATGTTCTTTGGCAAATGTATATAATCTAATTTGTTAATGTTGTTTAGTGTTAGAATGGTACAATTGACTGAAGAAAAAAATAATAAAACTTGGATAAATGATAACTTTTCTTCTCAGTTATGTGATTCCAGAATTTTAACCAAATAACCAAGCGACTTACAGTTAATATATGCATTAGTCACAAGATACTTCTATGATATTACTTATAAGGTAACGAGTAATGATTAATGAGGTATAATGAAGAAAGATCAAAAATCAGTTACCAATGTATCAATTAAGCTTTAAAACTTCTATTAACTTGTTGATTAAATCATTTTCTATAAATTACTTTTATCAGTTTAACAGCAACGTTGGCAGCAATAGGAGCAGCTAGTGTTCCAAGCGCTGGTTTAGTTACTATGATGTTAGTGCTTACATCTGTTGGATTGCCTACAAAAGATATTTCTTTAATTTTAGCAGTTGATTGGTTACTGTAAGTTTAAAAATGAACAATAATCTATTTTATGATAATAAAATTACTTTATAGTTTTACATTAAAAATTGTCTTTAGTTAAACAACTAAAAGTCAATAGATAACATTGTGTTATTAGTAAACTCTTCAATGGTATACAAACATAACTTTACTCGGGGTCGAACGTATGATTCTCAACACATATAGAGAATGCATTACTCATAAATCATCAGGTTAATATACAATGGAGAAAAATCCTCGATACTGTGTAACTTTTATTGATTACAGTTAGTAAAATCTATTTCATTACCAACATGCTTGACCCACCACTGTCTACCGTTTCTGAATTGATTTGAAAGAAATAATGAGAGTGAATCGCAACTAAGCACATAATTAATATTTGTGTATATCAATGGGGACCATTCAGTTTTACGATATACACTATTTTCAATGAGGATTTAGAATGATTAGTAGAATACTATTTCGTATAGTTATATTTTGCAGTCCGTTTCAATTACAATATATTGTTCTATGTTTGGTGATAGTTACTAAGTCATAGGAAGGAAACAAGGTTGCCTGAGGAATTTCATTACTAAATGAATACGTTTATGAGCAAGTTAGTAAACTGTTGTTTAAGGTATTATTAAACATAAATGATTTCCTTAGTTTCTTCGATATACCATACTATTTCTATTTAAATAGTTTCACTTTCGAAAAGATCTTCATTTATATTCACATAGGAAAGCAGAGCAAATCTCTCAGGCAAAAATCATAAACATCAAAGATTTCATTGATTATTGGTTTAATATTAGTCTGTGAGTGTGAACTAAGGGTTTCAAAGTTCACTTGGAGTTGTTTTACTTGCATCTTCTCATTGATGTTTAGGACAGCAATTGATTAGTCTCTTGTAAGTATAAATGTGCATTCTGTGCGAATTGTCATGATATAGCCTTAGATCACAAGCATTATAGATGGATAGTGGCTAGCAGTGGAATCTAGGATGCGGGCCACGTCTTCTTATTTAAGACTCGTCAGCCGGGTGTTCCTGCATTTCATAGTTGATGTTCACTCTGGAACATGAACTCAGTGTTTTCAAAGGAAACAACTAGTTGAAAAAATTTAGTTTATCTGAAAGAATTTCACTGTTAATGACTATGAAAAGATTTGAAAAATCTACACGTCATTCATTTCTACTAAAGTTGGATAACTTAAATCATGGAATACAGATTAAAAAAAAACAATATAAGTAATTCATACTGGTTTGAGACTCTTCAATTGTGCAAAAATACAAGCTAAAACAATGTTGATGTTAACATCTCTCAAGTGCTTAAACAATTGCAGCAAAATTTACTTTTCTACATATTTGATTCTCTCTATAAAACAAGTGAGAAACGATGTCTTTCCGTCATCTTCGCCTATGCCCCGGCAGATTGCAGCCCGGATGCAATCAAGCATGAATTCTACCACCAGTTAACTGTTCTTCTCCAGAAAGTGCGTTCGACAGATATTGTAGTACTAGCCGGAGACTTGAATGCTCAGGTCGTGCGTCTAGGCACAGAAGAGAGTTGTTTAGGTGGCCGATGGGGATTTGTTGGTCGCAGGACAGATAACGGGGACCGTCTACTGTGACTGTGCACAGACCATAACCTATTTCTGGCTAACACTAACGTCCGGCACAGTCATCGCCGATGTGCCACCTGGCATCTCCCCTCTGTATCTCAAGCCTGGACTCAGATTGATCACATCGCGATCAGCTACCGCTTGCGTGATTGTGTATAAGACTGTCGCTCCTTTTGGAGTACCTATCTGAACTCTGATCATCCCCTTGTTTGCGCTAATCTTACCTTACTTTTCAGTGGCCAACGAACTTTATATGGCGTATACATATTTGGTGCCCTCTTGTACCAATATTTATGCGTTCAAATAAATAATAAAACAAGTTCATGGACTGTGATGAGAACAACTGAGTCATAAAATGAACAAAATATAAAGTCGTTAAGTTTCTCGTCAATATCATTAAATATTAGTAAATTTATAGTTTAAATATTCTTTTTCAGTGATCGAATTCGTACTTCAATCAATGTAATGGGTGATGCAGTTGGAGCTGGTATAGTTAATCATTTATGTTATAAAGAATTAGCTCAAAAAGATGCTGAAATTGATAAAGAAATAGATGAAGTTGTAGAAGAATATACACGTGAATTATCTAATGTAACTAATATAACAGATCGTGAAAAACGTAATTCATCTAGTATTGGTCGTCATAATAAAAAACGTATGAGTTTAGCTGCAGCAATGCGTTTACAAGAAAATACATCACCACTTGGTACAGTTATGCCAAATCAATCAACAATAAATGAACCAGAATCACCAACATCTAAATCATATTTACCAATGAATATACATCCAAATGATAAAAATGATAATTAATTATTTCATAATTACATTTCTATTATTATTATTATTATACTTTCTATTATTGAATACGTTGATAGTTTAAGTATATTACTTTTTTGAAGTTCCTTATCATAATATTACCCATTTGTTTTATTCTTTCATTCTTTACCTTATTTTCATTCAATAGAATTAGACATTTTAAACTGCTCAGTAACTCCCTTTTTCTTTTCTTTTTTTTAAAAAAAACAAAAAAAATATTTAAAAAAACACAAAAAAAGAACAAACTTACATTTTAAATTCCTGTTTTAGTTTGAAGTAAAAATTAGTGTAGTATAATTTTATTAAGGCAAAGAAACAAAACAAAATTGACCAAACTTTCAATGAAAAAATCGATGAATTGGTTACTAGATTACATAATTCAATTATTAATATCATTAATTGTAAACTAATAATAATAATAATCAATATTGTAAACAATTTCATAATCAGTTTTTTTTTCATATTCACATGAATTTACATACATAATTCATATTCTTTATAAAGGGAACAACAATACACAATAGTAACATGAAGTTACTGAGAGAGAAAGAGAGAGAGAGGGGGGGAGTGAGGGAGAGGAAGAAAGAGATCGGTTGTTCTGAATGTTCATTGTTTATTATTTAATAGTAATTTTGGATAATATAATTATTTTCTATTCAATATTACATTACATACTGTTTATTTTTAAGAAGAAAAAAAGGAGAAAGAAGAAGAAAAAGAAAAGAAAGAAAAAAAGGAAAACAAAGAGATAATCCGTTTAACTTTATTTAGAATGAATGATATATATATTGAACTATTTATTCATTTTATTTAACAATGATCATTCATTGTACGATTGACATTTTATGTTGTATCATTGATAATGATAATTTTATGCCTATAAATAATAATCATAATAATATTTATTAATTTAATATGTTTCACATATATTAGTTGTTCATCACAACTCTATATGATACTTAGTTAATTACTTATGCCTGTTACCTATCATGTGGGAGTATAGGCTGCTCATCAGTATTCTCCGTTCAACTCTATCCTGTGAAATCCCTTCCAGTTGTTATATATTCTTTTGATGTCCGCTTTGAATCTTTGATGGAATGTGTTCTTTGATCTTGTTTTCCTTCACGATTCAAAGTGCTTGTCTTGAGATGCAGTTTGACGATTTTCTCAATGCATGGCTTATCCACATACAATAACTTTTACTGATTTCTTCTTCAACTGGTAGTTGATTTGTTCTCTTCCACAGTAGGCCGTTGCTGATGATATCCCGTCAACGAACATTCAGTATCTTAAGTAGACAATTGTTTAGAAATATTTGTACATATTTGAGGATGGCTGTGTTAGAAAACTAACATAGCTCCGTACAAAAGAACTGTCTCGACGTTCGTATTAAGGATTCCGAGTTATATTGGATGACAGTTTTTTTGAGTTGCATATGTTCTTCAACTGTAGGAATGTTTTCCTTGCTTTGCCAATTCTTGTATTTACGTCTATATCAGATCCGCCTTGTTAACCGATCACGCTACCCAGATAAGTAAGTGTATCACCAACTGTGATGAAGAAACTTTACATGATAACAAATGTATACATGTAAATAATAGATTGTCTGTCGCAGTAAATAAAAAATAGATATATTTTCATATTTCATTAACTTACTAGTAGGTTGTTGATGTGTTAAACATATTTGTCAGCTAAAGATTTATATATTTGTCTTTGAGTACTACTAAAAGTTAGTAATATCAACCGTTTATCCATATTGAAATGGTTGAAGGTAGGTTTAAATCTGCAATCAACTGGTTATAAGTAGAGTGTTTAAGCCAGCGTTCCATATAGGTTCTTGATAAATGATGTTTATAAATTATTGTTAAATAAAACCGATTTAACTATGAAGTTCATTATTAAATCCTTAAGAGGATAAATAATTTCTTCAAGATTCGACTCATTGTTTTAGGGTACGACAGATAGTGATAAGATTGAAATTTCGAAGAGGATCAATTTAAAATAAAACATATAATCCACTTGGTATTATTTTACTTCAATATTCTCATTGATATTTAGGACTGCAATTGATCAGACTCTTATTGGCATATGTGCATCCTGTGCGTATTGCCTTAATTTACAAGCATTATATGCAAAGATGGATAGTGACTAGTATTGTAATCTAGGACGCGTGTTTTGTCCTATTTGGGACTCGTCATCTGGATGTACGGTACTGGGTTCGAGTCCCAGAGTGAACATCAACTCTGAGATGTAGGTAAATTCAGCTGACGCGCGTCCTGGATTCTACTGCTAACCACTATCAATCTTTGCTTATAAAACTTTTAATCATTCGAATAGCGTTAAATGGACACTAAACATTAATTTTGGTAATTTCAAGTTTATTTATTTCAACACATAAATATTGGTACAAGAGGGCACCAAATATATATGCGCCACACCATATTAGTGTGTGTGTGTGGGCTGTGATACTGCTCGGGTGCCCAGACTGAAGCAGGTGGTTTTCTTAGGAGACCACACCCCGAGCCTTTGACCTAAAGGTCTGACTCACAAGGCAGTGAAACATCGTGAGGAGATTCATTCCCATGGCAGCCGGTGACCAACGATTGGTTCATACGCCATTCGTTCACTCAGGATACTGGAGCCCATGTGCACCATTGGTTTGAGATCTGATTAAAGAGCTAGATATTCGCTATCCGTCTTCTCAATTTCGTAAACAATACCCCTGCCACGAGAAGTTAGACTGTTTGAATTAGGAAACGACATTAACATAGTTTGCAAACAATTAATCTCTAACCCCCTGACAAAGGTTTTTTTTGTTTAGAACATAAAACTACGTGAAATTGCTTAAATATACCGCACAATTTTAAATTGAACAGTAGCATTATTATTGATATCAGTCTAAACATAAGCCAGTCAGTATTCAATAACGTAGGATCTAGTATGAATATGAGAATTCAGTTCAAATGAATTAATATTACACTGAGAGAGTAAATTAACGAAATGGAAATCAAATACAACGAATTGATTTGTAATTCAATCAAAATCTAAACATAAAAGATAAAGAAACGGGATAAGTGAAATAGAACGTTTTACGCATGATGTTCAATGACAAATGTAACCAAGCTAACTTTTACATCGGTATACTTTAAAACTCTTATACGCACGATCTTTGGTTGGTTGAATACAAGTAACCTTAAGAATCTCTCTCTCTCTTTAGTATACATATATATGGGCAAATATTAGATTGTTAACGTGAGTATGAAACCAAACTAGAAATCCTTTTCCCTAGTAATGATTATTTGAAATGATACTATGTCAAATTTATTGTTGAAGCCAAATTAGCTTCGTTTTGATCTATTTGAAGTCAAAAATTTGGTCTGCACATAACTTGTTAGGTTTTCATAAAACAAAAAGTAAATGCGATAGCCAATTTATATACACACATATATAAAGACAGTTTATCAGCGTCATATAACCTCTATTAATATCAAATAAATTAAAGAATTTTTCGTTTACATCACGAACTGATCTTAGTAAAGAAGTACTATTGACAACGAGTAAGCATTGGACAACTGTTTCGTCTTGGTATGAGACTCTTCCAGTATTGAGCAGCCATGACTTTGCCAGAGATCGAATCCAAGAACTTCGGTCACTCTACGAGTGCCTAACCTTTAAAAAATAAATCGGCATCCAATAGTTTAAACTCTTAATTGCAATCGATTTGTGATATAGCTGCAGCCATTCTCAAATGTCACTACTAATTAATAACTACCTCAAACTCAATATGACTGAATTCCACTTGTTACGGCTTTTAATTAACTCCAACATGGACTGACTGGGGGAAAGGAAGGAGAATGGCGATTAGCAAATCTACGTGCATTCAACAAAATGGTTATATGCGGAACTATATTACCCCACAAACGCATACACAAAGCTATATGGGGTTTTCCCGGTTCACACTATAGAGAATCAGATTGATTGTAATTGCATCACTATAAAATTCAGAAAGTCAACTGAAGAAGTGAGAACAAAGAAAGGAGCTGATATAGCATCAGATCACCACCTGTTGGTCTCCAAGGTGAAACTGAAGCTAAAGAGTACCGAACTGCAGAAACAGCATTACAAAGGTTTAATACAGCCTTCCTCCACGAATTCATGATAGATTTCAGCAACAGATTCCAAGCCTTACAAGATCTTTTCAAAGAGGAAACTTCTATGAAGAACAACTGGTAAGTAGTCAAACAAGCAATAACGTCAACGTGCCAGGAGCTTCTGGGAAGCAAGGAGCATCACCATATGGAATGGATCTCTATCAAAACCCTGGGCAATATTCAAGAAAAGAAGACAATGATTAACAATATCCGAACAAGAGCAGAGAAAGTAAAGGCAAAAGCTGAATGCACAGAAGCAAACAATCATGTGAAAAGAAGTATTAGGACCTACAAAAAGCACCCAGAAGTACTGATAAAAAAAGCTGCAAGAGAAGGAAATATGAAACAACTATATGACACAACGAGGAAACTGGGAGGGAAATATGGTAAACCAGAAAGATCAGTCAAGGACAAACAAGGCAAGTTAATCACTGAGATTCAAGAACATAGGAACAGGTATGTAGAGCACTTTGAAGAACTCTTGAATAGACGAGCCCCACTGAACCCACCGGACATCGAAGCAGCACACACAGACCATCCTATAGATTTCGTTTCATCAACGATCACCATCGCCATCAGACAAATCAAGAGTGGGAAAGCAGTAGGACCTGTAAACTACACGTATCTGGTCGGCATCATCGATGAACAAGGAGGATGAGATTCAGATGTAAGTGCAAGGATTGGCAATGCAAGGAAAGCATTCCTACAATTGAAGAACATTTGCAACTCAAAACAACTGTCAACCAATATAAGTCAGAATCTTTAATATGAATGTTAAGACAGTTCTACTGTACGGAACTGAAACTTAGAAAACTAACACAACTATCGTCAAAATGTACAAATATTTATAAATAGTTGTCTATATAAAATACTGAAGGCCAAAATACACACTACATCAGGAATGAGAAGCAGATATCAATAGGATGAATCGTAACTCGAAAGGATTGCCCGGGAAAGAGTTCAATGTAGAATCCTGGTGGGCGTTCTATGCTCACACAAGGGGTAACAGGCGTAAATACGGCATTTCACTAGAACTTCAAGAATTACCACTCAAAATTTATCACTAGTAAGCACACAACAGAGGGGGTTTATAGAGATAGTTGAATTTTCATAGTTAACATAACAAACTGATCTATAACCCCCCCCCAGTAGTAACTATTCTGTCTGCCAAAAATAAAATCAAAACTGATCTTAATTTTCATATTCAAATAAAATTTTACTTTACAGTAAACATAATTCACAACCAATTTAGATTGTTAGAGAGATTATAATTATAATTATGAACGAACCAATCACATATATAAGATAACAGATCTTATTGTTGGTGCAAAATTTATTTATTCATTTAAGTAAATAACATTTTGACATTATAAATTATATCAGTTCATGATAAAAACCCTTAATATATATTCCTTAACCTTAACCATTAATTGTATATCCTAATTCTAATGAGATATGGCAACTTAGACCGATGCATATATGTGCCTAGTTCTACGTTGTAGCTAACTGACTGATCACGTTATGTATTATTTTTGACTAAATGATTGCTTAAAAGGCTCAAAGTTTATAAGTTTATGGAAATTTCCAAAGAAAATGGTAACCTTTATTCGGTTTTAATTAATAGGGTGGATATACTCAAAGTCATCTGAACGTCATTCAAAGGTCTCTCCACTTTATTGATCTTACATCAGTTTACATTAACAAATAAACGAACGAAAGTATCATTCATTATTGTACAGTTTTCTTCTTTTTTTGTGGCATTCTTAACAAAATAAATAAAATTTGAAATGAAAATCAGCACAAACACACACATACACACACAAAATAATAAGTGATAAGTTATAGTTGAATAAAAGTAAACAAGTAAACAATAAGGCATTTAAGTAAACAACTGATAAAGAAATAAACAAACAAACAAAACAGAAACAAACAGAACAACTTACAAGATCTTGTTACTAAGCTACATTCAAGAGAACTATTCAAAAGTATCATTTGTATAATAATGATAAAAAAGGGGTAAGGGGATTTTGATATTGATCTTCTTTGAAAGACACTATATTTATAAAATATAAATATAAATGAATTGAATAGATTCAATTAATTGTTTACACCTAATAGACTATAATCTCTTTGAGGAAATAATATTGGAGATTGTTGATTTAAGTAAACGGCTAAATCAGACCAATCAATTTGTTTTAGAAGCTAAAAAAAAAGAAAAAGAAAGTCAAATTATGAGAATAAGAATAAAAAACAAACAAACCCATGTTGTAAAGTGTTTTCAAAAGATTATTATTTATCTAAGCATATAAATATTGGTAAAAGGAGGCATCAAACACTACGTCATTCTATTCGTGTGAGGAATGGACTATTGTTCGGGCGACCAGTCCGAACCTTTGACCTAGAGGTCTAATCTACAACACAATGGAAAGACGTTAGAAGATGCAGTTTCATGGTAGCCGGTGGCCAACGATGGGTTCATACGCCATTTCTTTCCTCAGAATCCTGGAGCTCATTTGCACCATTGGTTTAGAATAAGAGTTTTCCAACTTTCCTAGGTGGATCCTGTATATCCACGAACACTGTTAGAGCGCCGGAAACCCGATTCTCGTCATCTCACTTTTGTAAACAACACCCTCACAGAGAGAAGGCATTGAGTAGGAATTCTTTGGAAAGGGAGAACGCACTCTCCCCACCCTCTGCCGTACCAATGCATTTGAGGGTACTAAGTAAATGACCAGACTAATAGATGAACGAGCTGAGGATTTTAAAATGTTAATCAATAACATTTTAGTTACATGAATTTTATATTGTTCAATGCATCCCATATTTGTAGTTAAGTGCTTATTTCATTCGCGTTTTAATTGTTCAAAATATCGTAATGACATGAAAGAGAATTCAGATGCGGAAAACCAATCTACCGTTTAATGTAAAATTACACAGTGCTTTCGTAAAATATGAGAATCAAACATTAAATATATTATTTACACATCTTCCTTCGTTTGCCCTGTAAGTGTTTCATGATTCTTCCCACCCTGTTGTCGCTCTCCATTTCCATCCCTGTTCTCTTCAATTCGATCTTCTGCTGGCATGCATTCTACTTCCGATTGCTGCTACATACTACTTATATCTGTCAGCATGATTAGCATACACTACAATAGTAGTAAACCTTCATAAGTCAGTTTTTTCAGTTATCTAGTCTTTTTGTGTTTACTGACTTCTTACACTCTGATTAAAGTTCAATTAAATAGTCCTTATCAAAGTTTGTTCACGGAGTCAATAACTTTGAGATTATTCTTTTCCTTTCAATTTTCTTAATGCTAAATATTTTCCTGAAATTGTTTAAAACAGACAATTGACCCTAATCTACTTAGTAAAAACAATCACTTAGACGATGACTCGATCATCAGAAAGCAGAAGACGCCGAACATATTTCATGTTTTCATCTATACAGTAGGTTAACTGCCATTTGTACCTACCATAGTTAACGTAACTATTAGATAGGCGGTGTACGTCATTCAAATGAATTCTTGTTTGCTTAAGTTGAGTGACTTAATGTGGGATTAAGTTTCGGTACGTCAACTATTCGCGAAATCAGAAGTTACTAAAACAATAACAAAACGATATATCCATAGAGTAAGAAAAGCTTTTAGTTATCAGTACAAAAGTATACAGCATTCGCTTTCTCAAACTGAAATGCAATTTTCTGTAAGCCTTTGTTGAAATCTGGTAATTTGCTTATTCCGAAACAATTCACTATAAGAAATCTTTGACACGAATGAATAAAAATGGTTTTCTTGAGATTTTATCATTTGGGTTGGATGAATAACGAGTGGAAAGAGCTGGGAAGGATTGCCCAGGACAGGGTTGGATAGTGAGTGCTGGTGGGCGACCTATGTTCCTCCACGAAGAGTAACAGATGTAAGTAAGTAAGTAAGTAAGTGAAATCATGACGCTTTTATTATCTTTATAGATAAAATCATTAGTCCAAAGCCCATTTCATTGGTGTCATTATTCTCAGTACATGTGTTCTAATTTGTACTTCACTTCAGCTTTTAGTTATTAATGAAATATTCTATACGATTACAAAGGTAGTCAGTCAGTCATAAGCAAACTAAGATCAGAGGTATAGATGTGTATCACTTTCAATAACTAGAACTTTCATCAATACAACCGTAAGAATATCTCAACACAACAGAAAATTGACGAACGTATGGAAAAGTATCGTTATCATAGCAAAAGAATAAAAACTCGAGAAGGAAATTAGGGAATAACATCAATGAAATAATAATAACAATAGGACTCAAAAGTCAAAACAGTACATGTGTGATGTATGCTACTTATGTTGACAGATATAAGTAGCATGAAACAGCAATCAGAGGTTGAATGCCTTGTAACAGGAGATTGAGAAGATTGAAATGAGGAGAAAAGAGTAGAAAATTGAAAGCTATCAACATGGCAACATGAATGGAGGAACAATGAAGTTTTTAGCAACCAATTCAAAAAAAGATGTCCAAATAATGTATTTAATGTATGATTCCATATTTTACTAAATCACTGTGTAATTTTCCCTTAAACAATAAATCGGTCATCCCAACCTGAGTGTTCATTCACTACACATGCATCTTCCCAATTATAAACAATTTTAAGTTATGTTAGTTAAAATCTTTATTCCTTGATTCCGAATCCAACCAACAGTCTATAATTGAATACACAGTTCATATAAACAACTTAATTACTGTGTACTGACGGTCATGTGTTGATTTGATCGGTCATAACATTTAGAAGAATTCACACTGAACTAGTATCCTAATCCATATTCATCTTATAAACTTTCGAATTTTAACAATAAATATGTTTGGTATCTATTTAATATAACAATAAATAGTCATTAATATACCCATGTTAGCCAAGGAAGAGTTGATTTAGATATCTCTAAAGAATTTTCTAAAGTTGCATGACATTGACGTAGGACTCCAAATGAAGATGTAGACGAAGATGGAAATGGACAGTTAATAATACCTCTTAATGCTCCGACAGGAGGTTCGTCAATCTAAATAATAATATAAAAAAAAAAAATTACAGTCTTAAAGTAATTGAAAAATTGTAAATTAGTGCCTTAAAGCATTTAATTTTCAGTTAAACAAAGTTGAAATTTTAAAATCAAGTTTGTGTCGTCCGATAGTATGCTACTAGAAGGATATGGAAGATTCACCTAAAGGAGTTATCTATACATATCAGTACAACAGAAAAGATGCAATGTAAGAATTTGGCTAAGAAATTGCATGAACTCTCTGGTGTGTGTGAACTATAAAAAGAAAATGATGAGAAATCCTCACACATAGGATAATCAGATTATATACCGAAACCCTCAATAAACATAGAACTTCACATTGATCCGATCAATTAAATAAACAAAAGAGAAAATATCTCACATTTATGTAGTTCAACACTGATCAATCAAAACAGTCAACGGGTGAGCTAGAGGCGTATGATGGTAACAATTCTACTGTCAACAACAAATGGTTACATTCAAAACTATCAAAATCCAATGATTTGATGTACATGCTGATGATGATGATTTTGTGAGATTTGTTTGTTGATTTATCTCAGTCGAAATAAATAAAGTATTTGAACAACTTTAATTAAGTGTAAAAACTACTATTCTAGTTATCATGATCTGAGATACAAAAAACCCCGGCTCTCATAAAGATATTTTCATCCCAGGACAGATCAAGCTATGTAAGAAACCCATCGTAACTTAGTATTTCACCATTTTCAGCTTGATTCTACCTAGTTTATTGTAAATCTCTATTACCTATATAAAATCGAAAATCTCAGTAATAGTTAAGTGAAATTCCATACAGAAGCTTGTGAACTACTACATGGAGGGTAGTATTAGTACAAATTAATGACCCAGTGTTTCAAGTATTCCAGTCACTAGTTTAGGAATCGCTGCCATATTGAGTTGCAAATGAAACTGAATAATCATGAAGAGATTGACTAATTTCTAGGAAATTAAATCTATAGTTCCACGTCATTGAAGTTATCTATAAACCTAAATAAATCATTGAAATGGAGGATTTCTAAACAATCATTAAACGATTGCTAAAAGTCGTTTAGAAAATCAGTTGATACAGTTATACCTACAACAGTTTACGTTTTGAGGTACTGTGTGAAGAAATTTGTGAACAAGTTTGTACATTCTTGAAAGATAACTTTTTAAAAAATTGGTTTGTAGTACATTTTTACACAGCCTTAGTTGGAAGCTTTCTTCCAACGAGTTAATTGCTATTATAGCCTTTGTGCTTAACATTTAATCAGATGTAAATGTGGAAAATCCCTTTATTGAGTGCGATAGAATCTCAGTGGTTAAGCGGTTCAACTTTCAGTCCCCAAGTCGAAGGTTTGAAACTTAGTCTATCTGTGGTGCATGCTACCCATGTTGACAGATATAAGTAGTATGTAGCACCAATCGGAATAAGAATGTCTGCCAGTAGAAGATTGGAATGAAGAGAACAGGAAGCGAATTGGAGAGTAATCAAGGAATAATGAAAAGTACTAAGTTTTGATTGAGATCATGAATCGATCAATCTTGGACAATCATTGAAAACCTGGAAGCACTGAATGGTCGTTTCTTCTTAGTATGGGACTCCTCAAAGATGCGTATCCACTATCCCGCACACGGAATTCGAACCCAGAACCCCTGATCTTACGCACGAATGCTTAACCTTCAGACTACTGAGTCAGCATTCAATGGTGTTAATGTCTAAATTCAACCAATCCACAAAATTACACAAACATCTTCCATTGCTGTCGGTGAGTAACTGCCTCACACCCGACATGGATTGGTTCCACTGATCACGGCTTCTCACATAGTTTAGGGGTTTATAAAAAAAATAATGTGTATTGTTGACTATTCATTTAAGCTTCTAGTATTCTGATTGGGACAGTTAGAGACATGAGGATTTTGGAGGGTGGGGTAGGGCGATTAGTTGCACGCATAAGTACAGTAATATTATCATTTAACTCAGTTTTAATGACGTATATGAAAACGTACAAAATATCTAAGACTGTGGGAGGGTCGTGAATACGCACTAATGAGAAGCTCCACATTAGGACGAAACAATTACCAGTTTTTATTGGTTTTAGATTGTGGTCTAGATAAGTGACTTAAATGGGAATTCTACAATCGCTATAAGGCCCTACACTGTTAATAATCATATGCTTACCAGCAACTAACTTTAAGATGCAATTTATGAAGTCCTAATGAGAAGACGTGATCAGTGTTGTGTGAACAGTTATCTACTGCAGATAATGAAAGATGATCGTACAATATCGTTAATTAACCAAAGTTAAATATATGAGCCATCGGATATGAAATCAATGGTCTCGAAATTATGCATTTGCAAATGAAACTGAAGGTCTTTGATTTGAAACCTAATTGGCGAAATCGTAGACATGTACTTCTGTGGAATCATTTATCGAACAAACGTTCAATCCAATGTTTCTTCGTTTTCAACAATAATCTAGCTAACATTAATACATGGAAATATTAATAATATTATTATTATTAATAATCTTACTTGATATAATAAACGAAGAAAATAATAAATAGCTTCAGCATATTGTTGTTTAATTATCATATATAAAATAAAAAATGTAATTAATCTTCCACCAATTGAACCATAATTCATAGATGATAAATTTTCATTCACTGATAAAAGAAGCCAACTAGGTAAAGCATTATTACCTAATTGAATATTTAATCCAATAGAATCATTATTTAAAATTGTTTGACTAATTAATTTCATTAAACGTTTATAAATATGATCAAGATATTGAATTAATTCAAGACAAGATAATGATTGTTGATCAATTGGATCATTTGAATATATCATTTTTGATTTAATAAAATTATATAATGACCATTTATATTGATTTGTATCAATCAATTGATGATTTATATAATTTAAACAAATTAAACGTTCAGCAATAAGACGACCATAACGAGTTAATATATCTATAAGACGTAATTTAAATTCAATAGCATTAATTCCCATGGATTTTTGATTATTGTTCTTGCTGTAAAAAAAAGTAAACAAAACAAAAAAAACACATTTTGCTGATAAAAAATATTAATGAAGTCAGTTTAGATGGTAATGTGAACATGAATAGAAACTGTTTACGTTACTTGTTGAAAGAAAAAAAATGAGGAATGGATGGGGACAAATTAATTTCACAAGCTTAGCATAGATTTGGTGATTGAAATATATCATTATCGTTTGGTTTCAACCCCGTAAAGGTGTATGGTCTGGTATTATACCGAGACTATATAGGTTATTCTGGCCTATGGACAGATCAATTTATTCATTCTTCACAACCCTGTCACTTATTCGCTTATCAAGCTTGGCTGTTTTATGTAAGCGTATACGTGTACAATTTTTATCTTACCACATGTCTGTAACTTATTTTTGTCTGACTATAAATATCGATTCACATTTGGTTAAATTGAGTTGGCTCATTCGTCTTCACCATTGGGCATCATTTTGTTTTGCATTGCTTTCTGATCAACGATTGTACGAAATAAACATATTCAAAAGTTCATTCTCGTATTTGGCTTATTTAATTCCGTTATCCACTAACGCGATTTAAGTCGATAATTATATACGAGGATTGACGACATGTATATTTCGATAACGATAATCACACGTTCGAAGAGAAGTCAGATATCCCTGAGCCACTCTAAAAGGTCTCGTTATTGAGGTGACAAAGTAATAGTAGAAAAATTATTTATTATAGAATAACTGGATTATGGTATTCTACAATACGTTTCGTTATGTTTGGACATATATTAATAACGATATCAGACCAATTGAATAAACTAGTCGCTATCTTGACTCAATAGCTCAGTGGATAACGGGATTAGAGATTTAGAGGAAAAAGTACTGAACTCAAGTCTCTGTGTGAACAGCTAGATCTAATCAGCAAGCCTTAAATATGACGAGGCATGTTTCCTATACTCTGTTGTTTGCCACAATCTAGTTTTACCAGAACGTGTGACGAAATACATATACAAAGACACTTCGTTCAGGATGTCCATAACCCTACAGAGACTGAACACATGCAGTCCTGAATATTAGTAATGGAATAATCCGAACTTTTATTAATAGTGAAATAAAAATCTGTGCTAAGTGTTTTAGACATTAAAATTTTTTACATATATATTTTGTAGTAGTACAGCCGTTATTTAGATAAGTCTTTGTTTAGCACTTGGACTTCAAGGATATCTCGATGTGGTTGGACACTTTAATACATTTAAAAATATACATTGTTATTTTATAAACTTAAAACATAATTAATGACCGAAATAGTTTAGTCATATTTGGATTAAACCTAGTACAGTTTCGTCATCTGTTACACAATATTATCGCTAGGATCCTCAAAGATGAGTGTAGAAACACTTAACCGATTCATGGCTTTACAAATGAGAAGTGCTTTCTTTTCAACAAATTCTGATCTCATTGCTAATACATATGAAGAAAGGTCGTCAATTCTAAAAAACGTTTACTTACTTTTCAGATTTGACTATTCCTTGATTAGATTGACTTACAACACACCCATCAGAAGGTTCAGGTCTAAGAAGATTACACAAAGAATCAGATTTGCAAAGTTCTAATTGTGATGATAAAGGAGACGATAGCGTATATTCACCATTCAATGATAGATTACTACAAGAACTTGCAAAAAGACATGCACCATCAGTAGTGGCTAAAGTGTTGGTCTTGAGATTCTTCTTCATAGGTGTCACTGAGTTACTATTATTATTATTATTACTAGATGGTAATGAAACATTCAATAGATGATAAAATAAATTATTCTCTTTCGTAGGCACTGATGAAGATTTAATTGAAACTTTTGAATTATCCATAATATGTAATTGTGTCGTCTTTTGTATGGTTGGCATTGATGAGAATTCAAAAAATCTGTTCAACAGGTTCAATGTTTCATCGGAATTTATCAATCGACCATTCATTAAACAATCAATATCATACCACAGTTTGAAACGTTCTTTTAAAAGTATGCATAGATTAGTATGCCAATCATTACGAATATTAACATCGTTATTATTATTATCATCATCATTGTCAAAGGTACTTATGAACGGTTTATCCAATGCACATAAATCTACATGAATTTTACAAAGAATAGCACTGAATTCATCTGAATTATAGTTGTTCACCTTGAATGATGTTTGATTTTTGTTATCATTTGAGAGATTATGTTCTGTCGTGGATTTCGGTGGTGTTACCATTACTGATGCCGTTGCCTCTAATGTTTGTTGACCGCGCACCGTTTCTCTGCTTGAATTATTGACATTAAAGTCAATATTGTCGGATATTGTCAAGATTTTAGTATCTTGTTCAATGAAATTCAATGAATCTTGAGTATTATGATCATTTGATTGTGAATCTAATTCGTTTGGTGATGATTTCGTCGAGTTATTAACCTCCGCCTAAATAACGAAAACAAATATTTTTTAGAAAAATTTGAACCGATTCCAAGAGGACCGACAGTAATTTTTTAAATTTATCATGTAAATAATTTTCTCATGAGACAAAAGCAACCTACAATGGAAATTGTATTTAGTTGAGTTTTAAAATATGAGTAGTATGATCTTTACATTGAAGATATTACTGTTATATTTTACTTAAAATATCAAATTACACGGATACACTCTGTTGATAAATGTCAACTAGTATCAAATACCAAACGCAAGATACTCAATATCCGTTGGTCGGATACCATCAGCAACAGCCTACAGTAAAAAAGAACAAACCAACTTCCATTTACAGAGGAAATTAGGAAAAAACGATTGGGGTGGATAGAAGATACTTTATGGAGATTGTCAAACTCCAGCATGAGGCAAGCGCTAACTTTGAAGGGAAAAGGAAAAGAGAAAGGTCAAGGAACATATTGAGTCGGGAATCGGAATCAGACATTAAAAGAATGTATAGCAACTGGTAACAACTGGATAGGATTGTCTAGGACAGAGTTGGTTAGAGAATTCTGGTGGGCGACCTATGCTTCTCTACGACGGTAACAGATGTAAATAAGTAACAAAATACGAACCAACCAGATTCACAGATCAACTATGTACAAATAAGTTCATCAAAAAATTAATTGAAAAGCAGTATAATATCACTTATTATTATATGTGAGCAAGTACAGAAATGAGGTTGACTAGGAAAATGTTAAAATATTGGACAGAGAAGATAAAAAGAACGCATATAGATTGTTAGAAGAAGAATAGTAATCAGGTCATGTATCAATTAATAGAAATAAACCAGATTTATCAATCAATAGAAATAATAATAAATAACCATAAGATCACAGTAAAACACACTCATAATAAATATACTAATAATGTCAAGATAAATTCTAGATCAATGGACCAAAGCACAATCTGTTATATCCGAATGAAGACTAAAAGAGCGGTAACTTCCAGGACTAATTTATAGAGTATTATACATATATTCCTTTTATTGTAAGCTTTCAATTGACCCATCAATCACTGATATACGATTTACTCTTCGTAGTTCTTAATTAATTTCCAATCTATTATTCATAGTCTCCCCAACTGTCAGTCAATTTTTGACTTGAACATGTATAATAATTATTTATTTTATGGTGTAATGTAGTTAACTACGTATGCTTGAAATATAAGGTGACCTTGCACTGGTGGTCATTGATCGTGTTTTTTTTCTTTTCGTTTGAAACTAGTTAGAGCTGGATCAACCGTCAAGTATAGATTATCAGTCTTCTCGTTCTTGTTGTGTATCGGTTGCTTAAGACTGTCCATGCGTATTAGTCAGTGCTAGGACAGCACTATTCAAAAATGTTTATTTCTAATATACAAATACTAATATTCCTAATATTTATAGGAGACGTCTAAGGAGTCACCGTAATACACCTTATATTTTACAGAACTGTATTAAAACTAAAATATCAAGGAACGACAATGAACAAATAAAACTATGACATTAAAATGGTCCATATTACCTTTTGTTCAACGTCATTTACATAACTATTTGGATTATTATCAGCGTCCCATCCTGAAGAACGAATAAAACGCAAGTAAAATTAATAGCATTTATGTACAAAAGATACTACTATGTTTGAAGAGATTACGGTATCACTTAAAACCGACGAACGGAACGAAAATCAGCAACACAATAACAGGACAAGCTAATCTATTCCACAGCGCTCCAGCCCTGTTAACTAGAAGTAAAAGACCAGATTCACCCGGGAAAAATATATATTTCATAAGCAGCCAGAACTACGAATGAACAAGTACACAACTTATGCGTATATATGCATTACAAAGATGTCCTTGGAAAACGACATACAATAGCGTACTAGAAGAGGGAACGAACCGATGATATTTAAGGTCCTTCCAGGTGGGGAATACAAAATGAAGGTAAAAATAGGCGTTTTTGGAGCGAAAACGAGACGTTCGAATTTTCGTAATTTTATTACGGAAATCAGACAATTATCAAGTGATTTCTAGGGATTTAGCATGTTCAACAGATAGATAAACATAAAATGGCCTACATGACTAAGTAATTGTGTAGCGTCACTTTTGTATCTTGAAAATATTATTCATAAGCAACATAAAAGCTAACTGCACAAACGAACAACAATTGACCAGTCAAGATTAATAGGAGAGATCGTTATCCGTAGAAAAAATGATAACGTTGTAACATCTAAACACAACCGTATTTCATCATGAGACCCTTTGAAAACAATTATTAAACAAATCTACCACCAATTGTCGAATTGACGACATTCACGATCCACAGTAGCCAAATCATATAATGAGATGAATACTGTAGAAGTATTACTTTTGAGATCCACATCACACAAAGAATTATTATTGGTATTTCGATTGTATAATAGAAAAACCTTTAGACTGTTGTATTTTTGTATTCACCTATTTTTAAGCTTTCGTTTGCTCTCCAAATCTTTGTCATCCATCCTTTCATTCTGGATCAATCATTAATGACTTATTCTTCTATAACTCTTGTTTTGCATAACTTATGACGAAGTTATGTACACGTAATTCCTTAATTGTGTTGTTATATGGTCAGACATCTCAGGCATTTTACTGTATGAATTATGAATCATGATGGAACTGGGTGCAACTGAGAACTGATCTGATTTCTGTTTTCGTCTTTTGTTTGGTCATTGAATTCTAGGAAGCTTAAGGGCCAATAGGCTCTAAGGTCATAATTGTTGATTACTAGTCGGTATGTCAACTGGTACATAGGTCAATCGTCCTACTGACAATACAGGTTAAATAATCGATAATACGACTAGTAAAAAGTCTTACCTTTACGCTCGTCAGTTAAATCTGTTTTCACATTATTGATCAAGTTTTCACACATAATCGATGATGAATTATGATAAGTATTATTATTTTCATGAGATTTTTCTAATTGGCACATTTCCTCTTCGTGATGATCTTGATGAATTGATGTATGGGATGTGTCTATATCCTTACAATCACCATTATTATTATTACTATTATTAAGCGAATTTTCATTCTTTTTATACTGATGTTCAATTGACCTAGAGTTGAAGAGGAATAACTCACCAAAACATTGGATCCATTCCAGATCTTCATTACTTAAACCCATATAGCTGATTAATAACTTTCTAGGAAGTTCTTTTACTTTTATATTATTATGATCAGACGATAGTATGGAAGATGAGAGGAGTACAGGTGATGAAGTAGCGTTATTAGTAGAAGTAGTAGTAGTTGGTGTTGTAATTAAAGTAGGTTTTGAAGACAATATGTTTGAATTATCCATGACTAAACGAAATGGATAAGTTACCTGTAAAAACATAAGTATATATATATGTATGGATTAAAAGATGAAACGACAAAATTCAGCGCAAAAAACGTAAGAGAAAAATATAGGTTGTACCTAAGAGGAGACCATTAATTTAGATATGAACCTAAAAAAATCGTCACTAATTTCTATTCTAAGCTATATCGGATAACATCTCAAGCCAGTGAATTCTATAATGCCCTAGTACGGCCGAGAGTGGGGAGAGTCAACTCTCCCTCTCCAAATGCTCTCATATGGCCACGTGCATACAACCACTTCCAGGGAAGTCCTACTTACTGACTTCTCACGGCATTACTGTTGTTTATGAAATTGAGAGGACAAAAAGTGAATGTTCGGCACTTTAACCGGGTTCGTGGATATACAAATTCAACCTAGTATAGTTGGAAAACTCTGATTCCAAACCAATGGTACACATGGGCTGCAGGATCCTGTAGGAACAAATGGAGTATGAACCAATAATTGGTCACCGGTTAATATGGGACTACATCTCTTTACGTCGCTCCACTGCCTTGTGAATTAGACCTTTAGGTCAAAAACTCCGGGTGCGGCCCCCTAAGAAAACCACCTGTTTCGGTTTCGGCACCCGAGCAGAATATTAGCCCTCACTTGAATCGAACGTTTTATGTGGTGCATATCTATATGATGCCTCCTTGTACCATTGTTTATGTATTTAGATGACTTTTCAAATCGACTAACAAAAGTCGTAGTTTTAGAAAAAGTAAAACGAACAATTTTAACTATTAGAAATAAATTCGAAAAATAAGTGAAACATCCAACAAACTCACTAAATTATGTAATAAATTAGAATCATAGAATCCAATCGCTCCGGAAAAATATGAACCTGGTACTGTATACGTCGGATAACTGAAATGTACAACATTAACAAATTAAACTATGAAAAGACAACATGAGAATTAAAAAGCCCTAAAGTAGAAATCAATTTGAATTCTATAAAAAGAAAATCTAATAAAACGATTAAAAGAGAAATACAATAAACAAATTAAAAATATACCTCTTGAAGCCAGTCACTAGTGAGCATATGTTGATTAATATCCGAAGGGGTTTTGTGGAGATTGTAGTAATTTCAATAGTTCAGATCATTAACCAATTTAAGCTAGAACACTATGGAAAACCTAGAAGCACTGAACGGCCGTTTCGTCCTATTATAAGACTTCTCAGCAGTGCGCATCCACGATCCCGCCTTGCAGGATTCGAACCCAGGAGTTGTGAGATTATAACCCACTGATGATAATAGTTGGATATGCCACTCAATTTCATGGATTAGTTGAAGTTAACCATTAACACCGTTGGATGCCGGCCAGCTCAATAGTCCTGGGTTCGAATTCCGCGAGGCGAGGTCGTAGATGAGCGCTGCTAAGGAGTCCCACAATAGGACGAAACGGCCATTCAGTGCTTCCAGGTTTTCTATGGTGTTCTAGTGATGTGTGGGCGAGAATTATCATGATTGGTTGTCTGCTTAGTCAGATATGTAGATAGTCTGACAGGTGTCAGATAAACGATATATTCCCTTATCCTTATTATTGTGACACACACTTATTATTGATTTTTCATTGTTGTGGATTGTGTCAGTTTTTGGTGTGAAAATATATTTACGTTGTGGTCAGGCTAATTACGTGTCCTTGATCTGAGTTGTGTTGACGTCCTGTAGAATAGACACTGGATCTAGTGTAAATCATCGTTTAAGGTAAATTAACGTCCCATACGTGGTAACGTGGAAACCCAACCGTTATAACATGAGACGAAGTAAAACCGAGCGTTATAACATCTAGCTTCAGTTGGATCATGATATGAACTATTGAAATTATTACAATCTCCACAAAACCCCTTCTGATACTAAAATAAAAAATAATTGAAACAATATAATTAGGTTAGTGAAAGTGAATGTAGGAGCATAATGACATCTTATAAACATTTTCCTCTTCATGAAAATAAACAGAATGAAAAAACTTTGCAACGGGTTGTAATCATGGAATAAGAATTAATGTATAGTGTACCTACTTAAATCTAAATTAGTTTATTTACTTAGTAAACTCTAGCAAACGATAGGCGTAAAAAAAGTGGAGTGGAGTTCGAACCTAGAACTTAGTGGTTGAAAGTCAAATGCTTTAACCCTCGCCTTACATAAATTAACACTGAAAAAGTTGATAAACGTTTAGGGTGAGAACTAAAAATGACTGAGTAAAAGAATTGTTGCAGCCCCACACCATGAATCGTAGGGTAGAATAGTCAGTAGAAAGTTCAGAGCACCATATATATGCTGATAATTTCTAAGAATATGGAATGTAGTCATGATAATCGCAGGGGTACTGAAAAACAGAAAGCTTCTGTAATCTGTTTCTTCATAGTATGGAGTAGTTCAGCAACGTACAATTAAATCTCTATGCACGATAAAACCTACAATTTTTAAATTATTTCTAGAGCCAAACACCAACTAGTTGTTGAATCAGGAATCAACAGCTTACATTTTTCAACCAGAACGGAAAAAAGTCTTCGAAGTACTATTTACTTTCCAATAGTTTACTAATTTATGAGTCACTTTTTAATGTTGTGATTCAATAAATTATTTGAAATAAATTGGTGGATCGTAATTGTACATATAACAACACTTACCGTTCATTTGTAAGACCTAGAAAAATACTAATTGTTTCGCATGCATTTACTCGACTAGGAAGACATGGCAATCGCTTTACCAATTCAAAACGATTTGATTCAATATTATCTGTGTGTTGATCATTTGTAATTGTATTTGATGAATAATTATTTAATACACTATGATTGATCATTGAAGTTTGTTTTGCATCAGATGTTAAAGGATCCATAGCAGAACAAAATTTGGTACCGTTCAAATTAAGCGATGAAGGGAATGAGCTGAATTCAAATTGTACAACACTTTGTCCAGTTAAACAAGAACCACCTTTTCTACCACTAGCTAATTCCATTCCTCCAGTTAAACGAAAACTTACTAATATTGGAGTGTTTTGTAATGATTGTAACGGTGACCAAGTGGAATTGATCGCGGTAGAATCAGCATTTTTGTATTCACTTAAAATATACGACAATTCGTTCCCTGGTGAACAGGGGACAGATAATGGTTTTATTGGTTCACGTTTTAAAGATGGACCGCTTTCATGGCAAATCTAACAAATACAAAAAAACAACAGAAAAAAGATTTTGATGTGCAACTGATTGAAGGTCTTAGTGTTCTAATATTGAACAGAATATGAGCTAATTTAACATTTCACGTTTATGGTGCTTCAAAGATCAATGATTTGTTGTATTTTATGTACTACTGTGTGACAAAGTGACAATGCTATTGTAGGGTGAGTGATACTGATCTCATTTGTAGGTTACCATAGAGCCTATGGGATACTTAACCAGTTATTTGACCGAGCTCATGTGGTTGCTAGTGTGATGCTATATAGTCTTATTGGTGGGAAGAACTTAGACTATAATAACGCAGATGCACCGTTGAATAATGCTAAAAAGAGGGAGGACTGTGTCATAACCTTGAAAAAAAAAGAATGATAATGCTAATGTAAATTCCTTATGAACTTCAGGGCTGATAGAAGTACTCTTTCTTTAGTTGATGTGGCTTAAGTGAGTAGAGTCTGTTGATATGTTGACGGAGAACCAATTTCTAGAGAAATAATTAAATTGATTGCCTCTCAAGCTACAGTTGCTAGTGACCGGATTGACCAACTAACGGCCCAAAGAAAACGATAGCACACAATGAAGGTGAATTGTTCTACACAGTCAAAACCTCGATGGAGTTCTGTTGGTAAAGCCTCATACAGCATGGATTCCAACAGTTATATCATTCCTCAATACCAGATATTTAGAGCTTCACTAATTAGAGATACGTGATTCCAGGTGACATGCAAAGGTCATTTGCTTCATTTGCCTTAAGCAAAGATATAGTAAGAAGATAGAGAGTGATTATGGCTCAGGATGACGGTATTGGAGTTATTATGGATCTACTAAGTTTAGAGATCACAAAAACTCCAAAAAAGATATGGAGTTATTGAGTGCAAATTCAGAAAACTTTGTGGCCACAAAAGTCATGAAGGACGGCATTAATTTTCTGTTGCACAATGGTGGTCACGCTGGAAGTTCAATGGACGTAATGACTACTGAAAGTCATTATGGTATTACGTAATACAGTTGCCTTTCAACTGTAAGCACACAGAACTTAAAGTTGCTCATCAAGGCGGTTATAGGCTATTCCATTTTAGCTAACTGTTCCATAAAAAACATCGATAAGCTCAGGATATTTAAGACAACTTGGTGGAATGTAGCAATGACAAGTTAGTACCAGTTGATGATGTTCCAGAGTAAACGTACCTGTGCAATCACTTTATAGTCACCTTTTTGTAAATTGAAAGTATATTTCGGACGTTGTTCACGGTGCTGGAATAAAAAACACACAAGATAAACATGAATTTATGGATGAATGCAACATTTTAATCTCGATTTCCCAAGTCATTTTTTCAATCTAATTACACATATTGCCTAGGTAAGAGAAACAGAGTGATGGTTAATAAAATATAGCGTATATCTAGCTAATGCTAACGACGAAAGTATATGGCTAATCGGCTAACTTGGCGAGTGGTACCGGGTTCGAGTCTTAGAGTGAACATCAACTCAGATGCAGGTACATCTGGCTGACGAGTCCCAAATAAGACGAAACGCACATCCTGGATTCCACTACTAGTCACCATCTATCTTTGCTTATAAAGCTTGTGACTTAAGGCAATATCGAGGAAATTCGCACAGGATGCACATATGCCAATAAGAGACTGATCAACTGCAGTTCTAAACATCAATGGGAAGATTCAAACAAACAATACAAAATGAAATGAAGTTAATATCATGTTTCACCAAACAACATAAAAGAAGATACTTACTCCATCGTATTCACCAGCACCAATATATCGGCCACAATTATCATAAATATGAAATATATGAATTGAATAATCGCTGGTATAAAGCATATCTTGTAACCAAGGCAAAGAAATGATGGTTGTAGCTGATTTGAAAGGCTAAAAAACGAAGTAACAAGGAAGTATGTTGAACTCTGTAGCAATTTCAATAGTGAAATCAAGTATGCATCGTTGTAGAGATCTATCTACGTTCTATATTAATGATTTTTTAGAAGATTGAATAAAAGAATATACAATTAGCAAGAATATGAAGTGAAAGATAGTGAGTTTGAGACCTAAATTCAACATCAACACTAAAACCTGTAAAGCATATTTAGCTAACAAGTTCCAAATAGAATGAAAAGAGTGTCTTTGATTACATTGTTAGCCATAATCTATTCTTCTCATAAGACACTATGGTTCAGTATGAAGTGTAGTTTATCTATCTTAACACTGATTGGATATGGATTGCAAGCTGAATCTATGTGATACAGCATCTCGGTAACCTAGTATTTTGAATTTTATTTCGAACTCAGGCGATTCCCTTTCGTACAAGTTCTTACTTTTAAACCAGACAAATGTATATTAATTAAGTATTCAGACAATGACATCTGTTGATATAGACATTAAAATTTTTTAGTGGGAGGACAGAATATATCTACCTCCTTATGTTTGCAAACATAAGTAGTACGTAACACCAGTCTGAAGTGGAATGTCTGAGAGTGGAATGAAGAGAACAGAGAAGGAAACTGAAATCAATCAAGATTACAACAGAAATGAAGGAACAATCAAACTCATAGGAGAATATTCAGAGATGTGTATGATTTTCATATTTTACTAAACTACTCTGTGTGATTGTGCATTAAACAACAAACCGGTTATCCCCCATCTGAGTTCTTGTTCACTACAGTATCAATCTATAGTTTTACATCTCAGTACAGAAATATTTTGTCTATTTTTATAATTCATAATGTTCACTGTTGTGTAGAAGATAATTATAGTTTCGTCTCTCAAACAAAACCTAATTCCTACATTTAAATGTGTTGAGCAAAGACACATATTGAATAAAATACATTATTCCAGGTGATTATCTATAAATAATTAAATAATAGCTTCAAAAGCGAAACATACACAACTAAACCGATATGTTAAACGTAGAGCATACGAACCACAATCGTTGGGAAGCAGTTCATTTGTTCCATGACCTAAATAAAAAATTTTCGAATCATGAGGCCTGAAAAACAAATAAGGAATAAAAAAAACTCAAAATTTTTAGTAAAGGCAAAATAAGGAAATTTCAAAGATTAAAACCACATTCTTAAAACGTTTTTGAATAGATGTAGGTAACCTATGAAGGACACAAGTCAAGTCACACTACGTCTAATGAAATAGTCACCTTTATGGTCTTTACCGCTTGAACACCGTCTATCTACTTGTAAAACGACTAGTGTCTTCGCTTATATAAATACATGTGGATATATTCAAGCAAGAATTCAATTTGAAGTCAAAATACAGAGTAAGAGCAACATAAAGGGAGTTTGGGACTTGATGTTCAACAATCGAAAAAGACCTAATCTATTAGCCAATGAGAAAAAGAGATAAACAATCGTAGAGTTACTGGTCAGATCAAAGGTAGAAGCCAGTCAAAATAAATGTGAAAACAGTGACAGTACGTTTATAGACAAGAACAGATCAAATTCTAAATTGTTAATCATTCGAACAAAAATCCTAATTCCCTACTCTTGTTGAATTTAAATAGACAGTGACCGCTTACTAGTTACAACATTCAAATTTGAGAACACAGCATTATTAAAAGCATTCACGTGAGCGGTAAATGTTAAATGTCATCTCTGAAGAGTATGGAAAAATGTTTAAATGTTTAATTTACATTAAGGGAATTCACTGATGAAGAAAGACAAAACAAAGCACAAGTAGACAGACGACGATCTAGGAATTTGAATACGAAATTCATGAGTATCTTAATGGGGGAATATAGTTGTTTAACCATTTATTTATTTATTCGAACACATAAATATTGGTACAAAGGAGCATCGGATACATATGCGCTACACAAGTCACTTGATTTGTGTGTGAGCTGTGATACTAACCGGGTGCCCAAACGGAAGTAGGTGGTTTTGTTAAGGAGCCGCACCCGGAGCCTTCGATCTAAAAGTCTAATTCACAAGGCAGTGGAGCAACGTCAGAAGATGCAGTCTCATGGTAGCCGGTGACCAACAACTGGTTCATATGCCATTTGTCCCTTCAGGATCGTGAAGCCCATGTGCACTGTTTGTTGAGAATCATGGTTTTCGAACTCCCCACCATATCTCCGACCCAGTTAAAGTGCCGGACATTCGCTTTTCGTCCTCCCAATTTCGTCAACACCCCCACCACGAAAAAGCAGTGAGTAGTACTTCCCTGGCAGTGGCTGTATACGCTTGGCCATGTGAGAGTATTTCAAAAGGGATAGTTAACTCGCCCAACTCTCGGCCGTACCAGGGCATTTGGGGGCTGTACAAATCAGTTTCACAAGTATGACCGACAATAAAAATTTAGCTTAAATCATATATGTAGCAGATCACACAACGGTGTGCAGAGAATGTACCAATTGAGAGTTCTTTAAATCATTCATATATAAGGGGTTAGTAAGACGTGGCGATACAAATCAATTGCGTGATAATTACACAACTTAGAAATACGGAATAAAACCGACAATTAAATGTAAGTAATTTTTTACACAATGAATGATGTGGTTAAAATTACAGTGAATTGTAAAACCTCAATGATTATAAAAGCATTTTTCAAAGGGATCAAGAGTTTCAGTAAGAATCATGAAGGTTGAAAATATGGTGCAAAGCTATGACGACGGCTGATATTCTGTGTTGATGGTAATATAGAATAAGGTATACTGAATAAGTCATCCAATCAACGTGAAGTATTTTCATAATTTGGTAATTTGGTAATATAGAATGTTTGCAGTCGGTTGTTATGCTGCATAGATTAGTGATTCACTATTTAGATAACTGTTAATAAACTAAATTTTGGAAATCTTCCTGTAAACATAGTTCTGACAAAACATTTGAGGCAATTAGTTCCTTTTATAAATTTCGATAGAACAATGAGAAGACGGAGTTGATCTGAAAAATGTGATGTATTTGCGCTATACATTTCGAACAATCTGGTCACACATATACTTGTCAAGTCATTTTTATATGAAAATTAATAAAGGTCAAACAAATAAAAGTACAATTAAAATAACTAAGGGGAGAGAAAGAATAAGAAATTGTCGTGTTATCCTAGGCCATAAAATGACTTAAGGATTACCAAGGTAAATTCAAGGTTACGACAAATTGTTTTTGTACACATAAGGGGGTTTTAAATTTACGAATAGCTAAGGCTTCAATAAACTTAAGAATTCGACCTTGACAATTTCTATACAACATTCTAAATGCTGTATTAATGTTAATCTTGTGCCCCGTCTCAATTATGTGTTTTGCTATCGATGAACTTGGTTTTCTACCTCCTACATTGATCGGGTCATTTGACACACACTGATTTTGAAGCCATCTGGGCACATGTTCATTGACCCTTGATTGCATTGTTCGATTACTCCTCCCTATGTAAGTGTGTCCACACAAACATTTAAATTGGTAAATACAATGGGATGTGACGTAATCATTAATGCACTGTTTGGGTCTATTAGGAATCATGGCCTTAGACTTCTCAATCACAACCAACTGAGCAGCATAATACGTATTCTCAATGGCTGCTTTCAATCTCTGTCTTAAAACTATACTATTTGATTCGCCTCTATATGGTAGATTGATGTAAACCTTTTTCTTTGGCACTGAATAAATTAGAGGTCTTGGCATTAACTGACTTTTGCACCTATTAATAAACTTGAGTGGATAACCATTAGCTATTAAAGTGTCAGTCAGTAACTTTTCATCTTTTTCCATCGTGTCAGAAGTACAAATTCTTCGAGTCCTCTTAAAGAGGCACTTAACTAGACCTCTCTTGTATTGCAATGGACAGAAACTATGGAAATTTAAGTATAGTCCTGTCCAAGTTGGTTTCCTATACACGGACCGTCTAATAGTGCCATCATCCCTTCAACTTAAAAGTATGTCTAGAAAGGCTAATTGGCCATTACTTTCTGGTTCATGTGTCATCACAATATCATTTTGAACATCATTGAGTTTATCCAGTAATCGGTAAACATCAAAATCCTTATCACATATAATTATAATATCGTCCATATAAAGGCCTACCCATAGCTATGGGTAGCCCTTTAGGGCCTCTCTTAGCTGAGGTATTCATGTCATATGTGGAAAATATGACGAGTGACCTCAATGGTGAGACAACTTTATACAGGAGATATATGGACGATATTATAATTATATGTGATAAGGATTTTGATGTTTACCGATTACTGGATAAACTCAATGATGTTCAAAATGATATTGTGATGACACATGAACCAGAAAGTAATGGCCAATTAGCCTTTCTAGACATACTTTTAAGTTGAAGGGATGATGGCACTATTAGACGGTCCGTGTATAGGAAACCAACTTGGACAGGACTATACTTAAATTTCCATAGTTTCTGTCCATTGCAATACAAGAGAGGTCTAGTTAAGTGCCTCTTTAAGAGGACTCGAAGAATTTGTACTTCTGACACGATGGAAAAAGATGAAAAGTTACTGACTGACACTTTAATAGCTAATGGTTATCCACTCAAGTTTATTAATAGGTGCAAAAGTCAGTTAATGCCAAGACCTCTAATTTATTCAGTGCCAAAGAAAAAGGTTTACATCAATCTACCATATAGAGGCGAATCAAATAGTATAGTTTTAAGACAGAGATTGAAAGCAGCCATTGAGAATACGTATTATGCTGCTCAGTTGGTTGTGATTGAGAAGTCTAAGGCCATGATTCCTAATAGACCCAAACAGTGCATTAATGATTACGTCACATCCCATTGTATTTACCAATTTAAATGTTTGTGTGGACACACTTACATAGGGAGGAGTAATCGAACAATGCAATCAAGGGTCAATGAACATGTGCCCAGATGGCTTCAAAATCAGTGTGTGTCAAATGACCCGATCAATGTAGGAGGTAGAAAACCAAGTTCATCGATAGCAAAACACATAATTGAGACGGGGCACAAGATTAACATTAATACAGCATTTAGAATGTTGTATAGAAATTGTCAAGGTCGAATTCTTAAGTTTATTGAAGCCTTAGCTATTCGTAAATTTAAAACCCCCTTATGTGTACAAAAACAATTTGTCGTAACCTTGAATTTACCTTGGTAATCCTTAAGTCATTTTATGGCCTAGGATAACACGACAATTTCTTATTCTTTCTCTCCCCTTAGTTATTTTAATTGTACTTTTATTTGTTTGACCTTTATTAATTTTCATATAAAAATGACTTGACAAGTATATGTGTGACCAGATTGTTCGAAATGTATAGCGCAAATACATCACATTTTTCAGATCAACTCCGTCTTCTCATTGTTCTATCTAAAACATTTGAGGTTAAGAACATCGTACGACAACAACGTGAAGTAATGAGGTATGAGAAGTACTCCAGCTCAGGACACTCAGTGATGTTTAGAAAAGTGAAGAAATAAACAATAGAATTATCACATATACGTATTGTTTTGAAAGGAGATACAATTAATATGCTTTAGATTTTATAAAACGGTGTTTTTATGACCATATTAGAGTAATTAATTGGATTGATGGTTTATACAATAAGACATAATCAAAAACTCTCTTAAATAATTATTTTAAATGTTCATTATTTCTTACTTGACAGGCAAACACCAATGAGTTAACCATATATCCGGTTGTATTGATTCATTAATAAAATTAGAACGTAAACCGATACGACAGTAACGATCACTTGTATTCTGAAAAATAAAATAGATTAAATACATAGAATGATAATAAACTTGACAGTTTGAAACTTTATGATTTTCAAACCAAAAGAATAGTCAGTTATAATTTAGATATGTTAACTATTAGATTTCGGCTCAGTGACATAGCGTTTAAGAACTTACTACAAAAATCTAGCGTTCTGGTTTCGATTTCAGGTGAGGATATGGATGTCGACTACTAGAAAATGAAATACTGAAACAACACAACTATCCAGTGATTCCTGGATTTCGATGGTTATCTAACTTAGTTTAGACGACGAACTCAATAACAAACACCCTATACTTGAAGATCTGTAAATGAGTTCCTTGATTTGATTTATCATTATTATTATTGTGTTAAGTACAAATCAGTAACCAGGTGTATTTTGTCCTACTGCGTATAAAGGCGCTTGCAAAGAGTAACATTTTAATCTTTTTCAACACAATTAACTAGTCATTTCATCACAGTCGATGGGTGAGTTATTGTTATTATCATTCAATATTCTATTAAGATTCAAACAACGACCAAATATTGCATAAATGTCACATTTCTACTATTTATTTGATAAAATCTTCCACCAATAGTTTAATTTTAAGAACCACAATTACAATGATAAAGCCGATACGCTGTATAATTGACAGTCATTTTATTCGTAATTAATGCAATTATTTACGTGCAGTTGTGACTCTGTAGTTAAATGAGTTAAACTTTGGATAGGATGCTGAAAGGGGCAAGACTTAACAGTCAGGTTTTAATTGATTAGGAAATGAGTAACATACAAACTAATTCCATCTTAACGTCTAAAACATTTTACCATGTTGATTGTGTGTTTATATACTGTAAATAAGTATGTTATTTTATTACATATAAAAAACCTATTCATCTGGCTAATGATCTTATCATTAATTTCTAGTCAATCAAGAGCTTACATAAACGATTCGTTCTTGTGGTTAGCCATCACGTGGTTACATCATTTCATCATATCCATTGATCAATTAGCAATCTATTCATTGATGTTGACAATCGAAAACTCGCTTTGTCAATCATTCAAACACCTCCTACATAATGGAGTAACACGCTTGTACTTAGCATGGACTATATTGATTATTTTGAAAATTAAAAGACTTACCCAAGCAGAGTAACCAGTGATTAGTCAATGATTGATGGTAGACATCTCAGCTGCACTAAATATAATTGATGATCATAATTTGTGAAGTTTATTTCACCCTAAAGTCAACTTACTAAATGCTTCATATTTTTTATAAACTCTCATTTTAGTCTAATCTGGTTACCAAGTGAACAGTTGGATAATTAAGTTGAATGTATCACACATAATCAAGTACCGTGAATTAATGTTAGTAGCCTGTTATAAAAGCAACTTACCAATACAATGTTTTTAAGACTTGGTTCAAGACCACGAAAATACAATTCACCAATTACAATAGCTGGCATTTCTAATCCCCAATGTTGTGCTATAGTTAATTCTAAACAATCTGTCTCCCATTTAATAGGAAATCCAAATTGTGATGCACAGTCGAAATCATCTGAACTCAATGATGGTCCATATTTATCACTGCCTATAGTAAGAAACAAAGGAAAACGAGAGAGAGAGAGAGAGAGAGAGACAGGGGAAGTAAGTGGATTTCGTAATTTCTAAATTAAATAAAGAAATATGAGTAAATAATAATAATAATTCCACTTATTGTCATTTTAGACTTGATAATATAGTTCCTTTTTCATGAATAATGTTTATCTAACTTGATACTAGTTTTTTATAGAAAATAAAGCTGACAAGATGATTGACAGGCAGAATGAAAAAGAATTAGTTAAGATGAAAACATCAAAAAAAAAACATTTTGAGTTCATTGATTGAAATGATAGACCTTTTTCAAGAACTATATATCATGAAATAAATTGGAAATAAAACGTGATGAATCTTTATAATGAGATATACCCTTGTCATATTTTATACGTGGGGGTAACTACAGTAATGTTTAGCAATTACATTGTATCTTCAATGATAGATACATTTGATGTAATAACAAGCGACTAAGTAGATGAGCAAGCGACCATCTTTCTTTCATGGTTTGTAAAGGTTCAAACTACGTCAATACATGCAGGTCATGTGTTGGATTGAAAAAAAGAACGGCTATGGTTACTTATTATGTTTTGTAATCAATTTTGATGGAGTTTGATTTCACTTTTTAAAAATTGTGGAGGGTATATCGATTCGAAACACTAACCCTTGGGTTTCTACTTAAAAGAAGCTTGTATGCTTTATCACTCTAAGAAGACTTAATGAACGGTACTTTCAGTTTTCAACCTCTTTTCTACATTTTTCAAGTACTTTACTAATAATTGCTCAATCTAAAATGCACATTTAATCGCTTAGAGCTAGTAAACGTTGAATGAACAATTTATCTCAATTTGGGACTTAAGAGAAGTGAGTACCTTCAAATCGCAAAAATAAGACACTTTTTGATCAATAAATCGAGGTTCTATAGTTCGCATTTAAAAATTCAGTTCATTCATAATAAAAAACCCTCTCGTCCCACAACATGAAATGTTCAATGTTGCCTAGTTTTCAATGGTACTCCTGATGTAAGTTTGAAATAATGACTGTTCTAAAATTTAGATGAATTTCAACAGACCGACAAAAGATGAAATAACACTTTTATTGAACATCGACGATACCTCGAATAAACTCAGCTAGTTATATACATATTTACTCAGTTATTTTATACACATACGTTTTAAAGTTGATTTAGTTGGACCAAATTTATTTAATTCAACAAATGTCCATCGAATTTCTTGACTATCCGAATCCATACCAATACATGGTGAATTAATAGTAATCGTAAATTCACACGATTTATCTCCATCATCATCTAACCGTGCTAAACGTAAAACTGGAATTAGAAAAATAAGAGTAAACAAAGAAAACCTGTAAGATTGGATGATACATTAGATCAAAATACAAATTAGTTGATGAGATATTTCGTCTCAATCAGTTTTATATCATGGCCTTACAGTAATATACATAGATTTTGGAATTGTCATACAAGTACAAAATAACATAATGCTATCCTTGAAGAAGAAGAAGAAGAAGAAGAAGAATAAAGACAATTCTCAATGAAGAAAATATTCTTTTCGATAAATTTATTTTTACACGAGTCCTACAATCCTGTTTACAAATAATTTATTCTCAGAATGGGAATTTGTGGATATTGTAGTAATTTTAACAGTTGAATTCATGTGTCTATCCAAGCTAGACCACCGTTGAAAACCTGGAAGCATTAAACGGCCGTTTCGTCCTAGTATGGGACTCCTCAGTGATGAGCATCTACGATCCCGCACGCGAGACTCGTTAAAATTAGTCTACAGTAAATAGTAGGACAAAGTTAAGTAATTTTTTTTAAAAAATATTCGGAGTGGTATCATGTTAGAAATAGCTTCATAAAAATCTGACATTGAAATCAAGTTGTATGATAATATAACTGTTAATGAAGAAAGCTGAGGTGAAAATACTCGTTCAACTGATATGTATGAAGAACATAGTCAACAAAAGTTATAATAATGGGTAATTAATAGTTGTGAAGAGTAATTGGAGTGGAGTATAAAACACAAAAATGATAGATTATGGAAGGTAGAAAGATTGGTTAAGACTATGGTGAAATGAGATATTACACATATTATTTTTGTAGCAGTAGTATACTATATACACATTCCCAATGAAAACCTATTCTTCTCTGAACTAATATAAATGCAAACAGTCATGTGACTGATATACCATTTTAATCCAGTTAATAACTGGTTGTTTATTTCTTTTAGTCATTTATGCCTTATAATAAATCAGCATTTTGGATGAGGATAAACAGTTTTTGTAATATCCAACAAAAGTGTAATATTTAGCATTTTCGATTAGATCGATTAACAGTCCGCTTAAAGATTTTGGTTGAGCCAAGTCAAATTCATATTTTTGTACGGTTGATTTGTATTTGTTTACTTCATTGACGATTAGAATGCTTGAAAATTATACGTTCTTAGAACATTACACATAAGACATTTGTGTATTGTATTATTATTCATATAATCTAGTTTAAGTGTTCTATACACAAAAATAAAATAGATAAAATTATAAAGTGAGATGGATTTTGACAACTTACTTCCCGCAGTAGCTCCATAGGGAACTTCAATGAACCATCTCCTTACTTTATTTTTAGCATCAAATCTATCTGAGAACAAGAAACGTGGGTGGTCCGAACAACAATCTCTATGTAATCTTTAAATAAATATTACGTATGAAAAAAAAACAATAAGTAAATATGATGGAGAAAGTCGAAAATGAAAACACTGATCAACAACACTGAAACTAGTACATTTCAAAATTGCCAATTAGTAAGTTGTTTATGATATATATGAATCACGAGAAGATTTACACGACAGATGAATGTATAGAATGTCGATTTTGCTTATAAACGTCTTTGAAGCCCATTTATTTATTTGAACACATAAACATTGGTACAAGGGGGCACCAAATACATATACGCCACACAATAACAATTAGGCCAGTAGCAATTGTCATTTATCTGTGTGAGGGATGGTTTAATACCTGGGTGCCCAAACAGAAGCATATACTTTTCTTAGAGGGCCACTCCTCAAGCCTTTGACCTAGAGGTACAGCAATGTTAGGGGATGCACTTTCATGGTAGCCGGTGGCCGACAATAGGTTCGAACTCCATTTGTTCCCTCAGGATCCTAGAGCACATGTGCATCATCGGTATGGAACTAGGATTTTCCAACTCCTTTAGGTGAAACTCCCGTGTCCACCCACCCGGTTAAAACGTCGAATATTCGCTTTTCGTCCGCTTCTTTTCGTAAACAACACCCTCGCAGTGAAAAAGCAGTGAGTAGGACTTCTCTAACAATGACTGGATACGCGTAGCCAAGTGAGAGCACTAAGGGAGAGCTGACTCTCCCTACACTTGGCCGTACCAGGGCATTCGAGGGCCTTTGAAGCCTAAATGGAACTACTGCTAAGAATTCAGGAAAGTAGTATTATGTTACAAAACAAAACAACAAATTCATTAAGTCGATGCAGTAAGAAAAATGTTAATACATTTAAAATTTTTGCACAAGAAGATTGTGGAGTCTTTCCCATTTATCGTCAGGACTATAATTTATGGACGAAATAATCAGATTTAAGATATGAATTCTTGGATTTTGGTGCGAAGCTCATCTACCTGTATGGCTAAATAACATTTTGGCATTAATACCTGGGGTCAGTTTGTGATGAAAACCCTAGCCCTGACTTCTAACTCTAAATCCCAATTCTAATTCCTCACATGATTTATAACCTTTTCAAAACCTAGTAAATATGTGGATTTTCTCAAGGTGCGCCAGCGTAACTGTGAATGGGACATGCTTTAATCCAGGCTACGTCCTGCCATCAGCTATCCATGAGAAAATCATGCCCAATAATTGAAAGGAGATAGTGAACAGTATGGATTAAAATAAATCTTAGTGGTTCAGTTCCAATCATTGTTTAGATGCTTTTAAACGATGAGTATTAATACTAACCTATATTTCTCATTCCCGATTTTGTTCGTGAACACATGCAAATTTGTACCGATTTCTACGTTGTTTATATCTATGGGATGGCATCTTAACATAATATTGATACTTTTACTTTAATTATCTTGTCTAATAATCATAACTTTAAAGAGTAACCTTAATAAGCAGGTTAATATGCACATACGGTATACAATGTTATGATGATTCAAGAAATAAGAAAAATATACTGACTGAAGCCTGATTATAACTATTAGTAAGAAGGTATTAATGTATTGAGTTGACCTTATCAATATTAGGACAAATTAGCAAGGTGAATTTAAAGTAATCCACTAAGCATATACATAAGAAGCAGGCTTTAAGACAAATATTTCTAGAGTGAGAGAGGATAAAAAGTACTACAACACTGAATAGGATGAAGAAGCTAAGTAAAGTTTAAACTCATGTAAGACGTTGAGCAATTTTTTAGAAGGACCAGTTTTTTACGAAAATGGACAGCAGTTGTAAATCGCGACCCATAGATATTGATTTGGGTCGATGGATAGTATTACTCAGTAATTACACAGAAAATGTATGGTTACTTGAGTTCCATTAATGGTCAAAAGCGATAATCGAATCGTCAAAATCCAAATGTTTGAATCACTGAGTTGTAGTCCTAATATATATAGATGAGCAATAAGAAAAGATCATCTGACTTCCAAAACAATGATATCCAGCGCTGATTTAGTAGACTACTATGTCCTACGATTGTTCAGGTCTGCTACTTATTTATAAGTATATATTTATATCCCACAGAAAATTAAGTCAGATTTTCAACCGACAGAGGTATTGTCTGTTTCTGTTAAGTTAAGGCTTTATCATTAGCATTTCCCACTTATCATTTAGTATAGAACTATTATATCTGAATAGGCCGATTTATCACAGACATGAATATTTCGTTACACGATCGGCTATTCAATATTTATACAAAACTTAAAGATTGATTGATATGTAAGATATATATATCAAGATCAAAAAATCATTACTGGATATCTTACCTATGGGGCATATGTATAATTATTGGCAAATCTGCTAACCGGCCCATTTCTGGATCATTAATAGCTTTGAAACTAAGCATCATAACATATGGTTTTTGTGATTTAACAGGCAATGAATGCAAAGGATGTTTAACTGAAGAAATTAGATTTGATGGCCAACCGAAACTTGACAATTCATTGTGTTGTTCTGCGCATAGTTGTGACTTCAATTGATCCTCTGTTAGCGAAGATATCTCCTGACGATTCAAGAGTCCCTTAGAAAGGTTTTTGTTAATCCCTACACATTTATTACATAAATATTGTGTTTTCTTTATTGTTGCATCACATTCATCATTTGAGGGAGAAATTTCCTCATTTATTTCACATAACAATTGATTAAATCTATTTGGATCGATAACTAAGTTAATATCTCTTGGTGTACTTGTAACAGTTATGATTGATGCAATTTGTAACCAAGCATTACAATTTGTTAGTTTATCTAGATCGGAAGTTACCTCAGTAGTTAAATGCAATTCCATGTTTCGTCGAATACCAATAGGAACATACTAAGAATAGTGATTTGAAAGAATTAACGAGTCAAAACAAATATCACAAAATAACTTCATTAAGTCAACAATAGAAATCGAGAAAAATTAGACTCCCTATGTTGAGATCATGAATAGATAAATGCTAGACCACCACTGAAAACCTGGGAGCACCGGACGACCAACTCATCCTAGTATGGAACTCTTCAACAATGAGCACCCGCACGAGGGATAAGGACCCGGGATCTTCGGTCTTGTGGGCACGCTTAACCTGCAGACCACTGAGTTGGCATCTAGCAGTGTTAATGTTTGATTTCAACCAATCCACGATATGGTGCGAACATCTTTCATTGTTACCGGTGGGTAACTGACTCACACCCGAAACAGTTGAAATTCACTGGTTACGACTTCTCACCAGAACTCCGAGAATTATCTCTCAAAGCTAGTCACTAATGGGCACATGATAATTATCAGCACACGGTTGTGGAGATTGTTGAGCTTTTTGTTGAGATCACGAAACATGATATTGTAATGAACGAAAACTCAGGTGCGGTAAACCAATTTATTGTTTAATGTAAAATTGCACAGTACCATCAAAAAATATGAAAATCGTACATTAAATATATCATTTGCATATATTCTATCAGTTGGCCTTTACATACACCGTCATTTTTCTAATTCCGTTGTTATTCCAAATGCTCTGTTCCCACTTTCGATTGCTTTTAAATACTACTTATATCTCAGTATAAGTAGCATACATCACAATATCATTTCAAGCCAATACGTTTTATTCAGTATGACAGGTGTGGATTTTTCGTCGAATGTGACAATTATCTACTTTGTGCTATTCAGCGTTGACCTAGTATATATTTTACAATAATCCTGTGTAAAATCAGTGCATAAATGTGAGTGTATTTGGTTCAATGAGAATGTGTTTTTGGATGAATTGTTTTCAAATAGTCCATAAATCTTCAGTGGACCAGTCTTTAGTGTTCCTACTTTGCACCGCGGAAATTACAGTAGCTCCCAGTTGTCAAGTATGATCAGAAAGACTGTGAACATAACAGAGGTGACACTTACACAAGGAACAAGAGAGGTAGAAATAATTCAAATCGACAATGAAGCAATCATTTATCATCAATAATGAAGCAGAATAATTTTCATACTTCATTGTCATCAGTTAACCAAAGTCAGATTTACAAATTACTGGAAGTTGATTCAGTAGTCCAAAAGCGAAGAACATGCCGAAAAATATGGATTCAATCACCCAAGTGAAATTACGAGTGCACACCATCGATGAGTCTCTAGCTAGAAGAAACGCTGGTCGCAAATATTAGGGCTATTGAAGAAATAATATAATGGATAGTTACAGGGTACTAGATAAACACGATAAGTCGTCTGATTACGTGGTGGATTTTAATTGACTGAGGTGGTTAGAATATTTTTATGCATGGAGTAACCACTGTAAGCGTCTACATTCGTTGTTAACCAGGAGAGAAGAAAGTTAGGGAGCAGTCAAACTTAAATGTGATATTAGTATATAGGATCACTGGCTATTAGTTTCAGCCATACTAGTAGATGTAAGCTATCTGGTTCCCGTTTGCATAATTATCTTTATTAATCGTTGGATGCATTTGGTGATAAAGGTCAGAGTGAAGGATAAGCTGACTATTTGTTTTCATTTAGATCTTCAGTTTCGAAATATTGTTTTATACCTTTAATTCCGAGAATTTATTGCTTCTTTTCCAATCAAGTTTTCTATTCCTAATTTATTTTATGATTACTGGTACCATAAGTACTTTGGCATTCATCTTGACAATTTCATCTTGTTGTGCTGAGTTAATGTGAGAACTTGGATTGAAGTATATATACGTAAAGTTCAATATTGCTTATAACTGACTGGATGATCATAGCTACGAATAAAAACTTATTCGTGATAACCTGGTTTTTAAGTTTTTTTTTGATGAACATTAATCTATGATAAAAATTATTTTCAAAGAATTGGAACTACTTACAATGGTGCTAAATCATGCATTTTCAATTGGGATCTTGCTTAGTTAGTTAAAGTAAGTATGTGAAAGTCAAAACCTTACTTCAGTTTAAAATAACCTCTGTTGTGTAGACGCAAATAAATAGTGATTGAATATGTTTTTCAGATAAATCGGTAGATAGCCTAACAGGTTTCTGATGTGTCATATATAGTTTCTCACCCCTTCTACTTACTTGATTATTGGACAGCACAGTAAATTGTGCTTTTGATATGAATTATGTTGGAGTATGGTAGTATAGTTATTGGCTGGGTATGTAAAGAGTACGTGATCATATACGCAGATAAATTGTTCACTGTTCGACCTAAGCGATTTAGCGTAACATTAGTTCGAAAGAGAAATCGAGCGTTACTTTAACTGCTTACATAATCACCCAGTGGTGGGAAGATTTTCGCTAATATATGAGTAATTTAATGATTCCATTAGCTTACTGTTTTATCAGATACAGACTTGTGTAATTGACTTTGAGTCACATATACCAAGTGTGAAGTCTAGTGATATTATCCAGCCACGGAAAGTCGGATACTTTAGCGTCAGTAAACCAAAGCTCCACGATCCCACCACAAAACTAAAATTTCATGTATCACTAGTCAAATATGAACGGATGATCAATGAGGTTACGAATAAGGTAGTCACTTAACTACCAATGGTAATAAATGATGCTGGCACCACATATGTTGAAGTCTGTAGTTTGATGTCGTGATATCTTCAGGAGTCCTAAGTTTGGATGAACAAGTAGCTTGGTTGATTATTACTATCCAGATTGCATTAGTTCATGATGTCAATAACCTTAATTCATTCGGATATTATTTTATAGTGAGAAAAATCAGTGAAATTTTTTGCAAACACAAAACAATCTTGATAGCTTATAGGCTCGAAAAATATTTCATCAACTCATGAATAAAATGTTTATTAGAAGACGTTATTTCTTCAGGATTACTGGCATTGATTTGAAATATCAATAGTTAAAAGTCCCAAACAAATGATAACACTAACCTCGTCAAATTCAATGTTCATACTCACGGTGTACCGTAACAACGGTAATGGGGTTATACTACTCACGGCTCGTGGACTCAATAACCAACCACGTCTTAACCAAATTCCACGATTTTGTAGTGTACAACCAGGTCCAGAAACAGTCAATCGAATGTGCCAACCATACATTATACATGGATCAGGTACAGGCAATAATTTTATTGACGAGCTAACAAGAAGAATTTAGGGTAAATATTTAAAAACCATAAACGTTGATTCCATTGAACCAACCAACTTCAGTCAGTCAGTCAGTCACAACGTAGAACTTCGTACGTACGTACATCAGTTCGAGTTGCCACACCACATTAGCACAGAAATGCAGTGGTCGATTCAAATCCCGTAGTGCTAAATGTAGTAAAATTATAAGCTGTAATCAGAAAAATTAGGGTTTGAAGATGTTATTCAAGGAGTATAATCCAGTGAAATAAATTTGGAAAGAGAATAAAGGGACAAGGAGGAATAAGATCAGAATTTGAGAGAACACAAAGAGTGGATGCACCTGCACCATTGCAAACGATTTTAAGCCATATCACTCAAAGTCTCTAACCATCGGTTGCTATCATCTCGCGGTCCACAACCAGGTAGTCTACACCTACCGATATGACTCAGTCCACTTGTCAGTGATTTCATGGACTTGTGCCATGTTTTAGTCTGGCCATCCCTAGCTTTCTTCCAACCTACTCCTACACCATAAAACACCACACATCGGAGCAGTCGATGGTTGGGCATACGTAACACGTGTCCCAGCCATCTCAACTGATGAAGTTTCACCACTTCATCAATTGATTTGCCATCCTTACCTAGTACCCGTTTCCTAACAACTGCATTATTACTCGATGGTCCCAGGATATACGAGCACTATTTCGAAGACACCTATGATCAAATACTAGTAGCCTACGAATATCCTCTACTCTTACCGGCCATGTTTCACTGCCATAAAGTAAGACGGAACGAACTGCAGCACAGTAAACCTGTCCTTTGGTTGATAGACGGATATCTCGCCTACGCCATAAATGACGCAAGTTAGCAAAAGCTAGTCGAGGATACAATGTCAATAAATAGAAAATCATATTCACGATTTCATATTTTCGGTTTTACATACTTACAATCCTACCTACATAAGTAATTAAGTTAAAACTCTACCTATGTCGTTCTATGCTTTCGAAAGTTTCTCCAAGTTCTTGATTAAAAAAACATTAGTTTAATTTTTTATAGTTTAAATCACGAGGTGATCTTACTTAGATTACCATCGAAAACCTGTAAGCACTGAAAGACTGTTTGGTTCTCGTATGGAACTTCTTATCAATGAGCATCGCCGACCTCAAACATGAAAGTTAAACCCAGGACCTTCGGTCTCGCACGCAAACGCTTAACCTATAGATCATCGAACCGGTATCCAACGGTGTTAATGTCTAACTTCAATCGATTCACAATATTGTTCAATCTTCAATTATAGTCTGAAGTGGATAATTGTCTCGAACGCGAGACGGTTACAGCATTTTACTAGAGCCTCACAACCTGTATCTTGAAGCTAATCATTAGTGAGTACATGATTATCAGAGGATTTGTGGAAATTTTAGAATTTTCATAATTTTTATTTTGAATATCGATCAGCAAAGATTCTGCAGTAGTACAATGTATTATTATTATTATTATTATTATTATTATTATTATTATTACAATCATGAAGCCTTCTTATAAATATAAATTAATTTAATTATTGTTACCCCAATGCAGGTTGCAGTCAGAGATAAACAACAGAAATTAACTGTTCAATAGAATTCAATTTATCCGCTAAATCCGAACATACAATTTTTTTCTGTTGATATGAAATTAATGAAGTGATGTATGAAGTATGTGTTTAAGATGATTACGATGATAAGTGAATGAATATGACGCTGAGAAAATACTACTACTACTACTACTACTACTACTACTACTACTACTACTACTAATAATAATAATAATAATAATAATAATAATAATAATAATAATAATAATAATAAGGATTTGTGATAAACACAATATCAAGTTTACCACCAATATTTATTGTATTCCGTCATTAATCATTGGACTATGTTGTAAGCCCTAAGCACAAAGTTACCAGTACCTATTTATAATCTATCAAACTTCATTGGTCAAAACGACAATGAAAGCCTAAGAATTCAATCGTCATCCAGTTCATAGAATGAAACACTACTCTAAGAGTATTCTACACCATGAACCATAAGACTTCAAATACATATATACATATTAATTGAATTAAAGTGTTAACTTACTTTTTAACATGTAATGATGGTGAAGATATATGATCAGCATCATCATCATTAACATGATCAATACCATTTATATTCTTGAAATCTGTACACAGATTAGTTATTTCTTTATTTCGTTCATATAATTTATGTATGAGCCGATCTACATAACAGAAGGCTCTATCTACTTGCATCAAACCATAACCTTGATCCAAATAAGATAAATGTTCAAATGACTTAGAAGTAGTCATTAAGCATCTATAAATAAGTGATGGTGGAATTTTCAATCGTTCACTATCAATACACGTATATCGATGACGCAATCCAGAGAGTATAAGGCCTAGAAACAAGGAAATGCAAAAGAAGTGGTGTATGAACTTTCGATATATATATGCTCTGGCACAACAAGAAGTAGATAATTATTTAAGGCAAAGACCGACAGTGCCTAGCAGTGGAATCCTAGGCATGCGCTTCACTCGATTTAAGACACATCAGATGGATGTGCCTAAACATCAATGGGAAGATTCAAACAACGAATAAAAATGAATTGAGATTCACCCAATGGCACAAGTTAGTGGCTATTTGGACTGGGTAACTAAGTGGATAACATGTTGGTATTTGATCCCGAAAGTACCGGGTTCGAATCCAGGAGTGAACGTCAACCCTGGAGCGCAGGTGAATCGAGCTGACGAATCCCAAATAGGACAAAACGGGCATTGTGGATTCCTCTGCTAGGTACCATCTATGTTTGCTCAAAATGTTTAAGACATATTGGCAACATCGAAACAATCAGTACAGGATGCACATATAGAAAATAAGAATGATCGATTTCAGTCTTAAATATCAACGGGGAAATTTAAACAGCCAATACAATTGAAGTACATGATTATTAATTGAACTTTGACGTTCATTCTAGAATGGGACACTTCTACAGTACACACCTACAGGTCCATCAGAAAGCAGATCCAGGAAGAATTGGGTGTTTTAATTATTAATTCACTTCACCATTAATCTATTAGTTTCCCAGCGATTAACCTTTTGATGAGGTGGTATAGGGTTGAGTTGTATATATTAAGAATGGCATCATAAGAATATTTATTTCTGGCACTGTAAAGTTACCGAAATGGTGTGCAACCTAGATGTATGCATGATTTTAATCCATACAAAAGCGATACCACAAAATATGATGAGGATATTTGAAACAACTTTATCTCGTAATAAAATAATATAGGTAGTTTTATGATTAACACAATTACTATATTTATGCAGTCGTTAATTTCTGCTTCGGTCTGGGCACCCGGTCCCACACACAAATTAAGTGACTTGTGTGGCGCATATGTATTTGGTGCCCCTTTGTACCAATATTTATGTGTTCAAATAAATAAATAAATAATAATAGTTGTTAATTTACAAAAAGTACTCACTAATTCCACCAGTAACCATAGGCGCACTCATTGAACTTCCACTCAAAACACTGGCTGGCTTTAATTGCCAACTAGCTATAGACGTATTAGCACCACCGGGAGCAGCAACACATACACCCAAAGCCCCGTCGAATGCTGGACCACGACTACCCCAATTATAAGCAGTTGGTTTAGCATTTTCACTAAGACAAGAATGATTCACAGAATTTCGAGAAGTTGAATACACATCATCTGATTGGTAGTTTGATTGAGAATCATTATCACAAAACTTATTATATAGGCAGTTGTAATTAGATGATGAATCACTTGGTTGGCAATATAGATAATGCATCATGTCAGGAAATACTAAGGGTGCAACACCTGTAATAAATAGATTGAAGAGGTGAGCTACTTTCGTTTTTAGTGATAACAGAAGTTTTTAAGTTTGTGCTTTTTAGGGAATTGATTCAAGTCGATAATATGTAAAATGAAAAATTTAGACTTAAGGATCTAAAAGTAATGTGGTCACTATGATGGTCTAAAAGTGTCCTGGGTTTAATTCTATTTAAGAGCCATAGAACAGAGCTGCTGGGACATAGTTCTTTAGTGCCTCCAGGTTTAGAGTAGTTCGTTTTATAATTAGATATTGGGTTGTGACGCAAACTAATCTTAAACTGAATAATTATCGTAAATCCCATACAAATTAACAGTTATCAATAGATTTCCAAGTTTATCAATCTATAAAATCTTCGTCTCTCTGAGGGCAACTAACGTTCAAATCTGTTTGACTATCGTATCAAGGTAGCTGATACTACGGTCGGGCAAAATGTACGGTAATAATTTAAACTTATGTTACACAAATTGCACATCGTGTTTTCAGAGGCTATCACAGTCAGTCAGACATTGACAATATAGGGCTTGATACGAATGTCCATTTTTTCGAGTTACTACATCTAGCGTAATGACTAAAGAAGCTAACACGATGAAAAGGCTAACATGGGAACTAAGCATGAGAAATATACATCGAAAGGGACGAATGGAAAGTATGGAATCCCACTAAACTTGGGATTTAGGTATAAAAAAACAAGTTATGCTAACCAATGCCTCTGAGATCGGATTGTGATGACCTCAACCACGAAGTTGGTCTAATCTGTATAAAGCTTGTTTACAACCTAATCCTATACCAACCAGGGTCAGGGATAACCAGTGGTTTGGGATGTGTGACATATGTCCCAACCACCAAAGTGTACGAAAGTTTATAGCCCCATTAACCGAATCAGAGTTTTTATCTTAAACCAAACATTTAAACTCGGCAATACGATTTTACTGTATGTGGATAATTTATCAAAGAAACTCATGATGACACAATTGAAACTTACGTCATGATACTTCACAAATTAAAGTAAAATACAAAACGCCAGTAAGATTAATAAAATGTAATTTGGTCGAACAACAGATTAGTAGCTCATTATTATAGTGACAACCTTTTAGTACTTCTCAAACTAAGATGTTTGATTGTGGAGGTTTCATTAAAGGGACTAGCTGATTTTCAAAGGATTGGTTTTGAAGTGTACTAAAAAGAGCTGTCAAAATCACCAGCCAAATATATCTATTTTACTTTATGCAAATAGATTTATTTAACAATATGAGTGTTTTGAGAATAAACTCTTCACTTTTTAACTTACATGCCTAATAGGTGAACAATTCGATTGTGACGACTGACACCTTAACAAACTAATATAGATGGACAGCTCCAGAACGCACTAGGAGCTGCTCATAAACCTTTCACTTGAATATTTAGGCTTTTACTTAGGTACATTTAGTCACGGAACATCTTTGGAATAGATATAATATGACAATCAATGATTCAATGAATTATAGTGCGAATGATGTAAGAAATTATTTTTTCCCAATCGCCGATGAAATGCAATTACATCTTGAGAAGCAGTAATTATACGACTTAGTCAATCAGTTAAATTTGTTGGCTAAAAATGGTTAACTGTATGATATTGCAAATATGTATCTACATTGTTTAACTGATTTCATATATTATTCAATTCAATTTGTACAAACTTTACAGTTAATATGACTAATTGAATCACATAAAAAGTTGTGTGTACATATCGTTTCTGGGATCAAATAAATCCACCATCAGACAAATCAAAAGTGGGGAAGCAGCAGGACCAGGAAACATACCAGCTGGAGCGATGAAGTCAGACATAGAAGCAACTGCAAACATGCTTCACACTCTATTCAGGAAGATTTGGGAAGAAGGACAAGTGCCACTGACAGATTGGAAATAAATATATCTCATCAAGATACCAAAGAAAGGAGATCTGAGCAATCGTCAGAACTACACAGGCATCACACTTATGTCGGTACAAGGAATCATTTTCAACAAAGTGTTGCTGGACAGGTTGAAAGATTCAGCAGACACTAAGCTTCGAGATCGAGAAACTGAATTCCGTAACGATCGGTTGTGCACAGACCAAATCACGACATTACGAATCATTGTTGGAAAATCAATTGAATGGAACTCGTCACTATACATTAACTTCCTTGACCATGGGAAAGCGTTTGACAGCGTGGATAGGAAAACCTTATGGAACCTTCTTCGACTCTGTGGTGTACTTGAAAAGATACTAAACGTCATACGGAATTCATACGACGGTTTATACTGCGAAGTTGTGAGTGGAGGAGAGCTACATTCCAAGTGAGGACCAGAATCACACAAGGCTGCCTACTCTCCCCACTTTATCTTTATTCTAGTGGTCGACTGGATTATGAAAACCTCAACATCTGACGAAAAGCAGGGAATAAAATGGACAGGTTGGATGCAACTAGACGATTTGAACTTCACAGATGACCTAGGTCTTCTATTTCATACACATCAACAAATGCAGGTCAAGACAAACAGTGTAACAGCAGCCTCTGTCTGCATCAGTAAGCCTGAACATACACATGATAAAAAGAAAGATCCTCAAATTCAACACGAAGAGCATCAACCCAATCACTCTTGATGGATAAAATCTGGAACATATGGACAGTTTCACTTATTTGGGTAGCATCATCGATGAACAAGGATGATCAGATGCAGACGTAAAGGCAAGGATTGGTAGAGCAACAACAGCATTCCTACAGTTGAACAACATATGGAACTCAAAACAATTATAAACCAATACCAAAATCAGAATCTTCAATACGAACGACGAAACAGTTCAACTGTACGGAGTTGAAACGTCGAGAACGACCACAACCATTATCAAACAAGTGTTTCTAAACAATTGCCTACGCATGATACCAAATGTTTGTTGGCCGGATATCATCAGCAACAGTCTACTGTGGAGGAGAATAAACCATGTTCCATCTACAGAGGAAATTAGGAAGTGGATGGGACATACATTACGGAAATCATCAAACTGCATCATTAATCTTGAAGGGAAAAGGAAAAGAGGAAGATCAAGAAACACATTGCGTCGAGAATTGGAAGCAGGTATCAAAAGAATGCACAGTGGCTGGTGGGTGATCTGTGTTCCTACGAGGTGTAACAAGCGTAAGTCGTCGGATTTAGTCTCCAGTACCCGGGACAAGACAATTATGCATTCCACAGGAATAAGAGTAAAAGACATTACAGGATATCTCATATGTAATTCACTTTTTCTTTTCGGCTATATAAATTCAATCCAAATGTATTACCTTAAAATCATGAACCGATCTAAGTTAGTCCAACAGCGAAAACCTGGAAGCAATGTACAATCGTTTCATCCTAGTTTGAGAGTCCTCAACAGTGGGCGTCCACGAACCCAGGACCCAGATATTCGGATGAAACAGTCGTCCACTAATTCAAAGTTTTCAGTAGAGGTCTAACTTAGATCGATTCATGATTTCAATGAGATTCAACAATTTTCACAACTCTTTACTGTCAACTTTTTTTAGCCGAAGAGTAATAGACATAGTATAACAAGAGTAGAAAGGTAAGAAAGATATACTACAGAAACTTACCAATTACACCTTGAACTGTACCACCTGGACAACTTAATGAACCCAAACTAGGTCCGTTATTCCCACCACTTGCAACCATAATGATACCATATTTATGAATCATTCGATTCAAATACTTTGAGATACGCCTGTTGAGGAGAAATGAGTGTTTTTTAACAAGAAGAACGATAGGGATAACGGAAAACTCTTTTATTACAATTTATTGCTTTGATTATGACGAAATTCAAACATAATTGACAAACCGAATCGATCTTAATATCTTTGGCCAGTGTGAGTTATATAAGTGGTACTAAATGGTCGACCGGACTTCAAGAATCAGAACAGTAGAGCTTTCTGCATAAAAGTTAATTAATTAAACCAATGAACCAATAGTGTCATTTAAATTGTTAACCAGTTCTTAACTATAAAATGCACATATTCCACTCATACTTAAATACAACGATTGGTTTTACAGTACATCTGTCTTGTTGAAGAAAAACATACATAATAACAACGGTTAATCAATGTTATATGGTAATCATATGACAGGTATAAAAAACTGGACGTAATAACATAGATACCATACAAAAAACCTTTCTTTTCCCTGACTAACTGTTTAATCCCACCCCTACAGGTTAAAAAGGCCGACAGAACCCAGAAAGTTTCTTGTATTTCTAATCAACAATCATAAACTCAGAAACAACTAGGTATTTATACGAAATTTCGAGGTGTATGTAAGAATAAACTATTAAGAATAAGTCTCAACGTGATCCTGATTGAAAAATACTTATTTTTTAAGGATTATAGTCAGAATTTTGAAAAATTTTGCAGTTATCAACGACCAGATGAAGATTTCCAAGGGTTTATATTTTCTCGTAGTTAATATTCAAGAACGCATTTGATCAATTTCTGTTTGTATATGTTCATCTTGATCAGAGATATCTTAATATTACCCATCATTAAACGTTTTATCTTTCTGGATTATGGTTAACAGTGAAATCTAGGATATGTGACACATTCTATTATTGATTTATCATTGAAATGTGATTGTATTTCTCAATGAAGATACAGTAGCCTAGTGGATAATCAGTCAATTGAAGTTTGAAGCATACAACACTATATTCAAGTTTTAATGTGAACAACGTTAATACAACGCAAGCAGATCTATTTGACCACTACTGATTAACTTAGAGCTTTTGGTGAATTTTCAATCTCAAGTGGTGTTCGTCAGGGATTTCCAATTTCATTGCTTTTATTAACTCCGTCACAGATGTCGTCATCTTACCTATCAGAAATTGGTCTTCTACGAAGAGACTCACTTGCTAAATTTGAATATGTACATAATATAATCTTGTTTGGTAAAGAAACTAACAAAATGCAGTCTTCCAATCATCTCAAGCAACAATGCAAGGATGTTTGGGATGTGATTCTCCCACCAACTATCCACCCAAACGCGAAATTTCGCTTCAGGACTGGTCTACATCAGGTGCATGGATTAATGGTAGGAAATGAAGTAGTTAAGTGCGTTGAATGCTCCACTTATCTTGGAGTCTCGTCAGCTCTGACGAGCTAGCATCTGGCGGAATATCGGCATGCATTCAGAAAGCTCAATGAGAGTTTGGCTAGATATCCATATGTCAAGCAAAGGAAAAGTTTACAGCAAATCTGTTTGATCTGCTCTACTTTATGGGTGTGAAACATGGTCATTAATAATAGAGGAATGGGGAGAAATACCTTACAACTTTTTTTCTCTTTTCCTATTCTTAATCTTTTTTACTATACCTAATGATGTTAGTACTTCTACTATCTCAGGATTTGTCTAGATAATTTCATCTCGCTGTGTTAATGTAGTATAGAGATTTGGACCAATGTACATGTATCAGGTTCTACGTTGGATTGTGTATCAACAACAAATCAATAAATTAAGTTTCTAAATGACATATACAATCTTATCTATTCATTACTTATCAGCTAAACGTGTGTTCATCTTTCAATGAGTTTTAAGATTGAGAAATAATCCATTTACTAAGTGCAACTCAACGATATAGGGAAGTAAGACCATAACATTACAAAATATGACAAAAAGAGTGTTGGATTTCAAAATATACTGATCATAATGTAGGAAACCGATAAGCTTTTTCACCATGGAAATATGAAAAATGCACCTACAAATCAATGATGATAAAACATACCCAATATTTGGCCACATTGCTTGTTCACCAAAACTATAATTCACAATATCACATTTTAGTTCAATTGTCCATCGGATCTAGATGAAGTATAAAGTATGTATAAGCATACGCAAAAGTATCAATCAATATTCATGGACGACTATGAACATAGAATTAAGTTATTATTTTGTCCCAAAGTTTTATGAAGACGAATTTAATGTAGTCATATACTCATCAGTAAATTGATTAGAGCTCTAGAATTTCTAGGAAGAAGTCGCAAATGATGGGCTGAATTGGCTTAGAAGTGCCTTAATTATCATTGGTGACCTCAGATAAAGATCATGTCATATAATGAAATGATTAGGGATTGGAATTTAAACCAAAAGTTGAGCGTTCATCGCGAGGACTAAGGGTTTGGTTTCGTGAGCGAGAAGTCCCATAATGGAATAAAACGCGCGGTCAGTGTTTTTGATTTATAGTTATCTAATAATTAATCGCCACCTAATTGAAAACAAAGAGTTTGTTTACTCCATAAGTTTACGCTTCCAGAAGTATATCATTTATTTGTTTATTCACTGACGATCTTTAGGACACTTTCAGCCACATGTGAAGCTTCAAACTGTGTGTTATACACTTGCCTTTGGAATAAATTGTTCATATGAAGGTTATAATTGCTACGACACAACTGACCAAGTGAATACAGGTGAGGTAGAGTTCGAAATCGCGTCCGAATAAACAAAAGTCAAATGTTTTAACTACTAAGCCAACACATTGAGACTTTCGTTTTTGTGAAATGATGGAATGCTAAAACACGTTCTCAAGTCTCTGTTCCCTTATTGCTCGACTAACGTTTAAGATGTTAATTAAATAAATCTCATCCCAAATCATGGATAAAATATGCATACAAAGTAGTTTCATCATTTCGGCACTTTTTCATGAGATATTAAATGGTCTGTTACAAAATGTCCGTCTTCCCTTTTCCTTTACAGCGTTCCATTGCATAAATACCGTTAAGAAAAACTAGCTTCAACTATGGGTGTTTGATATGGAAAGCAGTGGCCAAGTTTTCACCTATTGAGACAGCAGACTGAATCAAGTTTTCAAATAGCAGGTTAAAAATATATGCAAACAAAAAAATTTGTGTGTGAAGTGTATGAGAACTGTTCGTTATTAGCTAATGCAATAATCAATGGACCAGTTAGGATCAAATGAAACTTCCTCAGTGGCAGAGCATTAATTTAGTATACCAGATTATCAAAACGATAGTATGTGAAATTCTACTAAACGAATCCGATTAACTGAAGGCTTTAATCAAAATCCATAACTATAGTTCTGCTTTCATAATAGAGTCCACCGATAAGCAAAACAACCTCCGTTTAAACTTCCCTCTCACACCAGTACATATGCAAAAAAACTCATAACATCAATAACTTACGGCACGTAATAAACTAATTCCTGTTTCCATTGGACCTAAACGACTGTCTGAAATTTTAATGCTAACGATTTGTGCACCAGGTGCAACTCCATCACGATCACACAACACGGTAGAACCAGTAACAGTCCCACTACTAGTAGATGAATCTTTTGAATGATTGGGAAAATACGCTGAGGCAATCGCTGCAACATGAGTGCCATGACTACTGTTATTTGTAACAATCTGTAGTAACTTTCCATTGTCAAAAATTTTCACTGTATAATAAAGTTGGGCTTTAAAACAAAATTCAAAAAAGACCTAAGGAATTTCGTTTATTTTTGCAGAGAAATAACTGATTTGTTACCACAAAAACTAATATGTTTCATTGTAACAGACATGATAAATCCGTGAAGTGAGCTGATTATTTCCCGGTAGTCATGGTGTTGTCCACCATGAATTTCTTTCTGAGGTACATGGAAAGTTTGAGTGCCATAGAGATCCTGTGAGGCCATATATATGTGATATTGTTAAATGGATATTGTGATATAAGATGCTGGTTGGAGGTAGTCAACAGTAAAACCTTGACTTAGGTTCTGCGCTATTAAGCACTCTTCAGCAAGGTGCACCTGTAATCTAGAGGGGACTGATGCTCCCTGATGAATTCGATCTTGTATCACCCAACTTCACAGCCAGAGATGTTATCATTGAGCCATCCGGGTCGCGAAACCTAGGTTTATGGGTTCTTGTTGATTACCTCCAGTTACCACCTTGCATCTCAACACAGTACGCGCGATGTCAAGTCACCTAGACTAGTGGCCACATTGAAGCTTGATCGATAGGATTCGATCTGCACTAAGAAGGATCTGTCAGACATTGCAGTGGTCACTACTCAGTAATTAATCAATTGTAAAGGTGGTTATCATATCAAGATAATGCGACTGTGAATTTAACAGTAGTTGTCTTCAAAACTTGCTCGTAATCCCATACTCACTAGATGGCATAATTGGACGACCTAACTTTTAAAGATTTCTGAATATATTTTAAAAGATAGGAGAGGGGATAGAGCAAGCATTGTTATTGATCGAGAGTGTGAGCAGAGTTAGTGTTAATGCACCCTAAATTTCGTCAAATAAAATTTTTATGACCTCCTTTCGCAAATCCTACAGACAGGCTACGTAAGTACTCGAATGATTTACGAATTCATTACACTGGACACAGCTGTTGTAGAGATGTATCATATAGGTTTATATACTGAGCTTTGATGCAGACATTTTTTGTAATAGATAATAATACTATATGACAGTAAGAAGAGCAGATTGCAAATCTGTGAATGGTTGATCGAAAATTAAGTATTTCATCCTACTTTGATAACGCAAATGACTTTAAACCCAAAACTCGATATACGGTAAAATCTATTGAACACTTATGTTCTACAACAAAAAGACTTAATATTAAACGATTGAATTGAAATCATTTCATCGAAATTTATTAATTCTTTGTTAATTAGAGGAAGAAAATAATATCAGATGTATCTAAAATATTTTGTAGTATTTATAATATTATACGGAAGGTAATAGTACTATTGCATAATTGTCAACTGAGATAATAATAATAATATTGTTGTATGAATATAATATGTAATAAGGGGGGTGTTATCAAGGTAATTACAGTCAACAAATTGGGAATGATGGATATGAAGATTAAGATATAGATAATGACAAATAATGATAATAAGGAAAATAAATAAAAATGAAGGAAGGAAGGGAGGGGTAAGAGGTTTATAATATTCAGTCTAGGTATTTGGTGATCCAGTCGTAGACCAGGGTAAACCATAGAGGCTGGATATATTTTTTCTGGATGCATAAATTAGGTCTTCTGGAGTTGATCCAGATGGCTTCGGCTGTGTAAAGCAGTCGTAATCTAGCTCCTTGAGGTAGATATTTTGGAACTTGATATAAAACAGAGAAAGCTTCCTCTATTTTGATATGATGTTCACTATCTACCAAGTGAGAAAGAATGGTGCTGTTAATCGATTTGGTGACTCCTTTTCCCGACCATGCTGGTACATGTTCACGAACACGCAAGGATAAAGCCCTCTGAGTACGGCCTATGTAACTAGCTCCACAGGAGCAGTGGAATTGGTATACACACATGGAGGAGCCCATCTTCGGTAACTTATCCTTGATTAGTTGTGTGAATACTGGTTTAGTCGAGAAAGTTATGTGTAACTTGGCAGCATGAAACGTCCTCTCGACAGATCTTTTGAGTCGACGTGTTAGAATATCACCCGCTATGTCGCCTTTAAAGTCAAGTTTCAGATATAAGGTCTTTTTTTACTGACTGTGTCGCAATGTCTTCTCTTTTTAATACCTTGTACGAGGTATTTTTTGACGAAATTATCAGGATAGCCATTATTACGTAATGTGTTCTTTAGTATAACTATTTCTTCCTCCACACTGTCTTCAGAACGTAGTACCTTGATTCTGTGGTTGAGAAACTTAACCAAATTTATTTTATATTGCAGAGGTGTGAAGCTTTGGAAATGGGTATACTGACCCGTCCATGTACACTTTCTAAACATATTTCGCTTTATGGAACCATCTATCCTTCTAGAGAGTCGGACATCTAGAAAAGCTATGCTATTGTCCTTTTCCTCCTCGCTGGTGAATTTAATGGCTGGGTGGACATTATTGAAAGCGTTTAACATCTCCTGTTTGTCGATATTTTCGTCACATATGATTAATGTGTCATCTATGTATCGACGGTAATAATCAAGCTTATTTAGGATGTCTTTAAGCGGTCCATTTTCTAGTTTGGTTAGAAAAATATTAGCAAGGATCGGGCCTAGAGGTGATCCCATTGCTGCCCCATCTACTTGTCGGAAAAATTCATTGTTAAACTTAAAGTACATATTTATAGTGCATTTCAAGAGAAGTTCTTTCATTTTGTTTATTGGGATAGGAATCTCTATTTTCTTTTCTATCAGTTGTTCACATATGTAATCTATAGTTTCAGTCAGAGGGATGTTAGTGAACAAAGATGTTATGTCTAGTGATAGCATGGTTTTTCCATTTATATTCATATTTTTAATTGTATCAACAAATTCAAAGACGTCTTTAACATTATGCTTAGCAAGTTCTTAGTGCAATGGTTTTAATAACTTAACTAACCATTTTGCTGTTGAATGGTACGGTGAATTTGCCATATCCAGTATCGGGCGTAGAGAAATATCAGGTTTATGGATCTTAGGTAGACCATATAGTATGTGTTCCAGAATGCTTAAGCATATTATAGGTATGCTCAGAGATGTGTTGGTGTTGATTTAGGAATTTTAATGCTGCAGTTAGTTGACGTTCGGTCTTTTCATTGAGGTCTTTACATGACCCAAGCTTTTAGAATTTAGTTTGATCACTCAGTAGTGAACTCATCTTATCTATGTAGTCTGTCTTGTTTAGAATTACCGTGCCCGATCCTTTATCAGGTTTAGTGATAAGAATGTGTTCATTCAACCTGAGTTTCCGGATGGCCTCACGATGTTTATCTGTCAATATACTATTTGTGTAGTGCTTATTGCTTTTAAATTGGTTACAGCAATCAACCAGCGTGGTTTTGAATCGTTCATGTTCGACCTTTGTCGTGGGTTTTAAGTCTTGTGTCTGGGTAAATAGATTATCGAACTGAACATCATTCTTCAAATGATCCACATGTCTACGACTATCACAAAACTTAGGACCTAATGATAACACTTCTAGTTGAGTTCTATCAAGATTAACAGAGGAACAGTTGAAAACATAGATAAGATGAGTTCACTACTTAGTGATCAAACTAAATTCCAAAAGCTTGGGTCATGTAAAGACCTCAATGAAAAGACCGAACGTCAACTAACTGCAGCATTAAAATTCCTAAATCAACACCAACACATCTCTGAGCATACCTATAATATGCTTAAGCATTCTGGAACACATACTATATGGTCTACCTAAGATCCATAAACCTGATATTCCTCTACGCCCGATACTGGATATGGCAAATTCACCATACCATTCAACAGCAAAATGGTTAGTTAAGTTATTAAAACCATTGCACTAAGAACTTGCTAAGCATAATGTTAAAGACGTCTTTGAATTTGTTGATACAATTAAAAATATGAATATAAATGGAAAAACCATGCTATCACTAGACATAACATCTTTGTTCACTAACATCCCTCTGACTGAAACTATAGATTACATATGTGAACAACTGATAGAAAAGAAAATAGAGATTCCTATCCCAATAAACAAAATGAAAGAACTTCTCTTGAAATGCACTATAAATATGTACTTTAAGTTTAACAATGAATTTTTCCGACAAGTAGATGGGGCAGCAATGGGATCACCTCTAGGCCCGATCCTTGCTAATATTTTTCTAACCAAACTAGAAAATGGACCGCTTAAAGACATCCTAAATAAGCTTGATTATTACCGTCGATACATAGATGACACATTAATCATATGTGACGAAAATATCGACAAACAGGAGATGTTAAACGCTTTCAATAATGTCCACCCAGCCATTAAATTCACCAGCGAGGAGGAAAAGGACAATAGCATAGCTTTTCTAGATGTCCGACTCTCTAGAAGGATAGATGGTTCCATAAAGCGAAATATGTTTAGAAAGTGTACATGGACGGGTCAGTATACCCATTTCCAAAGCTTCACACCTCTGCAATATAAAATAAATTTGGTTAAGTTTCTCAACCACAGAATCAAGGTACTACGTTCTGAAGACAGTGTGGAGGAAGAAATAGTTATACTAAAGAACACATTACGTAATAATGGCTATCCTGATAATTTCGTCAAAAAATACCTCGTACAAGGTATTAAAAAGAGAAGACATTGCGACACAGTCAGTAAAAAAAGACCTTATATCTGAAACTTGACTTTAAAGGCGACATAGCGGGTAATATTCTAACACGTCGACTCAAAAGATCTGTCGAGAGGACGTTTCATGCTGCCAAGTTACACATAACTTTCTCGACTAAACCAGTACTCACACAACTAATCAAGGATAAGTTACCGAAGATGGGCTCCTCCATGTGTGTATACCAATTCAACTGCTCCTGTTAAGCTAGTTACATTGGCCGTACTCAGGGCTTTATCCTTGCGTGTTCGTGAACATGTACCAGCTTGGCTGAGAAAAGGAGTCACCAAATCGATTAACAGCACCATTCTTTCTCACCTGGTAGATAGTGAACATCATATCAAAATAGAGGAAGCTTTCTCTGTTTTATATCAAGTTCCAAAATATCTACCTCAAGGAGCTAGATTACGACTGCTTTACACAGCCGAAGCCATCTGGATCAACTCCAGAAGACCTAATTTATGCATCCAGAAAAAATATATCCAGCCTCTATGGTTTACCCTGGTCTACGACTGGATCACCAAATACCTAGACTGAATATTATAAACCTCTTACCCCTCCCTTCCTTCCTTCATTTTTATTTATTTTCCTTATTATCATTATTTGTCATTATCTATATCTTAATCTTCATATCCATCATTCCCAATTTGTTGACCGTAATTACCTTGATAACATCCCCCTTATTACATATTATATTCATACAACAATATTATTATTATTATTATTATTATTATCTCAGTTGACATAATTATTTTCAATTTCGCAATAGTACTATTGTTACTGTTACTGAATAATTTACTGACCTTTATTGAATGACCTTTCTAATTTGCAAATATTACAATTTTTTGAAGTATATAGATATCGTAACGGATGCACACGTTTACCATTGTCAACACATAACATTGTCAAACTCATTAAAACATGCCTTATTTTTGGCCTTTGTAAAAAATTATTAAGAAGGGTTTAAGTTAACACGTTTTTTTTAATGCTAGGGGCTGAAATTTGATCAATCATACTTGGTATATGTGTATTCTATGTGAATTGACCCGATACAGCTACAATCATATATTAATATAGAATAGAATGATTGTGACTGGCAGTACAGAAATATTTATCTGACAAGTCCCAAATGGAACAAAATGTTAGACTTAGATTCCACGATTAGGCAAAATCCAATACTGATAATAAGTATATTAAAACGTATACTTGAAATTAAACCGTTCATAGCTTACTTTGTTCACCGAATGATGCATATTCATGGTTAACTGCATAATCTCGTAATAATGGTAAATCGGACAATGTTGTATTTGGATTGTATGGACTTGTATCTATACAAGCACTGAAAGATTAAAACACAAAATTAATAACGTGTAGTACTTATAGACAATGAGTAGTTTAAGGTTTCTTTTTGCTATGTTTGATCAATCTATACTAAAGGATAATCAAATGAGTAAAATAAGTGTCATTTAGTTAGTCATTGATAAAATAAGTGAGACTATAATTTATGGGTGACCCTTGAACGACGTCAAAATGACCTTGAGAAAATTCATAGAGTCTACAGAGGGTTATAAATCAGTGTAAGATTTAGAGTAAGAAGTTTGAGTTTTCATCACGAATTGACACCAGGTATAATACCAAAATAGCCTCAGCAGCAGTAGGTCTCAATATACACAAAGGGAAGAGCAAGGTTCTCCGATACAACACAGCATGCACCAATCCAATCACAATTGACGGAGAAGATTTGGAAGATGTAAAAACCTTTACATATCTTGGCAGTATCATTGATGAACATGGGTGATCTGATGCAGATGTGAAGGCGCGGATCGGCGAAGCAAGAGCAGCATATTTACAACTGAGGAACATCTGGAACTCAAAGCAACTGTCTGTCAACCAACACCAAGGTCAGGATTTTCAATACAAATGTCAAGACAGTTCTACTGTATGGGGCGGAAACCTGGAGAACTACGAAAGCCATCATCCAGAAGATACAGGTGTTTATTAACAGTTGTCTACGCAAAATACTTCAGATCCGTTGGCCGGACAGTATTAGCAACAACCAACTGTGGGAAAGAACAAACCAGATCCCAGTGGAGGAAGAAATCAGGAAGAAGCGCTGGAAGTGGATAGAACACACATTGAGGAAAGCATGGAACTGCGTCACAAGACAAGCCCTCACATGGAATCCTCAAGGCCAAAGGAAAAGAGGAAGACCAAAGAACACATTACGTCGAGAAATGGAAATAGACATAAAAAAGATGAACAAGAATTGGATGGAATTAGAAAAGTAGGCCCAGGACAGAGTGGGTTGGAGAATGCTGGTCGGCGGCCTATGCTCCATTGGGAGTAACAGGCGTAAGTAAGTAAGTATTAATACCAAAATGCTATTTAACCATATGAATGAATGAATTTCGCGCCAAAATCCAAAACTTCCAATCTTAAATCTGATTAGTTCGTCTATAAACTATAGTCTCGCAAAAAGATAATGCAATTTATCACAATGAACTCCCATAAGAAAGTGTGACTTAAACCTTTCCTGTGACACTCAATAATAACCACTAACCATTGTAAATCAAAGAAAATGGAATGAAGTGACTAGTCGTTCGTCATTAATAAATTGAATCATACATCAGAATGAATAATACTTCATATTTTTACAATGTGAATCTTCTTTGTCAAATGAACTATTTGTCAATGGTATGATGGAAAGAAAAGTCAATTTTCGATTGATTTACTCATTAAGAGTTTAGTTCAAGATTGCTTCCGTTTTAATTCAATGTAATGATTACTCAATGTAGCATTTGTTTTCTTATATGTGATTTCATCCTAATTATTAATCAGAATGGGTGTACACAATCAATATATAAATGAGTGTATTTTCTACTAGAGTGGTCGTCGTCGTCGTCGTGTTTTGGGGTTAATAAATCATCACTTCTACCAGTCTTTGTGTTCTTACTTTCGCGTCATGGGAATTGCAGAGGTCCCTCGTTCCGAGTATAAGTGATAAGCGTTTCCGACATAACAATCAGTGAGGACCAGATACAAAAAGTGGCATTAAAAGAGCATTCAAACGACGAGTTATAACAGTCAATAATGACTGTTGCATTTTTTCTACAAGAATCTTTATTGTTCTCGAACAATAGGATACGTCAAGAACATCTATCAATATGATTTTGTATAAATATCAATTTCTTTTTGAGTTGTTGAAGAAAAATTCCCAGAGCATACATGAATTCCATGAAGCTCTTTGAATAAGAGTATTATTTTTTGTAACCATTTATTTCAACTTCAATAATTCACCTTCGTAAAAATATTTAACTTCTCCTACAATTATTACTGTCTAATTGTCTTGTAGTATCTATGTATCATAGAGAAGATATATGTATGGATACTACTGAAAAAATTTCAGTGACAATAAACAAATGTGCCATATAATTATGCGAAACTTAAAAAACTTTATTAAACAAGAAATCTTATGTGTTTTTTTCTTTAGTTCACAATTAGTAAAAGAAAAATGTTTGGTCATCTGTATTAGTTGTTTGGATCTTTCCATTGATATTTAGGACTGAAATTGATCCGTCTCATTTGGCATATTTGCATCCTATGTGGATTATCTCGATAGTACCATTAAGTCACAAGCATTTTAAGCAAAGATGAATAGTAACTAGGAGTGGAAACCACAATGCCCGTTTTATACTATTTGGGACTCGTCACCTGAATGCAACTGAATCGCAGAGTGGAGATTCACCATGGGACTCGAACACAGTACCTTCGGTTTCAAACGTCATCGCGTTATTGATCCATCTCTTTTGGCATCCTATGAAGACTGCCGCGATATTGTGATTATATCACAAGCATTAAAAGCAAAGATAGATTGCGACTGGCAGTAGAGTTTGAAACGGACGGTATTGGGTTCGATTGGATACACGTACATCCATCTGACGAGTCATAAATGAGGTTTCGATACTGGCTATCATCTGTCTAAAAATGCTTACCACTCTCAAAAAAAATGATAACTTGACTTACACCCATTCATTGCCATCATGAAAAACAAAACAATCGTATACAATTTCCATAGGTGGATAATGTTGATCTAAAAGTATTAGACTTTCTTCCAAACACCGAGCAGCATTTTTCAATTGAACCTATGATTGTTTAAATAAATAATTTTTACAATAGTTGCGTTTGAACACAGAACGTTTTTAAGGTTCAGTATTGACCTACTACTTACGATTTACCTGAAAGCATCGTAAAAGGTTCCAAAAAATGAAAGGCCCATTTAAACACACAATCATAATCATTTATTGAAAAATAACTCGAACACTCTATAAATTTTCAATATCGAATGTTATACAATAGATCATTTGAAATATCAGGACACTGTTTGATTACACAGAGATGATACGGAATACAGTCCCTATGGAGTGGTAAAAAAATGTATATGAGCTTATAAAATGCCCAGCTTATTCGTTTGACTCCTAGCTATGAAAAGTATCCAAATATTATGACTGAATAATTCGGTTACAACTAATTTATAATTTGTCGTCATTGCGTAAACCAGTGGATATGTAGATTCAGTAACTAAGTGGGTAACTGCTTAGTGTTTGAAGCGAAAGACAATGAGCCCGAGTTCCGTGGTGAGAATCAAGACGGATACTCATGAACCTAGCTGAACAATTCTAAATAAGACGGAACGCGCGTCATAGATTCCACTTTTAGACAACATCAAACCCTTCCTAAACTAGATATAAACGATTACATATTACTGTATTAAACCATTTACAAAGCGAAAAATGATGAGCAAAGTAAAATCTCTTTCACCATCAACCGTCACTCTCAAAAAATTCCTGCTCTAAGGTAGGAAGTAATATTATTTTCACGAATGAATTACAGGAATCAAAGAGAAGAATTAAAATGGAAAGTCCTAGCCATAAAAGTAACTGTTGTTAGGGCACTCGAGTTTCAGCATGCAGGTTACGGGTTCGATCGTCACTTTACCTACTTCGATGTAGACACAAACATATATTTGGTAAATAAGCTATGTATGACATAAGTTCCTTGGAGCTTTATTGTACAGAAATATTTGTGCTACAGATAAAAAAGAGAAAACTATATTGATTGTGTTACCCGAACTGTATACTTTAATGCTGAGGGAAAGTTTTTGGAATATAAGAACTAATACATTGTATACATGTGGATAAATTGGTAATCGTTTAAGTATTATGTACTATCCAACCCTATCAAGTTAAATGAACACAATATCTGATGTAATTCATGTTAATAATTGCATAGTCAAATAGATTTGTTGGTGTTCTAACGTATTTTCTTACACTTTAAACTATTATACGATTTTCGTACAGTAAATGTTTATTTTATCAAGTGTTCAAATGTGTGAAAGTGTTTATCAGCTTAAGACAGGCAGCTTATTTAAATTACATATACAGTTAGCTATAAAAACTAAGTATGTTATCCATATGAGATTGGTGGCTTAAATAATAACATTATCCATGTCTGACGATGAGATGATCAGTCGTTGAAAATAAACTGAAATGCGCTTAATAATAGTTTAAAAGATAAAAAACTGAACTAATAGTTCACAAAGATTAAGGTTATTTCCTTTAGATTTAATCCTCATGAGCCAATAAACACCTATAATTTAGGAAGAAGAAAATCTTGAAAAACTATTCCTTACTTTTGCAGTGGACGGTGAAAAGTTAGAGTTATCTTGCTTAAATTCCGATGAACTTTTCTGTTGGGAATGTTTGTTTACAGTAGAATTTGTTTGAGGCGAAACAGTATCTAAATTCTGATTGATCAGTTTCGGCTCGGTAGACAATTCAGTCGAACCCCATTCCACTAATTTTCTAAAATTACCTAAAGTAATGAGAATAAATAATTTCAATTAATTTTTGATCTATACGTGAAATTCGAATTGAACTGTGTAGTAGACGTAATAGTGTTATTAGAAAGAAGAGGGATGAAGGGGTTCTGTAGTGAAGTTCGTCATTTATAACGTGTTTTCACTATATTTTCAGTGAACAGTTAACGGTCGGAAGGTTTTTAGATTGTAAGCCAAGGTGGATTTAACAGTATTGATAGTCTTAGTGATCTTACTTAACAATATGTAATTATTACAAGCTGTTATCACATGTAAATCCGCCTGTAGCTCTTCTAGAGTTACGGCCGGTCCCAAGCTCGGGTAAAGGAAGAGGGTTGGGCATGAGGTTGGCAACTCTATCCCGTAGAAAAACATCTTGCTAAAAAAACGCCAACCAGATCTAACAAATTAAACCATTTAAACTCTGCCCTCTGAGTTGAAGGAAGAATTATAACGCCTCGGGATGTAAGCCCAGATTCTCTGGAAGTCACGAGGCCGATGCCCCTTCTAACAACTAGAGTAACAATATTTATAGGTACATAGAACGTCTGAACAATGTGAGAGACCGAGAACACCAGTTATATAGCAACAGAAATGAGGAGACACAAATTGGAAGTACTCGGAATCAGAGAAACCCTGCTATACTCTGTTTACGAAGATGAGTAGAGTATTTTAAGAAACTCTTGAATAGACCAGCTCCAATTAATCCATCGGACGTCGAAGCATCACACATAGACCATCCCATAGATGTCACTCCGCCAACGACAGAAGGAATCAGGATGGCCATCAAACAAATCAAGAGCAGGGAAGCAGCAGGACCAGAAAATATACCAGCTGAAGAACTGAAGTTAGACAATGAAATAACTGAAAACATGCTTGACCTTCTATTCAAGAAGATTTGGGAGCAGGAACAAGTGCCGACGGACTAGAAAGAAGGACACCTCGTAAAGATTACAAAGAAAAGAGATCTGAGCAAATGTGAGCATTACAGAGGCACAACACTACTGTCAGTACCAGGAAACGTTTTCAACAGTGTTCCTGAACCGGATGAAAGACGCAGTAGACGCCCAATCTTGAGATCAACAGGCTGGATTACGTAAGGATCGGTCGTGCACAAACCAAATTTTACGACACTACGGATCATCGTAAAACAATCAGTTGAGGGGAACCCTTCACTATACATCAACTTCATTGACTACGAGGCGTTTGATAGTGCGGACAGAACATAATGGAGCCCTCCTCGACACAATGGAGTTCCTGAGAAGATTGTCAACAATATCCGGGATTTATTACGATGGACTACAGTGCAAAGTTGTGAATGGAGGATAGCTGACAGATGCATTCCAAGTAAGGACTAGAGTTAGACAAGACTGTCTACTCTCCCTCTTCCACTTTCTTCTGGTGGTTGACTGGATTATGAAAACCTCCACATTTGAGGGAAAGCATGGAATATAATGGATAGCTCGGAATCGATCAGAAGATTTGAACTTCTCAGATTACCTGGCCCTCCTGTCCCATACACACGAAAAAATACAGATGAAGACAACTAGTGTAGCAGCAGCCTCTGCGAAAGCAGGCCTCTACATGCACAAGGGTAAAACCAAGGAGCTGAAACGTGAAGAACTACTACAATCATCATCAAGAAGGTACGTACTTACTTACCTACTTACGCCTGTTACTCCTAATGGAGCATAGGCCGCCGACCAGATCAAGAAGGTACAAGTATTCATAAATAGTTGTCTATGCAAGATACTCAACAGCCATTGGCCGGATACCATCAGCAAAACCTTTCTGTGGGAGAGGACAAACCAACTTCCATCTGAAGAGGATATTAGGAGACGGTGTTGGAAGTGGACAGGACACAGATTAAGGAAATCACCAAGCTGCATCATAAGGCATGCCCTAATATGGAATCTTGAAGGGAAGCAGAAGAGAGCGAAAGGCCAAATAACACACTGTGCCGAGAATTGAAAGCAGGAATGAAAAGAATGAATAGGGACTGGAAAGTATTGCCCACGACAGAGTTGTATGGAGAACGATAGTGAGCGGCCTATGCTCTTCCATAAGGTATAGCAGGTGTAAGTAAGTAAATAATGAAGGATTTCACTTACCAAATTTAACGATTTGAAAAAAATTCATATTGTTATCTGGGATGATTTGATTTACATCGCTTCTCAAACTGAATGTGATGAGAGCTTTTACACTGAAGGGAATATTTCTAACTGATAAAACGAAACGTTTTTGAACAATTCAAAACAATTAGTCCCTTTGATGAATTTCGATAATGCAATGAGAAAACGAAGTTTATCAGAACTATGTAGTATATCTGTGCAATACATTTCGAAGTTTCTGAATAAATTACTAACACTTTTAGTGTAATAGTCAATTTAATCCAGAAGGTTCAATGATGCCAGTGCAATGGACAAAATTATAGGATGATGAAATGAAAAAAACTGTCAATGGTTATTTTACTATGATTCATGTAAGTTGTTTGTGTATGAACAAGCAAGAAGTAAAGTCACTTAGATCTAAGAGGAAAGACATGCTACTTCAGTGTTTGGAACTTAAATTCAGTGGTAAAATACTATTTTCTCACAGAATACATATAAATATTCCTAAATGATTACTTACAGGGAAATATGTATAGGTTTTTGTATCAGGTCTCCATATACAACATAATTGTAGTTGTTCTTTTTTTAACATAAAGTTCTGGCAAATCGGCATACGTATCTTTTAGATTTCATATTTAAATCCAACTCTACTTATAAAGATTTTATTATCTGGTTAATAATCATTAATATCTATATAATAGGTATAACTAACAACATCAAATCGCTCAAATCTCAGTGCCTACTTTACTACATCACATATTTTTCGTGCTTTTACCAGAAAGCTTTTAGTGTAAACACTTAAAAAGCATAGGTTGGTGATACATTTGTCAACGATGTAAATTTAAAAAATGAAAATATCAGAATCAAGGTGAGATTATCCCCAAACTTTTCAGTTACAACTATCGATGCACTAAACATTTACATAAAAGTTTCAATTACTCAGATCAAAGTGGTACAAGCAAGAAGAAATACCCGAAAAACAACAATTTCATTTGAATGTATTCCAACGAAAGGGTGACATAAAAACGTTTAGCCATTTGGCCTAGTAACTAGTAATATTCAACGATGCATAAACTCCGATAAGCACCCAGGATAATACAGTCATTTTAACTGCCATATTACAGAAAATTCAAATATGTGATAATTTGAAGTAAAAGATAAATGCATAAATGTGTGAAAAAAACACCAACTTTTATTGCCGTTATGATTTGACACAAGGTTATGGTTTAAATATTCTTCAGCTTCAGTCAGATCACAAGCTAAATTTGCAGCTAAACGTTTGATACATGGTCGCCAAAAATTATCTCGATTTTCGCTGCGTAATCGTTGCATCAAAAGTTTTGGGAATAGTTCAGATGCTGGCTTCACTCCAATTCGTATTATGCCATCTGGAGGATTCCAATGACTCGGTATCTATAATAAGGGATATATATGCACATATATACAAGTATAAGAAACGCCGTTATGTTTCACACTTAAATGGGATGTATTATTAGATACGTGTTGTGTAGAGATCAAACCATCTGTTGATTCCAAACCTCTAGTCTATTGGTTCGAGGTTGAATAACACCAAGAACAAAAAGTTGGAGGACGGTAGATAAAAATGAAATCGCATTCAGCTTGATAACATTTACGTAGTAAAAGCAAATAAAGTTGTCAAAGACCATTGAGTGTGACGATGAAACTATTTGTTTTTTTCACATTTTAAAGAGATAGCACAAATATGTTTGGCAAACTATGTCAAAAGAGCATACGAAAAGTTTCACAATGAACCACAATTTACATAGAGCATGAATGGCAATAAAAACAAAGTTTAATGAGAGAACTAAGCTAACTAAATTTTATGAGACACTGTTAAAAGTCCATTGAATAGTTTACCGATTGAAGATCTGTCGAAAAAATCATAGAAAATGGAAAAGTTGTGCTTCAGTTCATTACTCTGATAATATACAGTGATCGCCTCTGTGGAGAGATGGTTTAGTGGTTAAGGCACTCCACTTCTAGTCGGTTAGTTCAAAGTTCCGACCCCGCTCCATCCACTCCGGTATTGTCTCATTAGATATCACGCTTATGGTGTGTATCATACCCAACTACCTGGAGAATGACTTGATTTGAACTAACCCCTGAAATTAAGGCCTATGAGCCTAGTCAATGACCCAATCATTAAACCAGTGGGTCGGGATTGAATGAATTTAACTTTCCAAATGGACGTTTCCTACTCCATTGATTAGTATCTACTCTTATTTTAAGATTTGATTAAAAAATCAAATAGCTTTTTCACTAGACAACCTGATATCCACTACAGAATTACTGATGAACTTTGTTAAATCTAGCCTATTGATTAATTAAATGACATCAATCTGTTAGAGCTACTGTATTGAAGCTAATCGAATCTGTTAAGACATTAACCCACACGATTGGTGGCATTATTTCACATTTAATTCCATATTTAGCAAGTTGTGTTCTCAGTGAGGTTGGTTGTAATAAAAATTCTTATAAAGTCAAAGAAAAAACTACATGAATCCATACCTCTACTTTACGACCGGTCAGTGTTTCAATGACACGATGCTTCTTGTTAATACATCGTTTATATTTCATTTTTACATCTCCAGAACCTGAAGCATCAATCATGTCCACAATTTTTCGTTTTCCATCAGGTGTAGTCTAGGAAGTTAACCAAAAGGAATCAAGGTCTGTTCATATAAGGGTGACAAAATAGGTCATATGTAGAACTCAACAGTAAAAAAATAAATGAACACCTTACAGCATATGTACACAAAGTACATATATACACAGTTTGAGTTTAGTGATAACGTCCTTAGCTGCAACATATAAAGTGTGATTGTTATGAAACTGTCTTTGTAAACACTACCACACCTTTAGACATAAGATGACATTCAATGCATTCGACTCTGGGTCGTCGAAAAAGGAGACTTTAGAATTGTGCTTCTTTTTCAGTTATAATATTTGTTAATTATCCATGACAAAATCCCTACTCCGAGCTAGGGTTTTTAGTCTCAACTGAAATACTCTCTAGCAGGGCTACTACAGACCATCACATCTTATAAGTCTATCAACGCAAATCGAAATATGGGTGAAACTATTTGAAGAGTAGTGATCTAACATTATCGATGTTTATATCTCTAAATCTGGCGTCGCGATGATGTAAAGAACCTAAGGCATAGCTAGTGTGACAAAGGACTTTTGGACATCCCAGTTAAGGTGAAGACAAACACAACGTTGGTTAACTGGCCTGAAGGTAGCTTTATTTCCAGAGTGCAACATTTTGTATGTGTAGGTATCATCACCAAGGTTTGATTTGATAATTTCGAATAAATTGAGCATTGGGTTGATTGTTACAAATATATTATTTTTATTTATTTTGTTTATGGTTTAGAAAATAGTGCGTTTTGTAGGTGAGGTTGGTATTTTTCTGTAGAGATAACCCATATCACTTTAATACTAAAGATGTCGTCAAGTGTGATCTAAGTTAAGGTAATTCACTTTCATCCACATGTAACTTTGATAATTTGTTGGATTCTATCTTATCTGACATGAAAATACTTAGTAATTATCTAGATGATGCATTTGCAACGTCATTTTTACTGCCTTTTATGTACTGGATGTCAGGAGTGAAGTGAGATATGAATACAAGATGTATTCCATGAGGACTGTATCTATCACCACTAGGTACCGGAGCTTTCACAAGAGATTTGTGGTCTGCATATTCCGTGAAGATGATGCCCTCGACCATATATTTGAAATGTTTGATAGCTAGTCATCTCAATCAACAAACATAATGAAGAGAAACTATTAGCATCGACAGAGTTAAGCCTGCTTTCATCAATGATACTGAAGTCGGTAACACCAACATTCCTTTATAATAAGCTTTTCGACAGCTTTCACAACAAATTGAATCCTCCGAGAAACTTATCTCAACATCTATCAACGAGTCAGAAAGAATAACCAACTCTAGAAGCCATGTTCATCGATTAAACTGCTCATGCTTACTTTGTTCGTATGTATGTGAATAGATTAAAATATCTATATACTTCCATTTTTTAGTACCATACATTCTACCTTTCTTTCCAAATGGCTCCACAGAACCACAACATATTCTTTATTTTCGTATGCTTTTACATTGTTTTGCAGTCCTTTCCTCCAGGTCTTTCATGTCTTATTAATCAGTTTTATACATAAGTCACTAATATTGCACCACATTAACTGGTCTGTTACTAGTAACGTTAAATCTGCCGTTTCTTTCTTTCTGCATACGTTTTCATTTATATTATCATTACCGAGTGAACACATCACTAATAGTTCATTTCGTATCGTAAAGAATACAGTAACTTGTACAACAGTCCCCTCCAAATAAACAAATGAACTTAACTAACTTTTATAAAGGCTACATTAAAGGTGAAACTTTTTGAACAGTAAATATACAAATAAGAATACTAAAAGTTTATAAAACAAATGTTAAACTTGAAAAAGTACGAGTGAATTATTCGGTCAGACAATTGAAATATAAAACCTGGTGAGTATGTACATCATTTTAAATTGTCACATAGTATTAAAAAACGAGATGAATTTGTTTGGGTTAATCCCAGGGTAGTAGGTGTGAATAACTGATATCAAATTAGTGAAGTCCTGCAACATTTTGTTAAGTCTATGAAAGACTATTTGATATATTGAGGGCGCTAATAGTTTATGCAAATACATTTAGTGCTGTCACAGGTTCCAGTTAATCTATATATTTGTGTTTTTATTTACATCCACAAACGCCGAACTAGTATGAGAAAAACAAACTGGGCATTTTTCAACCACACGACTTCCCATCCTCAATGTTATGTGTGAAGATTCATACTTCCACCGAAAATACTTCAAGAGAGAATTCGAAAGAAAGGGTGAAATAACATAAGACATGTATGCAGTGTTTTATTATTAATTCTAAGAGGTATTTTCCTGTTGAATACAATAGGGATGTGATTGAAGTACATCAGTGATAGAAATAATATTGGGGATTATATGCTCCTGCTACCTTGCTCAAATAGTTGATTTCTTCTCGAGTTGATAGTTGACTATGTTGTTTAAAAAAATACATACTTATCTAGTAAAATTATTAACTAACTTGTAAGCCTGCAGCTGTCGGGTCAATACCCGTATCCCACACTGCAATTCTAGTAACGCAGCCATCACATCCAGCATGTTCGTTTAGAAAAACATCGGAATTAATTTGTTTCTTAGGTAACAGGCTCGAAAAAGCATTAGTCATCATCGGCGTAGCGTTTTACTTGAAAAAGCGCAAAAGGCGCGTGGTACACAATAGCAATGCTACATATAAGCCTTAATTTATAGTAATAGCAAACAGAAAACGTCTGTCTTTTGCATCACCCTCACTGACGTTTTGTCATTTAAGTCATATTCCTGTTTCTTTCGTTCATGTTAGCAACTCTAACGAAGAGGGTTTATACAAGCTGAAGGGACTACTATCCATGTTATTTAAAGGCTAAGTTGCAAGATACATAGTTCGAGATGTAACATATTACTTTCGTGACAAGCTAGTTAATAACAACTGGATTTTCGCGCTCGAGTCTTTTGAGTAAGTGAAATTCCGCTGAACCCTTAGCCAAATCATCCTGCAGTTGGGTCATCGATTATCGAACAAATCATCAATCCTCGTCAAGGTCAAGGACAACCAACGCGCATCAGTTAATCGTACGCCATGGACTGGCTCATGCAGCCGTGGTCTTGTTTTCACTTTCAGATTAAGTGACGATTGTTAACGAGTGGATGAAAAACTGTATGAACGGAGACGATTCAGAAGGACTGATACATTTATGATTATGTTGATTGGCGAATTATGGTGTCGGAAATACATAGTTCCGATACTATCAATGGCACCTGGTTTTTTATCACAAATAATAACAAACGCTTTTGATCATTATTATTCTCTTCATCAAGTCATAAATTGACTTTTCTTTTCATTCCTATTTTTCTAGCGCAACTGTCCAACTTATCTAGTAATATTATGTGTCGGAAGTGAGACTTATTCAAGTTTACAAGCGTGAATCAAATAGTTAGTTCATATAGAAAAGTGGTGTTAGTACCACTGGCTAATTGCATCTCTCAATACTGTAGGCACCTGTAAGCAAACCAAATGCTCCACACTTCATACATGGTTGGGTCGAGGCTATTGACGTTAATTATCAGTCATTATAGGCTTATCTCACAGAAGATTGAACAGATAAGTTTAATCTTTTCTCCCACAAATCTCTGGGTACCTTCTGTACTACTTTTGAAAGAATATAAGGAATTGCCATCTTTTGAAAGAGACTGAATCACCTTGCAGAATCTTCTTCGGAAGCTAATACAGGGAACTCTCATCTAAACATTTTTAAATTCTTTAATTCTAGTATTGACAGTTCTGTTTCACCGCAAACACACGATGCATAAACGATTAACTGAGGTCTTCAATTAGCGACACTAAAAGTCTTCGTACAAACAAATTGTGTCCGTTAATACCCAATTCTAAAATCTTGATTGGTCTTAGAACAGAGATAGAATCATATGATGGAGCCCTGTCAATAAAAAAGTCATAGAACGAACCGAACTAGGTATATTGTCGCCTCTGACTCTGAACAGTAATTTTATAAATCATGGATACATGTAATATGTGGTCAATGGAAACATCACTCTTACTAGGAAGTGAATAACAGAGTCTATTTTCTGTAGTAGTGAAGTGAAAAGCAGTTTTACTCACTAACTTGATATGTCCGACTTTGCCACACTTAAAGCATCTTTTTTAAAGAAAGGGACATGATTCCCGTGTATGAAGTATACCGCGGGATAAAAAGTTGCCTAATCTGTGCTATGAGCGTCTAATGCAATGATCCGCAAAATTTTATACTGAACCCTGTTCTGTTCCAAACATTCATTAGTGACCATCCATTCATCCACCGTTCCTCAGATATTATTTATGCAAACGATATTGAGCTTTGGAAAGCAGAAAGGTTTGAGGTTGATTTATACAAGCACTACTGGGAGAATGGATATACAATAAGAGCTTGATATTCAGTCACCGAGTATACCAAATAGTTATATTTCGAGCCCAAGCACTTCTCTCGCAGTCAGTCTTTTTTCATAACTTAAATGACATGCGAGCCCTATCTTATGCTATCAGAAATCCTGACTCGGATGACAACTACTGTAGAGACGCAGCCTAAGACTATGCTATCCTTCATTTTGTACAGAGGTGAGTAGCGATATTGAATACACAATTTTTCCGAGACATTTCAAGTTTTATACCCTCTAACATTATTAAACATTAAACTTTGATGTCTAACCTCTCAACGAAAGGGACTTTAATTTATAAAAGTGTGTTCAAATGTTAACTTCAATGTGAGATATAGGATATGAAGGTGAACACTAGGAAGCCTGACATTGCCTATCAATTTTAAGCTCGTTAGGTTAGAGGAGAATTATATATCACCTGACGGAGGTATAAAACATACTAAGTATTCCTGGTCACCCCAACCAAAATATCTTACTTGAAACCCAATATTGCACTTCATGATATAAATCGCGAGGAGTTGTGAGTCAACGATTCGACAGACAGGTAAAATCAAACTTTTAACCAAAATGCATCAGCCTTAACTAGCAAAACAGTTATGTCAACACAGACAAATTCATTTACATTTACGCGAGTTATTTAGAAGAACAGTGGTATTTTTCGTCGCTGAGTGAATCTTATTGTTTTGATTGTAAATTCTGCATCACAACTATTATTTCCACTTTAATCAAATTTATCTAAGTTCAAGCATCCGACAAGAGTATTGATATTTTAGAAGGTAATTCATCATCTTTACTTTCAAGTACACCGGTTCTTCTGTATTTGTATACATTTTGGATTCCGTCAATTTAAAATTCTCCGCTTTTTCTGGTCACCACTTTCTCTTGACTCTAGCTGTAACGTACGAAGTGCCAGTATTCGGTTTGAACGCAGTGCTGACGAACCAAAATGTATTTGAATAGGCCAGACTACGTTCTTCTGTATAGTTTACAAAGCGTTTTGGAGACACACGTACTAGATTATATGCAAACACAAACTCCTTGATCAATTTAAACGGTTCTAATTTAGGGAACTGAACAAATTATATCAGAAATACAAAATACCTCAAACGGTACAGCCGGTGCTATACAGTCGGAAGTTCCTCTAACGCAAATTAGCACGCTAAACAATAAAAAAAACAGTTAATACCAAAGGGTTTGATACCTGTAAAGCAATAAAAATATTCCCAACAAAATGGGATCAAATATCTATCTGCAGGTGTTCCAGCAATCCTCCCAACCAAACAGTCAAAAGGTTAACATTCACACACTGAATCACGCCGTGACCTTGAGCTTAGTCAATGACGACCTTACTGTCCGGCAACACGCAAGAGAAAATCAGGTAACAAAAAATAAGTCTTTAATCCAGATCACGTAATAAAAGCTCAGACGAGGAAAACTGGAGAACAAATGGTGAGATTAAATGGTATCTGAACAAAGATTAATATACACGACAAGGAGAAAAACGAGTAAATGACAGCACTATCCAACAAAAAGGCTGTGGGGGGATCTTCATTGTTCTCTTTCCGTTACACGGGGTATTTTTTGTATCTAGTTCCTTTTCAAAACCCCAGGTTAACAACAGGACGGTGCAAAACAAGCAATCTCCAACACTCATGCCGGAGAAAGTGGCATGCAGTGCGATTATTTCAAGGGATGGTTTCATGAAATTTGAACGAACCTAACTCCTAAGGCTTTTAAACGGCTTAGCAATATTATTTGCGTGTGGTTGTGACAGATGTGCTACTCGGACGCAAACAGCTTTCCATCCGAAGCCATCGCAATGATGAATGCTGCTGAAAGGAATACTAGCAAGCGTAATTGAGGCACATCGTTCCCTAGGTCGACACGCAAATTGATGCGATGTTTTCATCCCTCTAGGTAACCACCGTTCTATTGATAGAAGAAACCAGACAAACAGTGAATAGGTCTTTATTTAGATCTTCGCACAGTCACAGTGGAGTGTGAGATTATTTATTCAGACAAACAAATCCTCTCAATATTCAGTGTATGATAATAGGAAATATAACATCTATACAAAATAAAAAAATGAGTGAATACTTGAACTACGCTGTTTTGACATATGTTTAGTTGTTTGAGGCGAACTCTTAACCAGCCAACCTAAGCTGTTACAAAGTTAACTTAAATAATCTCGAACTCGATCGATTTCCATGAGCCGAAAGAGAAAAGGCCGACTTCAAAGTGATTCATCAGAAACAAAAGCTCAAGAAAGAAAGTTTCTTCTGATCACTGTCCTCTGACTAGTAGCCAGCAGGGAAATCTAATCATAAGGTTGTTTCTAGCAGGAACCCCCTCGAGTTATCCTCAGTCAACCAGGATCTCATGGTTTATGACACAATCATGACTGATACTCCTACGAAAGTTGATGAATGCATACAGATCGAGGATAAGAAACGACATGATGTTGCTAAAGAAAGGTCGGTCTTCGAAAAAGTAACTGTGAAGTATAAGACTGATCGTAGCGACCGGTTAGTTATCTTTCAAAGAGTCAAGGAGAGTGAAAGCATAGAACCTAAAACCCGTTTCCAGCATGGCACTGAGTTGATAAAACACCTATTAGACCAGGATATCTATGATGTCACCATGCTGAAGATTTACAGTCTAGGCAGTCGGATGAACTTGATTGAGCAACAAACCAGGCTGGTAAAATTGGTATTTAAATCTCTCAACAAAAGGTAACTAATACCACAGAATGAACACGAACAAAAGTGGTCAGATATTTTTTTTCGTCCGCGGATCGTATAAAAAGACGAAAAGTTGAAAAAGAACTAAAATGTAGGGTAGATACCGGAGAAAACCAGCATAGATTTGTAAATTTTCAGGTGGTGAGGCTTCGATAGGGAATGATGACGTAACCAATTTGGATACAGCACGAAGCCTCTTAAATGGCCTTTGTATCTGTTACACAAATACCCGAAGCTTGCTTATCAAATGATCGGAACTAGGTGTACAAACTGACCCTACAAAGATGGGTGTAATCTCAATCACCGAAAATCGTACACAGTGGATAACTTGATCTTGAAGGCTTCACATTACTGATAACCGACACAATCCAGATGCATAAAGTAAGAGAAGTAGCCTAATTCATAATAATTATTATCCCATTTACCGTTATCGACAGCATATCCCATGAGATTGTAATGTGTGAATTGGTTAGTTGCCAATTAAAATGCAAAGGACAAGG